TATTTGGTGCTGGCTGAAACAAAACTAAATACCTTGGATGTGTGTGTCAGTTTGTTTTTTTTTCTGCCAGTCAATGGCGGCATACAATTTCAGCTAAAAGAAAACACAACTTGGCAACTTGAACCATAAATGTCGGCCGAGTCAGACGAAAGACAAAAAGACAAGTGCCCCAACAACCCCTGGCGTATGAATACACTTCAAGGCTGGCATTTTCATGGCTGGACGCCCGAAAATGAAAATAAAATGCCGACAACACTCATACGCCCCGTTGTCTAATATGTGTCTAAACCATCGAGCTTCTATTTAGTTTCCCTCTTTTATTTTCGGTCTACCGTCGCAGCCTAGTTCTAAAGTCTATGGAAAACAGGAACCCAAACACCTCAGTTCATTCCATCCTGCGGCAAATCCCAATCCTCTTAAGGCGTCGCCTTGTTAACATGTCGCATTTCATCCGCATTATTAACGCTCATCGCTCGTCTTGGCATTCTTTGTTTTAACGGCTTTTGTTAGCCCGGCTATTTACACTGGAAAATTGTACTCAAGTGCTAATATTGTGGGCCGTAGAGAGGCGTAGATAAGGCCCATAGCCATACATTTTGCTTAGCCGACTGAGTGCTGAGTGGCAACTGACTTGATATGGCCAGACAATGCCAGACGAATAACAAAAACTGAATATGGGGCTGGCGGCAGGTCAAGTGGGAGGTGGGGCAGCGTAAGCTGGGAAATCAGGGAAAGAAAGACGTATGTCAGTATCTGCAAAATATACATACAGCCTGGGGGCCAGTCTACGGAAAACAATGGACTTCAGAGGCCATTTTTTGGTTAGGGCGTGTATTGGAAGAGTGTTTGGCTTTGGATAAGCAGTTTGGCTGAGGAGGAGCAGACAAAGTCCTGCCGTGGAAGCCTCTCATATTTTTTTGGTGTCTACGTGAATCACTCTAAATACTTCTCACAATTCGATGGCTGAGAGCTGCGTTCAAGATAAACTAGCCACAAATTTTGATGGAAAAGGCTTTCTGGTAATGGAATTTCTGAAGGCACTTTAAGAATTATTTGAAGCTGTATTGATTTTTGAGTTAGGTTAAGTTTAGAAATTTAACGCTGTTTATTAACAGCTTTGTCAGCTATTAATGTCCAATAATCCGAGCTCTTATATTTAGATCGAAAATAGTTCTGATTTAAAAATAAACAAGGGTGGTGAAGGTATTTTTGCTTGTTAAAGGGGAAATATATTGTAAGCATAGTCCTTAGTCATCTTTTCTAAGGTAAGGTTCTTAAATATTTTTTAAAAGAGAGCAAAACTTGTGCCCAGTTCTTGAAATTACAATAATAAAAGAGCGAAAATTTGTAAGTCAAAATACCGTCTTAAATCAGCTTAGGCCAAATGCCATTTTGGTTGTTCCAGACAAATTAGAGAGAAATTACCCGAACGTCTATCCAATCTCAACCTCCTGACCCACACACACACTCTCAGCCAAGTTGCGGCATGTTGACAATTAGTCCTTTAAATTAGGTGGGCGGGCCATTTGTGCCACCTTCTGCGTTCCTGTGGATGCCCCTATTTGTGTTTCTCTTGCTGTTGCTGTTGTTGTGTGGCGCTGAAATGAAATTGATTGTACTTTTCGCTGCCCCATCGGGAAATCTAAAAGGGGGGTTCGGGAGTTCAGAGGTCGGTGTTAATAGGTGTGGGCATGCAGTGTGATTACAAGGCAGAAGCTGAGCAGCTCGTTAGCTTGAGGTGCCTTTAGGTATTTGCCTTGTGGCCAGCGGACAATGAGACGCAAAGCCAAGTAATTAAGACAGTGACAAACACTCAACGGAACCACTTTAACAGGAGTAATGAGTGTAAAAGAGATGGGAATAAAATAAAGGCAGAGAGTAACAGAGAGAGAGAGACAAGGATAACGATGCAAAGGACAAAGGTCAGCGAGCCACTTGGCTCGTGTTTATGCGCCTTTTATGCTGCAACTTCATTAAATTTTACTTTTATGAGCGCAAACAAATCGTTAAAAACATCTCAAAGGCTCTTGCACAATGGGGGCCACGCCCCCAAGCCACTCACTCCAGCTCTTTTCCCTCTCCTCTTCCACCCCACTTCACGAGCAGACAGTTGGGCCGGGAAATGTAGCCAGTCGGACAACGGTTCTTTTAATTACTTTCTGCATAAATTTGCACTCATTTCCGGCCCTCGCTCACTCTCTGGAGATGTCTGGACCAGCTGGGCACTAAATGGGAAACAAATTTGGTGGATACAGTCAAGGAAGAAAAACTAGTTTTAGTAGCTACTAAAAATTCAAGAAGAAACTTGCAATGTTCTTACCATTTTCCCGTTAAGTATTATTTAATATTGGCTTTTTAAGTCGTTTAAGTTTTTATACATAAATTATAAAACTCCTTACATATTTTTACCACTTCTGAGTTTTTTAATGTCGACGAAATTCATACTAAAACATGTAAATCTATAAATTCCAATTTTTAACTCCCTAAAAAAAACCTGAAAGTACTTTACAAATTTTTCCTAATATTATTACAAATAATAATATCCTAATAATATTACAAAGTCCTAGCATTTTGATCACAACTGTAAGCTGCGTACTTATATGTTTGCTTTTCAGCTTAGCGCTTTGTTGTGCCGAATAAAAAATTATGCAAAGGAAAAGTGCAAAGGCGAGAGTTCCTCCAAAATGTTGGCCCATAAAGGGAGTTGGAAGGGTCCTGGTTCGCGTTCGCATTCGCTTTATGCCAGGCACTTGATGGCAGAGCTGGGTTCTTAATGCTCCAGTGGCACCTCCTTCACCCCCACCGCCATCAACGCACATGTGCGAGTGTCCTTTGGGTGTCCTGCTACAAGTTGGTATGTTGTTGTCCTGCTCCTGGTTTAGTCCTCCGCCCCTTTGGTGTTCGCTGGCAAATTGTTATTTAATTATGGCATCCTTACGCTGCCCCCTAATGCCGAGATGCTGGAGTCCTAGAGTCCTAGAGACGACCACAACCGGTCACGTTCTGGCGTTCCGGTAATGGCGAATAAATCAACAGCGGAAGCGTTGCAAGTGACGTGCCACCGATGTGGTTGTGGTTAGCCCAGCTCCACCTGTCCGGGATGTGTCGTTTATCGTCCTTTTCCCCAACCGCTAGCAGCAGTCGCAGCAGCAGGACTTGGAGCGCGAAATGATTGACTTTAAAGTCAAATTGCGCAATCTAAGCCAAAGGCAACATCCTCGAGCGTGCCGGAAATGGCTTGCAACATGGGCACAGACACGGTCTTTTAGCCAGGAACGCTCCCGGCTTCCAATCAGCGTCGAAGCTTGCCATGACATTCAATTAACTCGATGCCAAGCGAGGGATACCTGGGCGGAGGGGGATAACGTTTCGGAAATTAATCCACGTGTCAACTCCTGATGGTGCTCAAAAGGATACTTCAGCTCTGTGGGCAGCAAGTTCTATTCGTGGTTTGTTTTGTTTTCAAAATGGAACTGGAAAACCATGAAATGTTTTTTTCAAAGTTCAACCTTAAAGTTTTCCCTTGGAAAAAAATTTCTAAAAAAATTCAAGATTAAATCTAATTTTTAGAAACATAAATTGATTTACACAACTTAATTTAAACCTAGTTGATGTGTAATCAATCCAAGCATGAAGCAATTAAATTCTCGACGATAGCTAGACAGGCCTGAAGTCTCTATCCATCTCCTGATTTATCCTTGCTCAACTTTTTGTCTATAGTCCGCGCGTGACTCTGACATCCATCTGGTCTTGACAGCTTCCGGCTGTGATTATCAAATCAAGATATAATTGCTTCGATGCCCCATTGCCATTACCCTTATCAAGAATAGAACAGTTCCAGCAATTATTTTCTGATTCATGGCAGCTCATCAGGAATTCAGTTGACCAGGTTCCAGGTTCCCCCAACGATGACCCAAATACAGCATCATAATCATTTATCAGCAGTCTCGTTGTCTGTACTCAGGACTTAGAACCCTGCCAAGGATAGGTAGCTATCAACGATTTGGCAGGAGTCGTAAATAGTTTTCCGATTTTCAGTGAGTAAATAAGTCAATATTAAGTTAGCCGATAAGTCGCCTTTTGTGGGATGTCCCTCAATTGAGCTTCAGTTTTGTGGCTGCGCAGCAATTTCTTATCCTTTATCAAGGAGACTGTCGTACACAGAGCACAGCTGACTGCCTGCCTGTCTGTATGTGAATTCAAGTTTGAGTCCTGAGTGTGCTGAAAATGTTTTCAAAATCCACTCAAGCTCACTTAGAAGTCACCACCAACGACAGCAGGTGGAAAATGTGGGTGTAACGTTGAGACATTCAACTTTATGCTGTGAGCATTCTCAGGGATTCCCAGGGATTACCTTCTCTACCCTCCTCTCCTTGTGCACACCAATAAACTTGACAGTTAATCCGTAATTGATCTGGAAAAAGGTACGATTATGATAATGAACCTGACAATGAGAATGCTGATGGAACTGAAACTCAAACTGAAATTGACATTTTGAGGGAAGAATTCGAAGAGTGACCAAAAAGTAAGACCCCACAGTTTATGTTGCCATTCTGATTCTGGTTAAAGTCGCATTCGGAAAACCACATGAATTTAAATTTTTATTTGACAATAATAAAAGAAAGGACGTGTCAAGACAAATGTCCTTGGTGGGTGGCGGTAGGTGGCTGGGGAAATTCGTTTATGGAAATGCGTAAAGCGACGAAGAAATTCGCAACTTACCTAAGCAGCCATAACAGCAGATCATAAATAAAACAATATCATATGAACGCTTATGGAGCGTGTGTTTGTGTGTGCGTGTGTAATGGTTTTGGGGGGCAAGTGTGTTAGTGGGTGAAAACCCGAATGGGTGGCACTGCGACATGTAAGCAAAATGTTATTTGCTTCTTGGCACGCAATTGTCTGACAAAGCAACGAGGCAGCTGGGAGCACGTGCAGGTCCTGCCAGGATATGTAAATCCACGCGTGTGTGTGCATAGATATAACCATGTTCCATGTTCCATATACTATACTTTAGTTCCTCATTCTTCTCCTCCTACCAAGAAAATGGAGCAATAGTGCAATGGTATTAGTGAAGCCAGTGTAAGGACCAACCCCTCGCAGCGAAGGCAAAAGCCAAAAGTGAGAAATCCAGCAGCCAAAGGACTACGCCAGGAGCATACAAAATGCCAGCCATGGCGCAACTTGTCATAAGCGGCACTGCCGGCTTACAAGCAAAATAACCAGCCAACAAAAGGACACCAGCGAGAGCAACTCAAGCAGCAGCAGCAGCAGCAGCCACAGCAGGATACGGGAGACAAGTCAGGAGCAGCAGGAGCAGAGGAGCAACACCACCACCATTACCAACAAAATGGAGCCAGATACTGCAGCAGGTCCTGCGAAGAAAAGCGGCACCACCCTCTCCGTGGATCGGGCCGCCTTCCTCCTGCTGCGCGTCAGGAAAGTGTTCAAGAAGAAGCGACAGCAGCGCAAGGAGCGACAGTAAGTCGAATGTTTGCCATTACTTAACAACCGCCGGGGGGTAATCGCGGATTTCAGAAAGGGCAGAGGGGGGAGTGTTAGTCGGGATTTGCCGGATTTCCCAAGCAATGAATTGTCAGCCAGCCGAAGGCAAACAGAATTAACAATCTGTTTGAACGGCGGATTGAAAACGGATTGGACCGCAATCAAAACCGATTTAGTTGCCAATCAATAAGCGCGGTCCGAAACTAAATCTGGTTTTAGGAGGTTTTGTTATTTCAATTATTTATATTATATTTGGGAGGTCATACTTAATAGTTATTACATAGTTAATAGTACTTGAATTGTTAAGATTATGATTTTATTTTGAAGTTAAGTTTTGTTAAGTTTTTCTCATTTGCAAAACAAACAAGTTGCACTTCGAAGTATTTACAAACTGTAAACTACAATCCAATAATCCAATGAATAAAATACACATTTTCTGAGCAGAGAATGTTTAAATACGTAATTACATTTTCTATTTTGCAAAGCCGACTATTTATTTATATTTTTGATGATTTTTAATCCCAGCTTTTGCTTTTCTTGCTTGCTTTGAGTATGCAAAATGCGATTTGTGGAGTTTATGGCTTAGAACAACATTTAGAGCTCTAAAGGCCTCACCATTGCCAACCCTTCAATAAATACCCCAAAATCTTCTGTTTTAAGACACCCAATTTGAAAACTCTTGAAAGACTTTTAAACTTGAAAATGCTGGCACTCCCGCAAAAAGCAGAAGTCCCTAAGGAAATGAATAGAAAGCAGCTTGCATTTTTGGGGGCATTTAAAGTTTTTTTTGGCAACGCATTTGCAGGGGCGGATGCAGCGTTTGAAGGACCCTCAAAAGTAGCTGATAAATAGCTCGTGGAGCCCGAGAGGCCAAGTGTTTTTGGGGAGCGTTTGGGCGTGGCAAAGGTGCCGATGTGGGCGTGGCAAACCAATCTCAATTCCCATGCACGTACTGCTGCCATTGCTCATTTGTTTGCTGGTAGCGAAGGAAGCTGGGAAGAGCAGCTCGTTAGAGATTCGCAGCAATGTTTATCCGCAATTTCAGTAGCTCTTGCTCTTCAACGCAGTTTATTGCACAGTGGGTGGGGCTGGTGCGTGTGCTGCACGAAGAAAGAAGGAAGAAGAATTTTCGAAATTTCTTCTATATTTTTTCCCTTTGGCCTGGCTGCATTGCGCCGTAATGAAAATGCTTTTTATAGCCTTAGCCTGGCATTCGCATGCTCAACATTTGCTTAAGGAGCTGGGAACTGCCGAAGAATGCCAAGCGGCAAACTCAATTAGGCACGAGCAACCCGTTTCCGCGTTCAAGTTGCCTGCGGATGTTCAAGTAGGTACGCTTAAAGTTCACTCACTTGTTCTTAAGTTCATGGAACATGTCAGCCTTCTTTAACCCCTTTTAAACGGGGCGTGGCCGTGGCTGGGTGTCCCTTTTTGGGCTGAAAAAAGGGTCCGCCTTCCGATGATTTGATTACATGAACAACATTTGCTCTAATTATGCACGCACATGTAAACACAGCACAAATGCAATTACACTACCCTTCTGCTCACGCACACACAAAGACTGAATGCCTGGATTACAGGGCGCACACAGTGCGTATGCGTAATTTGGCAAAGCCTTTCGGCTTAGTTGCCCTTTTCACACACAAATGACGCTCGAAATGCGACAGGAATGTTGTCGTATCTGATGTTAATATGCCTGATAACCAAAGAACTTCATTAGTTCTCGTCCGAGATGCAAAGGGAATTCCCTAACTACAATATTCAAATAGGGAAATGAAGATAATCGCTGGCAAGTAATTGAATCACACGACTGTCCATGTGTTAATCCTTCCCTCAAGAGCAGTATTTCATATCCACATTCTGGAACTTGGCTCATTAAATAACACCTCTTCATTATCGGGCTGTAAACTTTTATGCCAGGCCTCATCTTAAAGCACTTTGCCCACCAATTCCGGCAGCATGTTAACCTTTTTTCACTCCTTTACTGGATGATCCCTGCTACTGCTCCTGCTCTGGCCCGTGCCCCTTTGGTCCTTGGGTAATGTACGATTTACGGTTACGAGTATTTCACGTCAATTATGTAGATCCGCTTTGAGTTATGTGAGTGGGCTGTGCCACGGGGTCGCTCACCGTCATCTCCCAACCGAGAACCTTCTTTTTCCCGGCTTTGTTGCGTTTTTTTGGAGCTCCCCTCTGTGCGACCTGTAACAGCTTGCCTTTAGTGGGTGCCGTGGCATTATTCTCGCATATATGTGCGCCTTTGTGCTCGACACTCAACACTCTGAAAGCGCCGCCAGCAAAAACCTCAAACCTCTTAGCTGCACAGCGAAAATATATTTGCCACCAAATTAGTCATTAATTTTGGTTTACGCAGATTCGCTATATCCTATCTGGCAATAACATAAATCTCAAACGGGTCAGATAGTAAGGTCATAAAATACCTAGCTTAGAACATATGTCTCTGCCAAGATTTTATATAGATAGAAATCTGAAAAATATTTATAAAATAATTTAGATTCTTAGAAAAACGAAATCAAGACGTTTTTTACAAATTTTTTACCCATTTCCCTGAGTGTACCATAAAAACAAAAGGGTGCCGTCGTGGGCCCTTCACAACTTTAACTTATTTCACTAAAGCATTATATAATTTTGCCTTTATTTATGTGTGTGGACATTGTGCTGTCTGTGTGTGTGTTGCTCTTTTTTGGCAGCTTTAACTATTTTCTCAAGTTGTCCGCTGTTGTTGCGTCGCACTCCTTCGGTTGCAAGGACGCAGATAAATTGCTTACATGATTCTTTTGCCTTTTGGTGCAACTTTGCTGCAGTTTTGCTACCATGATGGAACAGAACTAAGTGCGGGTGCAGCTTTTTGCCATGGAGAGGGAGAGAGAGAGAGCGAAAGAGAGAGCAATTGAATGTGTTGTCCCTTGGCTGGGATCTTGTAAATGCCTCTGGGTGAGGAAAACTTTGCTGATTTCTGTTCGTTCGGCATCGCCCTCCTGCTATCATCAGCATCAATATTGCATGAGGGGCGAGTAAGGGCGGGTAGCCCTGGCAGATATTCGGGCGCCTTGGCAAAATGTCAAAGTCAGAAATAAATCAAATAAAAAGTTTTCCATTTTTTGTTAGCATATACAGCAGCTCTCTCGTGCTCTTTATTTTTTGCTGTATTTTTTATTATTGCATGCAGATATATGTATAGTTGAAGGTGGGGAGAGGTGGTCGGTTTTGGGTTGGTTTGTGTGGAACTGTTCCATCAGATTGACAATTGCCAGCGAAGGACCAGAAGGACAGACGCATCTGGTGTAGGCGTCAAGTTGAGAATCGAGTTCGAGTGCCAGGAATTCAATCACACACATCAGCCTGCAGAAATTGCGAGAGAATTGGGAAAGGGAGTAAGGGGTTCGGTGGAGGCGGGGGAGGCGGTGTTCCTGCCAGATGTCACAGCCACCGTATGATATGTGAGAATGGGGTTCGTAGGGCCTGCGAGGTGTTGAAAGTAATTTCCACACAACAATCAAATGTAATTCACATGCGAGCGCAAAAAAATGCGCAAAGCGACAGCTGACAATGACACTCTTCCCAACGCACAGTGGGTGCAAGCAATAAACAAATTAAATTGTAGGAATTCTAGGCTTGCCATTGATATGAACTATGAGTGAAGATCTAAAGACGAAACACATTTTGTAATCTACATTTTGGTTTAATTTTAGTTTCCAAATAATTTGTTTTACTTTCATTCCTTATCCTCTCTTTTGTAGTTTTATTAAAGTGAAAACTTAAACAGAAACTTAAAATAGAACTTAAAAAGTTTAAATATCTTTTCTAAATTCAACCTAATCCGTAGAGCCCTTTACTATGTTGAGTTCCTAAGCTGATACTCGTAAAAATGTCATAAAACAGAATAGGATTTTAGCCAAATAACCCTTTCCCCAGGCTCAATGTGCAAGAAGAATATGCCCCAGAGAAAGAGAGAGAGAGAGGGCCGGAGCAAAGAATTCCATAGGGGGTGGTGGCGTAGCACATGCAAATGAAACGGAAATGGCATGGAGCTGTGCAATGAGAACGGGAAATAATTGCATTTACTTGCTGACACTCCCGACTCGTCGCACTTAATAAATAATAGCATTAACTTATTATTGTCACTTTCTTTGGCTCTTCCGCACCCTTTACCCATGAGTTTCTCTCAAACCCTTTTTATCGTTTTTTCTCTCTTTCCATTTCAGAGCCCAGCAGAGTGGCGCCACGGCGGGTGGCGGTGCTGGCGGTGCGGGCGGTGCAGGTGGTGGTTCCGGGTCACAATCGCGACCGGGCAGCCGCAAGCTGCCGCCGCCATTGTTACGGTCGCGCACACTACCCGCCATCATTGTGCCAGGACTTCCGGTCGTCTCGCTGCACACGGATAAACAAACATTTCAATTGGGTGCGTAGCATGCCACTGTGGTAGCAATGGGTTAATTATATTGCAAAAAAATCTCATTAAAAAAACAACGTAATTTCTTTGCACATCGATCATGAGACTGAGAGACTGCAATTACTCAAAAAATCACATTTCATGGGTTAATGTTGCATAAATAATTGCTTTAATTGTAAGGATTTTTCAATAATTAATGGGGTAAAGTCAAGAGAATTAATCTTCTGCTTAAAAGTTGTTTAAAAATTGAAAAAAAAAAAAACTACAGTGAATGTACAAATTTGAGAATTTTTGATAGTTTTTAAGATAATTTTCTACCCCTAATAATTTAACCACAACTGTAAGCATACGCGAAGAGTAAATCAGTTTAATTAAGATAACTTTGGTTTGCAAACAGAAATTGATTTATGATGGCTATGCCTAGAATCAGGCCAAGGCCATTCAATATAATCCCCATACGTGACTACATATAAATGCATTTTCCTGCTTGTTCTGAGAGCTTTTAAAGGCTTATTTGCCACCTCGAATACCAGCACTTCAATCCTTTCATTGTCTGGCTTTTGAATTACCTTTTTGCACAGGAAAATCATTTTCCGGAATTTTCACTCAAGAGTATTTGAATAGATTTTCATGGCAACATGACCAATGTCCAGATTCGATTAACTAATTGACCAAAGGGTAAAAACAGTTTAGAAATATTTTAAGCGCTGGAAAGAGAGCTACAAAAAAGGTGATTATATTATTTGAATAGAATTAAAAGGCTTCAGATATTTAAACCAAAATGTAAGATAAAATATTTAATAGGAGTTTTAAAACCATTCCTCTTAATGCTCCAACTACTACTACTACCACTGAAATAATCCGATTAAATTCAATGCTTAGCAAAATTCAAATTTCTATCGTTTTCCTTTGAAATCGAGCAAGCCTGAAAGGCTGCTACACGGAATGTTATCTTCCTGGAAAAAACTGAAAGGCTAAAAGAAAGTATGATTATAATGAAAGCGCTTTGCACACTTTCCTCTGGCATTGGCACATGTGTGTGGGTTGTGGCATGTTTGCGCCAGCAGAATATGTAATTAAGAACTTTTGACAGGTTTTCAGTACAAGTTATGATTAATATAATGAAAGTGCATTTAAGCCGCACACGCCAAAGTATCTATGTATCCATGTAAATATATATATAGCTTTATCTGATTTCCCATTTTATACGCCCAAAACATGCACACACACACACATACAGAGGAGCGTTTGCTGGGCAGCAAAAGCCGCAGTGGCAGCGCCAGCGGTCATCGTTGGTCGCTGCTCACACGTGCCACCAACAACAGCAGTAACAGCAGCAGCAACAATAATACCGCAAGCAGCAACAACAACAACAACACACATTTGGCCAACAACAACAATACTTTGATGGTAAAATCATTGAATTTGCCAAAAGACGATAGCAATTTGGTCTATCGACGAAAGTCATCGGGCAGTACGCCCCATCAGCATCAGAGCACGCACCACCACCACCAACATCATCATCATCATCATCAGCAATTGCAGTTGCAGCAGCATCAGCAGCAATTGCAGCAGCAGCAATCGCATCTGCAACACCTGGGGGACAGCTCGCTGTTCCAACTCTCCGATGACTTCGAGTGCCACGCAGATGGATCCCTGTTGCTCAGGTGGGTATTTAGAGAAAGGCATCTGAATTGGCCATTAATTAGAGATTGGTCAGCTTTGTTTGATCTTTTAACTAGCCACAGAATTAAGTTTGGTATCGGGGATAACAGCATATATCCTACTTAACAAAGCTAAAAAGCTATAAATTATTAAAATGGCAAACAATAAATATATCTTCCAAAGTCCATAATATATTGCCAACAGAAACACAACAAACTACTTTATCTAAATATCCAGTAGCCAAAAAGTTCTGAATTATTACAATAGCTTTTAGGGGTCAACTTTGTATTATCATAAGTAAACTAAGTAATAACAGTATAAAAGGAGAGAAGAGTGGAAAGTTTTGAGCCTATAATTTAATAACTTAACTAGTTCTGAAAGAAATTAATGTTATTGTGTTATCAAAAAAACATCCAACATGATTTTTATCAACAACAAATGAGGATTCTATACTCTTTTAGCTAAGATATTAAAGTAAATTCCAATCACTGATTAAGTGCCTTAAGAGTTTTCCATTTACACATCGACTTTCTGACTTATAGAAGCCGAGTTAAGTTTGTAGAAGAATAGGAATTTCAAAAATAAGCATTCCAATACAATTTTATATCCATCTTAATCTTGGTAACCTTATTCTATATTTCTCTTAGCTTCAAAGCATACTTCAAAGTACCTTTCTCTTCCACAGAATTCCCGCTCCCCATGTGGTGGCAGCGCGGGCCTATCGCCTGGCAGCCCGAAAACGAGCAGCTGCCTCCTCGGAGGCATCCACACCAATGGCTCGAGAGAACATCCTCCACGAGATACCACTGGTGGAGACAGCCAGCTCAGGATCCGGCTCTGGATCTGGATCGAGCACGACCTTCACGCGACTGGCCAAATTGCTGCATCAATCAAGCGCCCTGGCAGGCAGGTCCAATCTGCAACCACCGCCGTCGGCAGATAGTGCCGTTCAGAGTCTGGGCCGAGGATTGGGCTTGGGTCTTGGCGAGGAGGCGCCACGTCGTCTGTCCTGGGAGAGGTGCGTATACGTAATTTACAGCATTCCCCCGCCTTTTGGCCACCGCATTTGTGAGTGCGACATGTCTGCGTTGTCAACTTTCACCTTGACTGGTCTGGTGGCGAGCGCTGGTGCAATTAGCTAATTTCATTTACGCCCTCCAGCTGGGAAAGCTGATCTCGGTCGTGTGTCTCCGAGTCCGCCACCTAATGGCCAGCCATATGAGGTTGGTTGGCTGGCCAGAAGGATGGACGGACTGGGATGGTTAGCTGGTTGGACGAACTTGATGACAGGACAGCAGCTTGGTCTGCGTTCGAGTGCCGCATTTGTCTTCATTCGTTACGGTTCACGGCAGGCTAATGGAGACACATGCAGTCGCAAGATTAACACGCCCGAGGCAGCACCACACCTCTTATCCTTTACCTTGCCCCGGCTGGGAAGGATGCTGAGCTTAATTAACGTCACTCCCTCTACACGATAAGTTGCACAAATCAAACCACAGCTGGCTAGCTTGCAGGCGGTATTAGGTGGACTTAAAGGGGTCTATTACCCTGAAAGCTAAGAGCACTGTCAAGGGGAAACCAATTAAGTAATAATATCTACAAGACGGCTTTAGTAATAAGCTGGGGTAGATATTGTGTTTGGTTGAAATGATTCTAATAGTTTTGATTATTTTCAATTGCCTTGGCTTGTTGAGGAGATTGATTCATGGTACTGTTCCATGCTGCTCTCTTATTTTTATTTAATCATCTTTATTAACGATTAATTCATCCGAATATTTTTTATTCAATGCTAGACTTAGATTGAGAGAATGGATAACGATATACAAAGCCTAAAAGACAAATATAAGTTTTTAAATTAATACAAATTGAAAGCACTAGGGAAATATTTCTTTAAATTCTGTAAAGTGCTTTTAAAAGCGATTATATAAAAAGACACCAAAAACGAGGAAGCCAGTTCTTCAGATGCTTTCCGTCTGAGCAGTTCTTCACGCAATAAAATGCCAAGATTAGAAAAACATTTTCTGTACCTATTTTTGTTATGGGTTTTGTATAGTGAAGTTAAATCAGAGGATACCTCAGAAACCACCTGCCGCCTTAAGGACCCGGTACTTCAATGTGGTGCCTATTGCTTTGGCGTATTTTATCCATTAATTCAACACAATGAGAAAGTTCTGCATTTGTGGTACATAATGGCTGGCAAAGTAAACGAAACAGAAATCAAGTTGGATAAATTACTTAATGAAACTAAAACTGTAGTGGAAAGTCAGGCTAGGTTGAAAACTCAATTTCTATCCATAAATGAAACTGTAAAAAGCATTAAGATTGCAATGGAAAATAAGGAAGTGACTTGGACTAAAAGCATACCTCCATTTTTTGAGCTCTTTGGCTCAAGATACTTTCGAATCGTTGAGGAAGAGAAAAACTGGACAGATGCTGCCAGGATATGCCGTGAAATGGGTGGCTATCTAGCATCCTTTCAAAACGAAGAGGACTTTAAGGCCATCAGTGAGAAATGCAGAAATCAACCTTACTGGCTGGGCATCAACAACCGGGCTAATGTGCACAACTTTGTATCCGAGTCCTCTGGCAAAATGGCAAAATATTTAAAATGGAGATCCGGACAACCCGTTTACCACGCTGATAGGGATTTCCGCTACGTTTATATGGCCGATGGCAAAATGAGCGTTTATACACATTTGGGTTTCTATTATTTTATTTGCCAGGCAGATGAAGTTTAGTTTTGGAAAATAAATATTAAATTACAATTATTTTTAGCAGCCTTTTTATAGCTGCAAGTTGAAGTTTTTTAGTTACATTTTATTTTCTCATTTAAAAATCACAAGAAATCAGGACTATAAAAACCACCTTTAATTATAATAAATATTTGTTTTTATGCCTACAAGCTGCATAATAATATAAGTAGAACAAATGTAATGCAAGCTGTTTAATTTGTGGTTTAATTTGTGTTTTGGTTTTACAACATTAAATAATTGAGAAGAGGTTTAAATGTTAAATTAGTTTTGCTAATTTTAGACCAATGCTAATTCCAAATTCACAAGCTTTAACGTGTTTGTGGGTGAATCAAACTGTAGTCCTGATTAATTATGTAAGCACATTTATCGACGTGCAGTACAAAAGGAGGAAACGCTTTGGCCAGACCAGGCCAATATCACATGTCCCTGACGGGATTAAGCAATTTACGAGCGGAAAGACTATGCCTTGAACTCTCCTCCCCTCTCTCCCGTCTCTACTCTGCACTTTACTTCACAATGGACCACTTGCCGTTGACCATGGTCAAGAGTGTAAAATCATTTTGGCAAACAAGCCGCAGGAGGTACAGAAGGACCTTCTGTCCTTTCCACCGAACACTGATTGCAACGCTTCGTGTCTGTCTTTCTCTTTCTGACAGCCAGTACAGGACACAGGATATACTGTACTGGCTATACTAAGTTCTGCGTTCTGTGTTCTGTGGCGCAACAACGTCACTTCACCCATGGCACTGTTTTATGTGTTTAAACTTTGATATTTTAAAATGCAAAAAAAAACCGAAAAACCGAAACAAAAGGAGTCCGCTTTTGGGACGGGTTATGGCCAGCGTTGTTGTTCTGTTCTGTTTGTATTGCGTTACGTTGCTAAATTTAGAGCCAACGAGCTTGTACGCAAGTAAAACAACGTAAATGGCAAGAGTAGAAGCCAGCAATGCGCATAATAATAACTGCAAAGCTCGGCCAAGATGGAGTGAGTGGGTCCTTGGCTGGGTGGGACAGGGAAACTCCCCCAGTTAGGGTCTTAGTTGGGGTTTTTTTCCCCAGTCTTCACTGGCTTAATTGTGAATGCATTATTCATGAAACAACAGCCAAAGACAAAGATGGAGGCGGTCCATCTAAAGCTTCAACATTTTAAGAAAGTGAACAGGGAAAGCAATATTGTAGTCGACCAAGGGATATCTGCTACTTCCTTAGTGATAGAAAATTAGAACTTGGCGAGAGATTGAGGCAAGAATAATATTTTAAAGTATTCAAATACGTGAGAAACAAGAGAAAACCTTTACAAAAACACAGATTTAAGTTGAATACACATTTTTATTTGAGCTCCGTTGACACGTTAAATTAATTTTAATAAAATTTCAATCGGCAATAAATTTCCGGTTGATTTACTTCCACAAAAAGGCAGACTGATTGTAAAACAAACGTTGTCATACGCAGAAAAGGCAATTCCGCTAATGGATATGGATTTTTTAAAAATAATCAGAAGTTGGCCAACTAGGTTTTTAAATTTAAAATCCAATATTAAACATTAATACTAGAAGTTTTTTAACTTTATATACAGATTTAAAGAGAAGGCAGAAATGGCCTAAAAAGGCTTTCAAATAGGTCATCAAAAAACTTTAATAAGTAATAGTTAAAACCCCAGTGACTTGGCCCTTCTTATTATTTCCTCTTTTTGGAACATATTTGCCTAATTCTAAAGCTAAAATCTATCATACCCCTGTACATTACCATCAATGGGTACAAGAAGATGGAGAGGACGCGAAGCGAAGCCAATAAAATCGTGTCCTGCCACCTCCAGCTCCACCGCCACAGTCGTGATGCTGTGGATAAAGTTTTGTGCGTCTTGTCGCCGCTGCTCCTGTGGCAGAAGGAGCAGCCACTAAACTAGCTGGGACAACAAGATGCCACTGGAAGTTCGAGTAAACGAACCATAACTGAAATTGCGCATACGTCATGTGCGCCATGCACACACCAAGAAATGCCACCCACACAGAAACACAAATACACAGACACACAGATGCGAAAACAAATACAATGACAAAACTCATTAACTGGGTTTTCGTGGGCGGCGGCAGGTTATGTAGTGTAAAATTTTATAAATTGCATGCGGCTTCGCGGAACAGAAAATAAATAAAAATACAAAAAGTTTAGCTAAAAGCCTCGACGAAGTCGGCGACTTGCTGATGTCAACATCAATTTGTGAGGCACGGCCGCCATTCTGTTTCTGATTTATTTTCAGTTTCACTTTGTGTCCTTTGAGCGGGGGTCTGTATTTGTGTGTGTGAGTATGAGTATGTGTGAGATCGGCATAAAAGGTCGGAAAATGCGAGTGGAAGCCCCCGCTATGATGATGAGCGACAGACAACAACCAAAAATTTGCCAGATGTGACCCCGAAAGAGTCGACTGGTTGGAGTTGGCCAACAGTCATTAGGCCTAATGTGTGGCTCATTTGACCGGGGCCAAAAGCATACTCATACACACACACACCCCTATAGCCAAAAAGGATATCGATCCAGAGTTAACTAACTTCTATGTCCCAATGCACTTTTCACTCACATCCAATTACTGTGCAGGCGACACTAAGCCATGTCCCAGTCAATTGTTTTGAGGCTGCCAACCCACATCTGAATCAACTGCCAGCCAGTCCCCATTAAGGCCATTTTCCACACTAGGTTGACAGCTTCTTCGCCCATCCTAAGCTTTAAGGAGTTCTTCAAGGACGTGCCAGAAAATTTCTAGAGTATTTCACTTTTACCAAAACGAACTTCGAAATATTTAATGCCAGGCAAGGATTGTGTGCGTAAATGTGTCACTTGTTCTTAGCACATTTCCGGAAAATCACCTATGATGTGGGGGGGAGTTGTGTGTAAAGTGTAAATAAGGAGACCAAATGACAGACAAACTGGGCAGGGAAAAGACAGTCCCACATTAGAAAATGCCAAAGAAATGTACTGAAAGAAAAGGAAAGTCTTTTATCGAGGTTTTAGATTTTTAAAGAATTTTTCTTCAAATATTATAAATAAAAGATTTTTTTTTATTATATTGACAAGTTTAGAAACTTAATGTCTTATATAGAATTTTCTCTAAGTACACACGCCATATACTTTCAGTTCACCAGTTTTACCTGCCAAATTTATACGACCTTGCCAAGTCAAATACTCTTGACTGTTTTGTTGATTTTTGCGATATATAGTATCCCTGGGCCAAGGAAAACACAGGCCAAGTTTGCTTGGCAGAGCACTTGACTTATTGCCACCAGTTGGCAGTTGGTTAAAGTGCTTGTATGCATAAGTTAATAACAATCATTATTATCGACAGCTCCTACTTTAGATGCCGTCTGTTGCCGCCATATCCAGAGTTACATTTTGAGGTTTCCTAGCAAACAGGCTGCAATCTTATTGCTGGCTTAGGCCAAAGAGAACCGACAACTGAGAACTTGAGGCATATGGTCGCCTGTCATTTCTCATCTGCATCGCAGGCCAACGTCTACAATGAGGTTGACAACTGGCAAGGGCACAACACGCCACAGTAGCAAGTCAAGTAGAGCTAACTAGGGTCTACTTTGCCGCCTGTCGCCTGCCGTGAAATGTGTCTGTGGCTTGGGGGGTTTCTTATAATTCTTTCGTCTTCTTCTCCTTCCCCAAACCAAAATCAACCCCTACGCAGTCCCCAGTCACAACCCCTAGAATTCTGTAGTCAAGTCCCAGCCATCAGCCATCAGCTATCAGCGACGATGACGAGAATAAGTTTTTGCACCACAGTTTACTATAGGATGTGAAGGTACACTTAGGAGAAAACAAGCATGGTCTAATTTGTGATGGAATAATACTGTTCTTAGTGATAAGAATTATGTTATATAAACCCAATACGTTCTTATCATTACTTTGATAAAATGCCAACTTTATCTTAAAAGACACCCCTGCTTTTGCACAGTGCAACAAGGGAAATGGCTGCTTGATGGGAAAAGGGTTTTTCTTTTGGGGTTGGGGAAGCACTTCGTTTGTTGCTTAAAAGCGTCGTAATTTGATTGAATTTGCGTTGATTAAGCGTATTTAGCTGTTGGCAAATTATGAATGTGTTTAATTGCAAACTCACTTAATTGTCTCATGGGGGTAGGGCAGAAGTTCCAAGTAAAAGACGGAGATCTGAAAGAGAGACACTGGGTTTATTATGGTTTCGGATTAACAGAATTAGCGAGTGTGTGTACGAATGCATCCAGCTACAAGGAGGGATCCTCTGTGGCAACCCCTGGACCCATCCACAGACATCACTCAAATTGACTTTACGAGGGGCGTTGAGATTGCCGACAGCTTTTGCGGTTTTAATTGAAAATGTTGCGCATACGACATGTTTTACTCACTCACACATCCGAAACTCATATTAATATATGAGCTTTCATTGGAGGACAAATTGGTTACCAACTCGCTGGCATAGAGAAAGTTCAGCCCAAGGTTGGAGCGTGCTTAATGTGGTCGAGTTTCCCCAACTTGACTCTGATTATGCAAATGCTGTAAATGAGCAAAAGTGCGTCGGCAGGGGCAACTCAATTTGTGTGCTGCTTGCAAATTAATTCAGGGTGGTGTTGAAAACATAGCAAATATATAGTATGATGCAGCAAACGGCAAAACAAAGTTCGCAACTAAAGTTCACTGTGCATTCACATCATGAATCGCTATCCAGCCAGCTAGGCAGCCAACCCGTTTCCCGTTTTCCCAAGCAGTCAGCAAATTAATCCATTACTAGGCCGCCAAGTGGACCGTAAATTGCAGTTTACTCTGACCCATCAGCCAACATCACCCACCTCGATTTGCAGGCCATAAACTTGACCAGTCATGGGCAAAAGCGTGCCAGCAAAATGCCAAGAAAAGTGAGGAAAAAACGCAGAAAAGTGTTTGACTTGAATGAAGAAATACGCTCGACCGGCTACAAACATGCGTCAACTTTGTCAGCATTACCCGCAGCAACACATTAGAGCCAGCTGTCCGCTGTTGTGCCTGCACTTAGCGCAAAATGTGGCTAATAAATATAAAAGTAATACAGATTTATGCTAATCGAAATAGGTCTCACAAAATAAACATTAAAGTTTATACTCCTGAGTCGAAAATGAGTAAGCCCTTTCTCTTAAAGTCAAACCTAAAACTAATCTTTTGTTTTAGGGCTAAAAACTACGAATGATTTACCGAAATCATATCATTTTTTCTCCGTGATTTCGCACAGCAGTGGCGACACTTTTCCCGCTGCCCCGACGAGCGGCTTTCTCCTCTCTTGGCGTGGCCATAAAAAAGTGGACACATTATGGCAACTAGGCCGGCCAGTGACCGCAGCGGCACTTAATGGTCTGCGGGCAGCTCATTAAAATGTCAGACAGCGTGAAGTAATTACGATACTCTGCAAGTTTGCACTTGTTAGAAGAATCCCCAGCCATCCTCTAAGGGAATCTCCACCAGAATCCATTGAGTTGCTCATCGTGTTTCATGACTTTGGTTTATGTGTTTCCCTTTTCCTATTTTTATTTTCTTCTTGCAGGCGCAAGGACAGCAGTGCTCTTCAGCGTTCGGCCAGCATCGACTCCTTTGCCGAGATTGTGTTTAGCGAATCGCCACGCACCTCACTGGCAGTCACGGGGCCAGGTGCCACCTCCGGAGCTGGTGCCCCTTCGCCATTCAGCAAACGTCCTTCGGCCAGCAGCCTGTACTCCACCTCAACGTCCAGCTCCTTCGGCTCGCAGGCGCAAGCACAGCTGAATGTCAATTACGGTGACTCGACAGTCGGATCCGGATCAGCGGGTGGACCGAGCTCAGGTCACCATGGGGCGTCAGGTGGAGGCAATGGGGGCAGCAGTGCCAGCAGCAGCCGGCGTGAAAGCATGCTGAGTCCCTCCTCTACGCGCCGCTCCAAGCTGACCAGAATCATAAACGGTGAGTGCGGCAAATCGGATGCGGAATCCACAATTTCTATTTTGTTGCCAGGCGATGCGTGCCATATCGATGGATAGTGCTGGGAACTATCTATCTAGTTTTTTTCCTTTTTATTTATTTTTTACAGGCATATCGAATTCGTAACCTTAATTGCGGTTTTGGTTGCTGTCTTAGGGAATAACACTGTTCATATGTTCATTTAAGATGGTTCACTTAAAACTAAATATATTGATAAACAAACTAGTACACAGTGATATTTATAAAACATTATGATACATAGCGGCTTACAGATATGAAAATAATTATAAACAAATTCAAAGGGGGTTTTTGATATCAACCCTCATATAAATATAGAAAAATGAACTCATAATGAACTATCAATATAAAGATTTAATTAAAACTTAACGAGTTATGGCTTATGATTTTACACTAAATGGATGTCCCATTTAGGAGTAAATTAATATCTATAAGTAGTGACTGACAACATACAAGCTCTTAAGTACAAATTACCTATATAAAAAGCACATATTATACCTTTCCCATCACTGTTGAGTTGAAAAGTGAGCTTCCTGACCAGATGGGGAAATGGAAGTGGACGGAAAGAGCTCATCGTTCTAGTCATCGGTGGCTTATTTATTTCGATGCAGCCGGCTGATTGAAATTCAAATGCGCACTTCAGTTTTCCGGATGGAAAGCCGGGCAGGCGCGGTATTAAATCGATTGCCACTTGGGGCCAAGTGCTCAAGGCTCAAAGTCTAAGGGATTGGAAATCACAGAGAGCCGTATTAAATCACAAAATCAATTTAATGCAACGAACCAGAGAATCTGTGAAAACTTTTCTTAAAGTTACAATATTTAGCATTGAGGACGACGATGAAAACAAACTTTTAAGGCCTTAAAATTCTCGACAGCCGGTGTAAAGGTGAAAACTTGTGCTGTTGTGCTTCGTGGTTCAATCGGTTGAAATAGTTACTAGAGGTAAAACCAAAAGTTGTTGAAAATGCTCAAGCGGCTTCCTCTTAACAAAACTTCATGACCAAACTTTTCCTGGAAGTGCTCTTCAAAGCCTATCGGAGTGGAAGGAAAGAAGAAAAGCTGAAACAAGTCTACGATTAACACAAATCAGTAAACGAAGAAGAATATTAATGCTTTCAAAAAAAAATACTTAATTTAACGTATGATAATATAGTCACCTTTTTTTGAATGATTTACACTTCAGAAAACCCGAAACGTTATATGTATTTTTTAAAAGCATTCATATTTTTATAATATTTTCCAAACTGCAGTTCTCAATTACTAAATTGATCAATTTATTTCAATTTTTCCTGTGTAATTATATCGCCTTCTTCAAGAAATTGCTTGAGATAAATACTTAATAAAGTCGAGCTTCCTCTCCCAGCCTTCGAAACAAGGGATAAGGCTTTTGCTGCGATAGCGAAAAATAGACTTTCTGAGAGAGTGATCTCTTCTCTCCCACTCACTATCCGCTTTATCGCTGCCCCCCGCAGAGAAGCTTCCAAGCTGCAACGCCACTCAGAGTGACGAACTTTTAGTGATGACAGTTTAGCTTATTTTGACTTTTTCTTAAGGTTTTAAAAAATATTTCATTAATTTATTAAAGATCAGGTGATTTACATTCACATTCCGTTTTACGTTTGCTGATAAACATAATTCTATTTAAAATATTTTGATAAAAAACTAGATTTATACACAAGTCTAGCTAGTTTTTGAATACCCACCGCTTAATAAAGCCGATTTCTTGGAAGCACTGCGATTAACTGTGAAGCGCTGACCATTAACGGCCAACGCCAACGCCAATGCTGACGCTTACGCCGACTGCGACTGCGACGCTAGCGCGGGCTGACAACAACGGTTACGATCGCAGGCCCAACAACTGACTTTGTTTTTTCTCCGATCTCCATGTTCAGTCCACGATCGTCTTTTGAGCGGAGAGCGTAGAGCGCGTCGGCGTCGCGAATAAGAAAATCCCATTCAGTCGTTAATATTTTGAAAAGCGCTCCAATTGGTGAATGTTATAATCCGAATTCGGATCCACTAGATAGATCTGCTATTTTGTTTTGAAAGTGCTGAATAAGATCCCGGATTTCTGGTGAATTTGTGAAAATCGTGCAAATGAAAAAACGCGTCTCTTTGCGTTTTGTTTCTGCTTCGCTTGCTGCTCCTGCATGTGTGTGTTAGTGTATGTATATTCTGCTACCTGTTTGTAACATAGCTGTGTGAGTGTGCGAGAGAGAGCGAGATCGCCTTGTTGGTGTTACCTGCTCGAAAAGAGAGAGCAGAAATGTGAGTGTGTGCGTATGTTGTGCTGCCTGCTTAAGAAGTGTCAAAAAACTAAAGGCGTCGCTTTCGTTTTAAAAAGAAACGTAAAACCCAAAACAGTTTTTAAACTAACAAAAAAAACACAGTAAATAGCTTCGAGCAAAGAGAAATTCATGATGTGATGTGTGTGTGATTATTTGCAATGTTAATTAAATATTACGTGCTAGTAAAAACTGCAATTTGCTGGGAGACAGTTGGGCTCTAACGGTAATTGGATTGCATGTCCAACTTTGTGGGAGCCGCAACAACAATTGCTCCGGCTGAAAGAAAGAGAGGGGGCAGCGAAAGTGAACTTTTGCTTTTGCGCCAGAGAAGGACGGAGAGACAGTGGGACAGGGTGAGAGAGCAATTTACTCACGTGTCTATCAAACTGTCTCCCTGTTGATGCGTCTTCTTCTTCTTCTTCACTGCTTGCCGCCCCCCTTTTTGATGCAACATAATTATTTACACTGGAAAAAAATAATATTGCCCTATAAGAAAAATGTTGGAATTTTATACATTTTTAAAAAAATGGGAATTCCAATTTATTATAACAAAATTTTTGTTCTCTCTCATTGTGAGATAATGTTTATAATAACAAGCCACTTTGACCAACTGCGACTTAAAAACACTCAATCGGATTTCAAGATATTCTTTCTGTGTACCCTCGTCTCTCGTTCGCACTCACACAGCCGTAAGAAACTGCAACTGTAAAAAGCTTTTCGCAAGCCGACCAATCTTTGTTGTTGTCTCATTTGTTGTGTTGTTTTCACAGTCGACGTTTTCATTAAAGTGGTTTGTGCAGCAATTTTAAATACGCTCCCCGCACAATGAACAGGTAAGCTCACGCACACATACTTCACCTTTAGTACACACACACACAAACATACACACAACAAAAACACACACTTTTACACAAAGGCAGCCTCTTACTTTGTCGTTGTTTTTCAAGGAAGATAAGTAGAGAGGGTGGAGATGGGGGTAGAAAAATATGCAACGACATGAAAAACTTGAACTATTGCAACATTTTTGCGTTGTCTTGGCTTTTGTTAACCAAGGTTTATTCACACCGCAGGAAAGTCAAAGTTGTCGGCGTCTGAAAGGAAAAATGTTTCATCTGTTATTCGGAAAAACCCACAACTATAAATAATAAAAAAAAATCTTGTCAGCTAAGTTTTTCATTTTTTCCTCTACTTTTTCCCAAATGCATGTTGTGCCTTGCGGTTAGTTTAACTGCAATTTCTGCAGTTGACAGCTGCAAATTTGGCTCAGCACGCAATTTTCCTAGGCCACCAACCAACTAACTCGGGTTGCCATTTTCCACCCACTTTGCAACCAATTCAAGCTGAAGTTCACGCTGACCATTAATATTTCAACGGTTGTTTTTAGCCGCCATTTCTATCTCGGTTCGTTTAGCAAAACAAACCCGTAAACCCCCTCAACATTTCCGCCCATAAAGTTCAAGTGACGTATGCGACTCTTGTGTTTCGTATTTTCGTTTGCCCATAAAATAATCCAAAAAATAGTGAATGACGAAAGTTAGTGGTTCTTAAGCCTGGAAAAATATGTTATTCTGGGTCTCAATGCACAAGGGAAAATCTACCAAAAAGGGGAATATTTGTACTTTCTTTAAGAAAGATTTAAGTCTCAACTAAAAGTTCATTTTGTAGATTGTGAATTAAATTTTAAGAATTAAAAGAATTTGATATGTGATAAATCATACATCCTTTTTTAAAAACTAACAAATTATGAAGTAACGGGCTAGTCACCATTTTCCCTCAGTGTAGCTAAGTTCTGCGATCCCGCATTTACCTGAAAGAAGACTTTCGGAGGGTTGGCAAAAGGTGTACCCACCTAAAGCACTTAAGTACGCCCCGCAGGCCAAAGTTTATGTTTGCGTTTTGCTATTCTATTTTATTTGGAGTTGGTGCACTTATTAAAAAGTTTTAAATGTTTGATTAAAAAAGAATTCATCGCAAAATTTGTTGTGGCACATCGCTGGCAACTTTTACCAATTCCTTAAGTTTGTTTACTTTTAGCCTTCCGTCTCTGCTTCGAACCAACCGTCTTTTAGTTATCGCATTTGTTGGTTTTGGCAGCTCAAAAACTTGCGCAGCTCATGGCTGAAAAATAAACATAAGCAACAGAACAACAAGCTGGGCCAAGATATCAGTTGTCGTCGATGTGTATTGTATAATATGTCTGTAGATAAGGTTTTGAAAACCCCTATAGGTGTGTTCCCATTGATTAAGGTAGAATGAGAGATTTGAAACGTTGGACATTGTTTGCAAAATGGGGGAATAGCGTGACTTGTGCTGTAACGAAATTTGAATAAGAACCACTTTTATAGCCCTCGAAACGGTTCGAAAACAATAGAGAGCTCTGTCAGCCACCTAATTCATCGTATGACAAATCTCATTTTTCAAGCAGTTATGTATGCAAGCCGTTTAGCCATTTTTCTTCGGCTTTCATTCAATGGCTTCATTAGCACCGGATCTAGAACGACCCCGCCCACGACTGACTCATTAAGTTCCAAGAAACGCTAATTTATTGAATCTCTGCCTGTAATAGGAGCAACTCTTTAAAAGGCCTTCGCATCGATTTTCAAATTTCCCAACGAGCTAGCAACCAACGAATCATGCAAATTGTAAAGCTAAAATGGTCTTCAGTCAGAGCCATCAGACCTTTGGAGCCCTCCACCCCCCAGCTCCCATGCTTAACCCAGCTGACCTTAGACTCTTCTCCGGTTACCTAAAAGCTATGTCTATAGCTATTCTCATTCCATTGTCTGTGCCAGTGCGGAGGGGCTGTGGGTTCTCTTCGAAATCGCTTTACAAAGCAGATAAGCAAAGTGAAATCAATCAAAAGACTTTTTATATCAAACAATATAAATGAAATGCTTTGCCGTTGTCGTTATAGCTGTGATTCTCTACATATCTTCGACGGCTGAATTGAAGTAGCGTTTGTCACGTTTGTCACAGAAAGCAATGAGCACGTAGAACCCACACGGCGGACCACCAATACCAATCCCAATCCCAATCCAAATCCGAATCCCAAAACACGGTACCCGGACGGATATCCAGAGTTGGTAGATACAGATACACACACATATGGGAATGCAAATGAATGGCTATGGGCTATGGGCGGTACATATGTCAAATACCCTGCTCTGTGGCTTCCGCAGAGAAAACTTGAACGACTTTTGAACTTAATGCCATCAAAGGTCACACGAACAGGCAGTGGGACACGCACTCGTGGTAGTGAGTGACCCAAATGTGTCGCTGGAGCTCAGAGCTCTCTTACGGGGTAAACTTGTTCTTCGACGGAAATTGTAACAAGGCGAAAGATTCCGGGAAGCCCCTGAAAGAAACGCAATACCAATTTGTAGTACGAACTTTAATTTAGAAAAACGTAGCAAAAAACGTGAAGTACTTAGCTTTTTATTAAATCACAAAAGTCAGAGAAATACGAAATGTTGCTTCTCACGAGAAGAGAATTTTCTTTCAATTTAAAACTTAAAACGCATTTTATTGTTTTTTGTTGCTTATTTTTTGTACATAAAAGATAAATTTAAACGTTATGAAGACTTACAATGACTAAATGTATTATTTTTAATATAAACCGTATAATACTTTATTATCTGAATCGAAAACGCTTAAAAAACTTTTGTCAAGGCACGAGTAACTTTCCAAAGCAAACATGCTGAAATTCATACTATGTTAAATTACAAAACTCTAAAGGGACTTACCAAAATTAGTGAGTTAAAAGTTCGTTGTTGATTTTTTGACTTTTTCTGTATGCGTATTAAAACCATGTTAATAGTGCATTCCCTTCCTCCAACCTCTCTTCCCATATCCCGCATAAACTTTTCAATTTGCGGCCCAGAAGTCTAAAAACCAAAAAAAAAAAGCCCTGAGATCCCTTTATGCACGACAGATTTGCGCCTTGACCCCGCTCAGGAGGAAAAAAGAGAAATCCCACAAAAAAAAAAAAAGTCAGCGGCAAAAACTTTGTGCAAATCGCGCTGGATTTACATAATTTTAAATGCTGGCTTATTGGTTTGTGTTTGTTTCCACAGCGGATCAGGCGGAAGATGGCAGACGGCAGGGGAAAATGGGCCAGGAAGTTGGGCGAGTCCGAGTGACCCGGTCGAAACGTTTATTGCCATTTTGGCTTGGACTTTTTCCTCTTGGCTTTCAACTGAGAGTGTGGGTTTTTTTTTCATTCATTTCTCAGTTGGTTTTCTTTTTTCTTTTTTGACTCTGTGATAGCGACGAGGGTCCAATTTGCATATCTGATTAATATGAATACATTAGTTTCGTGATTTGGCACAGTAAACCAATAGAATTAAATGCGTTTGCTGATTGCAAAGACAAAGGTCAAGCCAAAGCCCGACATCCCGCAGAAATGAATGCCTTTGGGGGTCTGGTTACTTAAATTCAATTAGCGTTTCCGCTGAACTCCTCATAATGCGATTTGCACTCGAAATCAGAGACATATAAAATATGCTTTTTGTTTGCGCCTGTCTGCCAGCCTGAATTCTCTGCCTTTTTCCTCATTTCCAACTCAAGACTCCAGACTCGACTCGACTTGAGGCACACACACATACTATAGAATGTTCTCCAGAGCAGCTTTTTATTGAGGAAGCAGCAAATTTATTTAAATTAAGTCGAAAATGCTTGGTTGCTCGCTCGCTTGGCTGCTTGGCAACTTGTCTGCTGCTCGTAAGTAAGTTTGCTAAATGTGTGGTAGATTTGACAATAATTGTCACAGCGCAGAATGTAAGATTAATTCTGCATAATTTACGGGGGTTTTCCAAAGAGGGGTGTCCTGCCTGCCATCCTGACTGAGAGTAAACCCCATTATTGGGACTCCCTTGTCGTCTCCATTAAGTGGATTATGTTGTTTTGTCTACTCTGGAGGATTGTTGGGGGCCCATTGGATGACCTCTATCCCGTCCTTCTACATCATCTCATTCCTCGCTAAAGCTGTCGTCGAGAGCGTTCGCTGTGATTTATGTTGGGCAATTTTGTGCGGCGTAGCTTCATAAATTTTATTATCCTGCAATTGCAAAACCGACTGCCCAGGGCACCCACTCTTGCCTCCAGCCCCCATCTGAAGCATTTTTTTCGTTACTGTCACTCTCTTTTTTCAAGTTTATGGGTCAGCAAATTTTATTTATTGCACACCCTCAATTGACAGTTTAGTTTGATTTGAGCGGGGATGGACGATGGACCTAACTCCCAGATATTATCAGTTAAATAGCCCTAAGCTGATGTGCTTCGCGAAGGGGGGCAGTGTCAGTCATAAACAATATTTACAATGAATTTGTCATGATTCATAGTAAAGTATAAACACTCTTTAGTAATCTCTACTCAACTTTGACGAAATCTTAATTATAACTTTCAATTTTCTTTACCGTATAAAAAAACTTAATTACTGAACAAAGCAGCAGCAAAAATATACTCTTAAAAGATAATAACATATTATTATTACATACCATTAGATTAAGTCATGAAATGCTTAATTTTCAAACAAAGAAAACTGATCTGAGAAAGCTCATATGTAGATTTCTGGAATATGAACTCAAATTCTCTTTAAAAATTGTTCAAGATTCAAATTTCCCAAACAGATAAGCATAAATAACAAAGACAAAGGAATGTGATTAGGTTTAGCTAACAAATACCAAAGGTATTAGTTTACAGTTTGGGAGTGAATCAATTGTTGATATGTTTACTAAGCCAGAGTTGCAATATGAGTATAAATCTATGATAAGCCTGACTCACCGCCATGCCCTTCGTCACTGACCTCGCCCAAGCGTTTAAATATTAATAGATGATTTCCGAGACCCTCTAATTCCAAGCATTTTCGAGGAGCCAAGTGGCTGTTGACAGTTGGACCAAAACCAGCGTGCGACACTCATTCACATGGGACAATGTCTAAAATTAGCAAACAAATGGAAATCAAACAAAAACCCACGCGCGTAAATATAAAAGCAATTTGAAAAATGAAACCAGTTTCGGTTCGATTGAGGAGAGGGCACACACATTACAGATTCATCTTACGTTTTTCGGTGTTCCAATTAGTTTTCCATTTTACTGCCCTGGAGCATTTTGTGAGGCTAATCAGGGTCTGACTTTCGACGACTCCTAGACGCGACGTAAATTTCATTTCATTCCATTTGTCTTCATTGCCTGGGGCGACGACGGCGGCTACACCTATGTATATAACAGCCGCCGACGACGACAGACATCGATAAATCAGGGCCAGGAATCGAACACAGCAGCCGCAGGAGTGGCTGCATTTGTCCTCCAAGGGTACCTTCTCCTCAGCTGATTTGTTTTTGCTTTACGATGCTTGAAATACCCGATAATTGATTTTACAACACCCTCGTGCTCACCCTCATGACCGACGACTGAAAAACAAAAGCATCCTTGGGAATTTTTCTGGAACCGCGTCAGCTTAAGCGAGTTTAAAGGCAGGTATATGTAAATGCGGCCGTCTAAAATTAAACCAAAAGCGCGAAGCCCAGTAAACAGGGATCAAGTAGATTGATATTTCCTGAAAATATAATCTAGAGGGTAGGTAGCGAGTTGGCAATCGAGTGAGGGAGAGAAAGAGAGTAAGGTGAGCTACCTAAGCGGCCCTCTGTATAGGAAGTATTTAAAGTACAACTGCGGGCAAAATACTAGTACACAGTCTTAATTCTTTTTTATAATTTCTTTAATTTGTTTACCCTGCTTAAGCACACTAGTGCTATGAGTCAATTCATTTATGCGATCAATTATGTTTTTAATCTTATCTAATCTAGTCGCGTTTATATGAAACTAGTTAGTCACTGATAATGCTATAAAATTCCACTTCTATGAGAAATTTATAGTGTAGTTTTAGATTATGAGCCGCAAGTTATGTTTCTTCTTGCGATTTCCATTCGAATGCTACTTAACTGACCTCAACTGTAAATGGAGAGATCGTGAGAGATAAACAGGAACAGGGAGAGCCTGTCATGAAGAGAGCCTGTGAGTTGAGTATTTGCTTCTGAATCACATCCCGAAACCGCTCTCAGTTTGAGTTTGAAACACGCGACGCGCACAACGGAAAATCCTGGCATAAAAACCCAATCGATCGAAAAACGGAAAAACTCAACATAAGGAGGACATACCTCCCTAGAGAGAATCTAATTCAGGGAATATATCATAATAAAAAACCAAAACAGAGAAATAGTGCAGAACTAAACCAGTTCCAGTGACCAATGGAGCGTCGCAAGGCTCTCAGTTCGTATGCCAAGTTGAAGGACCAGCAGGAGGCGGCGGCAGTAGCAGCAGATATTATGACGCCGCAAAAGGATAATGAGAGCGGCGACACTCTGCCCGCATTGCGCCGCTCTCACTCCGTCCGTTCCTCCCTTCGGAGGTTAAAAAACAAGCTGCACAGTCCCGCCCTGCCGATGCAGTCTCCTTTCAAGCTTCGCACCCAGCTGCACATGCGCAGTCGCAGCTCTCGAGGATCGGCCACCTTGGACAAGAGTAAGGCAGTCAAAGCACTGCGCATGCTGGGCGATTTGGATGCAGTTGCTGTTCTGACCACCAAAGTGAAAGGCAAAAAAGAATTTGTGCCACTGAAAAGAGATATGAATTCGGATTCTTGTGACCACGGGGAGTTGGGCATTGAAATGCTTATGTCCTCATTGCCAGTGGGTGCAACGCTGCCCAGGAAGGCCTGCAAGTTGCTCCAGATTCCCGAGAGCTACTGCCGAAAGATGGATCAGGCACCGAAAGCCACACTCGACTCAGATCTGGAGAAGACTTTAAGCGGTGAGGAATCTAGTTCCGTGTTGGCGGATATCACACTACATGCCCAGCAGGGCATTTATGGAACGACGCGCATGCGCACGGCCACAATTCGGAAGCCGATGCCTTACCTGAACAGTCGTAGGTGTCCTTTAAGCCGTTTTATCTAAATCTTTGAAAGAACTTAGAAGTGTGATTTAAAATAAGTAAAGAGTAATGTGAATGTGAATTAAATAATAAGTTTGATAGTGTTTCTGGATTACAAATTGTTAAGGCTTCAACATTCTAAGAACTAAGGCAGGGGAAATACTTAAGAGACAAAAATATTTGTTCATCAAGCCATTCAAATCCTCGAAAGAGCTGAGGGAATGTTGATTCTGTGAAGCCGAAATTCTACCTGAAATCTTGTAGGTGCCCCCTTTAATCCTCTTATAAAATTTCTTTTGTTAACCAACTGAGATTATGGAACAAAAAACAAGCATAAAAGAGCTTCACAAAAACACGAAAAAATATGTTCGTATCCTTAAAAAGAGAAAATGCAAAGTGCGACCACTTAAAGTGCGTTTTATGCGAACAAAGAAAGCTTTTCATCGTGCATTTCCTTCTAGCCAATAAAACGGACATTTGGTGCCAGCTTATAAAGCGATTCAGTGGAAGTTTGTGTATATCCCAGTTATGTTTTGATGACTTTGTTTGCGTTTCGCCAAACTCTTTTATTGCATATCCATCAAGTTTTGATTTGAGATTTTTATAGCCCCGCAAGTAGGTCATTGAACTATTCCGAATGGTGTGTGTCACACGAAAGGCACGGCAGCTGTCTTTGTCTATCTCAAGGGTAGGGTTTCCCAGGCCAGATATCCCCGTGCGCTTTATCATTACATCACAAAGCGATTTTTCTTAGTAACTCGTTTGCATTTGTCTTTGCCATGAATTCCATTTGTTTACAATAACCATCGGTGAAGCCCGTTAAAACGAGTGGGATATTCGAGATGAGGAGGATGAATATTCATTTCAAGAGCTTGCATAAAAACATAGATATACAAACATATATATAAAGCAGACTGCACACATGTGAAGACAGTAAAAACTGGCTTAATCCATGGCCAAAACGAGTCGTTAATGTTGTGTGCTCTTGCAGATGCTACCACAGCGATAGCACTAAAGTCCCCAATATGACGCAGAAGCTCCCGATGAGCAGCTGTCTGCGTTCTCCGGCGGTCTTCGTCCGCCAGAAATCGTTTCACACGCTCAACGAGCTCACCAGGTTCTGTCAATTGAAAGTGTCCCCACATCGGGTACCCAACGCCACCTCGACAACATCACCATCATCATCGCCAGCAGCGGTGCAACAACAGCAACGTCGCCATAGCCACTATGCCATCGATGGTAAGAGAGAGATCGGTAGTTCTCTGGCTGCCCTTAACCCGTATATATAGGAGAATCCCCCATGAGGGGTAATTAAAAACACAGAGCCACACCATATCATCATAAATGCTAGCTCTCACACAACCCATATACATATATATCTACCAGATCTATCAGCGAATTAAAGTCAATTGAATGAAAATTGGTGGGTGGCTGGCTTCGCTGACTGGGGTGGGTGGGTTCGTTAATTCGGGACCAGGTGGGTTGGCTGCTTCATGGAGACCTCACTTAACACACTCCACACACGCTCTAAAAACAACAAAACACACACACTCGAACAACCAACATACATACTTAGCTTGCATCCACAGCGAACGGTTTGCGCATAATTAATTTAATTGGCTTTGGTCATCGGCAACGGCATTCCCAATTGCATAGAATAATAGCGGCGGCGATGAATAGGGGAGAGAATGGCATTAATGTTTAATATTTAATTAATCGCAAGCAGAAACGGCAATTATTGTAATTTAATTGCATTCTACTCACACAAAACGTGGTGCTTCTGGTCATATTTCCCATTGTAAATATTTGCATAAACAAACACACATACCAAATACACACATCTGCGTTTAATTTCTATTTATCCTTTTATTTGATTTCCATTTTTGCATTTAATTTGATTTGCCTTATTTATTGTTATTCAACACAAATCACACACAGACAACATATTGCCGCAAGATAAACGTGACTGTGACATCGATAGTGTCAGGCTGCGGGAGAAGCCGAGTGCCGGCAATAACAACCAGGACAACTATCCCACCTACTATCCAGCTCCATTGCTGTCCACCAGCCGCTGGTCGGAACAGTTGACGCAGCATGCAACGGTAGCAAAGTTACGGACAGCCATCTCCTGCCACTCTCAGGATCTCAAGGAAATGGAATTCCTTCTGCCACATACGCGAACCGAATCGCAAAACAATTCCCAATCCCAGCTGTGCATCTCACGGCACTCACAGCCTAAGAATGCCAAACTACGGGATGATCACGACGACACGGGTTCCTCTGAATTGGATTCACCGCCCTTGGGAGATGAGAATGCCTCGGCTAATGGACAACTTTCCGTGCACAGGCAATCAGTGCAAATGCGCAATAAAATCCCGGGGAACACACCTCATCCGCGGGCCAGTAAAATGTCCAAGAAACAGCTGAAGTTGGCCCAAGCCCAACTGGACAAACTGACGCAGAGCAATCTGCATTTGCATGGTATGGCTCATAGTACAATCCCACATAGGTTGGCACGCATCGCCTCCGTTTCTAATCTTCTAAAGCTGATTATATAGACTTAAATAGGGTTTTTACAGACTTCTCATTCGGTTTCCTTTATTCACAGCTCTGTTCTCTGCGGTGGAGCATGGTCATCTGGAGAAGGCGCGCACTATTCTAGAGTCCACCGACGTAGATGTTAATAGGTGAGTTATATTATTCTCAGTAGAAGTGGATATATACCTACTAAATAATTATTTTTTGTAGCATCAATAACGATGGACTATCTGCTCTAGACCTGGCAGTCCTAAGCAATAATCGCTCGATGACCAGAATGCTTCTCCAGCATGGCGCTATGGAGGGCTCTCAATGTAAGTGAGAGTTAATTTATCTTTCGAATGTTCTTTTCATCGATCCATCTTAATTTCCAGTTTCCGTGGACACCATTGGCACGAAGCTGAACGGCTTGCTCAAGGACGCGGAGTCACGGATTCATGATCTGAATGGACCGGAGGGTCTATGCCCGCCCATGTTTGCATCGCGTCCCTCCATCTCGAGCATCATAATTGGTGAGTGGTCATCGAGTCAATTTAAGGGTGCACTTAATCACCATTTCACTCTATTCCCTGCAGGCAATTCAAGCGCCTCGGTGACCGGCTGCACGGGCAGCGAGGTAGAGAAGCAGATCGGCATCTGGGAACGTCGCGTGAAGGGATTGCGTCGCTTGCAGCTTGGTTGGGATCAGGCCAGGCCACCAGATGCACCAGCCTCCGTGGTTGTCGATGTCACCGGCGACAATTCCATCAGTGTACAAATTCTAGAGCCCTTCGAGGGGGCCATCGGCACGAAATTCAAAGGTAAGCCGCAGGAACGTCAAGTGGCGGGGACAGTCGGCGGCTCATGGGAATGGGACTTGTGTCTGTGGTTGGGCTGTCATGCTGCGGTCGAGAAGTGGTTCTTGATTCAATTCGCGGTGTTTGTCTGATGGTACCTTTGCCAAGCGAAGTGTCTCTTATATGGCTTATGAATAATTAGTTTTTAATTGTGGGAAATTAAATGCTAGCATGCTGGTTTATTTTAAATAGCTTGCAGGTTGCCCAAAAATAAGGAGACATAAGATTTATTATATATAAAATACAAAAGATTCCTTTGACTCCTTTCAGTTCAATGGTCCACCCGCGCGGACTTCAACAACGTTGTGGGCGAAAGTGAGTTGCTGGAATGGATCAGCTTCCATGGCACAATGGGTGCCCAGTGTCACATATCGGGCCTCACCCAGGGTCGTCGCTATTTCCTAAGAGCAGCCTGCGGTAATGTCAAAGGATGGGGTGCCTATAGAACCTCGGTACCGGCTAGTGTGGTGCCCTCAAGTGAGTTGAAATATATACCTCAATCAATGTTATTTAATTTAACTCTTTTGAACAGCTTGGAGGGATTTGGACAATCGGGAAGATCGATTTGTAGGTCGCCATCGCATCCTGGACAATCTGTTCACCGCCGTGCGGTTGGCTAGACCCGCCGACGTCTCCGAGTTGACCTTGGATCCTGCGAGTGCCCAAAGGCGTAATCCCAAAAAGAAGACCACAATCAAGCAATTGTTTTCGGTCACCTCAAAGTTTCAAAAGACACTGAGACGGTAAGCAGTGCAGAGATTGCTTAATAATTTAGATTATCATTTATTAATTTTCCTTTTTCCCAATACAGCGGCATTTACTTCTCTTGTATTATCCACTGCGACGATAAAGTGCTGGTCACCAGTGAGGATTTTCCGCCAGTCATCGAGGTAGACGAATCCTATCCCAGTGCCCTGCACATGGATTACTATTGGTTGATGAAGGTGGCCTGCACCTGGGAGGATGTAAAGTCCCTGCGTTCGGATATGGAGCGTAATCTCACCTCCGCCGTTCACTTCCGCACGAAACTTCTTTCGGCCGTCTGCCAGATGCAATCAGCGTTGGGCATCACGGATTTGGGTCAGCTTTACTATAAGCCACTACGGGATGCCCAGGGCACTGTGGTGCTGACCTGTGTGCAATCGGTCAAGAGTCAAAAGGCCGTCTCTATCCTAAATTCCCGATGGCTACCAGTTAGCAAGCTACAGAAAAAGTTGGGCGCTCTGCACGAGGACTACACTATCAATGAGCTGCTCATCTCCTCGATTGGAGATCAACTGCATTACCAACAGGCAGCGTTGCAACGCTTGGAGCCTGGTCTTTACTTGGGTTACCTTAAGATGCAGTGCTCCATGGACCAGATCCAGGTGGTGGTACCCGTGAAAACACCAAATGTTCTGCCCCACTGTAAAGTACGGGAAAACAGTCATATAACGGCCGAGGAGTGGCAGGTACTCCATCGTTGCAGTAGCGACCCTCTTCGCCTGCCGATGGACTTTAGCTCTCAAGGAGGGGATTCGGCTTCCGGAGGAACTGCGACTACAGAGGTTCAACGCCTATTTTTGTACGATCTCACCAATGCAATGCACAAACTTTTCGCCAACATGAACATCAAGATCGCTGATGCAACCACCCACCGGTTGTACGATGTCGAGGTAATTGAGCACAGTCCGGATATTAGTTTCCTGGTGGTATGTCCATCCGCTGAATCGTCGTGTGCCGTACCTGGCCAATCGGAGTTACTGCTCCAGAGGGACGATTTTGCCAGCTTGAGTATTCAGGCCTTTGAGATGATTCACCTGCGAACTTATCAGTCGGCCATTATTCAGAAGTACGCTCGATTATCCTGCATCCTCGAATTGGACACTGCCCTGGCCACCCATGCGCTTCGCGAGGCTTTCTCCAGCAGTGAGCTGCAGGCGGCTAAGGAGCGTTTGGCTACGCTGCAAGAGTTGAGTTCCAGTCTAACGATTGTGTGGAAAAGTGTCCGCTGGCTAATGGATGTAGTGGCATATGCAAGAAACAAAAACGCGCAGCCCTCTTTGGCGATGAGAGAAATCTTGGATTTTGCCCAGCAACGACAAGATGAATCGGTAGCGACATCAACGGCTGGTTCCACCAGTAAACAGCTTCTACAGCTGCCTATTCGTGAGAGCAAATTTTCTAAGACTGGCCAGGGAAGAGGAAGTTGGCCAGGCCCGGGAACTAATGAAGATCCTGCACAGAGCAAGCCAGAACACTCGAAATCGGAGCAGAATCTGGAATTGAGTGCAATTACTCCAGTGGAACCTGCGACCAAACAAGTTCCTATACAGCAGCCTCCCCAGCAGCAATCGCAACAGCAACATCAACTTCAGCAACAACTCCAGCAACAGCAACTGCTACAAGTTTCCGCCACCAGCGAGTATGCGGGCTCCATTTGCTCGGAAGTATCCTTCAGAAAGAATAGTGGCGACTCCATGAGTTCTACATATACGTCTCGAAGTTTCTATTCCGCCGTGGATTCAGCCTCAGATGGAAATAGCACTAACAGTGTGTTTGCTATTCCACCATCGCGTTCTGACGATACTTTGGCGGATGCACTGCGCCACTCACAGGCAGTGGCTGCCCAACGCAAGCGAACCAGCTCCAATATCGGATCACATACCAATCCCCTGATCACTGTACATAGCTCCAATTCTGCTCCGTATTTGGCTGGATCCAGTGTTTCCTTGAGAAGCGGCAACGGAGCCTTCGCTACTGACTTGGAGCACAAACCACTGAAGCCAGCGGCAAAGGCAGCTTCCAGCGCCAATCTACGCGAGGGTGGACCTTATTTAAAAAGCACTCTAGCTGAGCTGCGAGCAGTGGGAGGCGAGGATCCGATAGCCAGTACCTCGAAGGCCTCTTCAACTAAGAGCTTGTCACGCCAGAGCAGCGAAGAGGATTCGGCTAGTTGTTCCAGTCTCAACGCAGAGCAGACACCGGGGATTATTCAAGTTTACACCGCCTACAATACGGGATTGGCTAGTGGAACCAGCCTGAAGCTCCATGTGACACCCAAGACGACGGCCCGCGAAGTGATTAATTTGGTGGTAAAGCAGCTCAACATGGCCGTTGTGCTCAAGGGAAACAATGGCCCCATCTACGGACCTGAGGTACTGGAGAGCTTTTGCCTCGTGGCGGTGATTGGCGCTCGGGAACGCTGTCTTCGAGATGACTTTAAACCACTGCAGCTGCAGAATCCGTGGAAGAAAGGACGGCTGTACGTTCGCAAGAAGCATGAGCTTCTGGCGGCCATCGAGCACTCCAACCGGAAATCGCATTTGATCTGAACAATCGGACCCAAGTCTCACTGGAATGAAAGAACTATCGTAGAAGTTAAACACCTTATGTAGCTGGTGGTGCAAGGAGATCTCTAGAGATTTAAAAACTTAAGATTTAGGTACCCGAAAGTAGGCAAATCGTTTGGTTTATATACCTTAAATTTTGTATTGGAAACTTCAGAGATTTATCTGTAATCCGCGATTTTTGTATTATCCACATTGAGTCTTGTAAATTTTGTTGTGTGTTTAAGTTTTTGGGTTTCCCCCAATCACAATTCCCAACTCCCCACCCTCACCAAGGGCAATGATCGTTGACCAATTCCCGAATTAGACTGAATTACTTATGTATGCTGCAACGGCAAACAGATGAAATTGTATTTGAAATGGTATTATATTTTGAGTAGTTATACATTCGACATTACCTAAACAAAAATTCACACACACGAATCGGACAAAACAAAAACATATTGTTGTTAGTTGTTTTAGAGAGTAAAGAAGATAATGCCCGTACATAAGTAGTATGTATGTTACATAAATTTTATGCGTGCATCAATGTATTTTATTGTATGTATTTTGTAGTTTAGTGAAAGAAATGTTTTGATTGTATTTTTGTGGCATTTTTAGGGTCACATTTTTTGATCTAAATGTTAAATCGGTAAATACGGAACCGGAACACGTATAAAAATCAAACCAAATCGATGGCGAAACTCAAAGAACAGATGTCAATATGCATTTTAAGTGTCACTCTTGATGTCTTCGATGTGCGTACGTGTGTGTGTTCTTAAATATTGCAATTCCATTGGATTAAACAATTAATTTAGCTGTAATCAATTGCTTAGTATGTAAACAAAAATCACCGCAACAAAAATGATAATGAAAAACGGAGAATATTTTTTAAAAATATATTGGCACAACTGTATGTTGAAAAAAAAAATAATAGGCAACTGCAAATTGAAATTCAAATGTTTGTATTTATTAAATGTAGCAACGATGTTTCCAAGTCCGTACCCTATCTATTCCACATCAGCAATTGGCTCGAAAAGAGCTTCCTACATAGTTGATAATCCTAGTCTCCCACTTCCACAATCTACTACTCAACTGTTGGCCCACTTAGAACCCAAGTACTATTAACGTGGCTATCTCAATGTGCAAAGCCGTATGTGTCTATAAATAACTACTCTACTCTGTACTCTCAATAGGAAATACCATAAGTAAATTAGAGGAAATTCTTCAGATACACGTATTTGTTGTGAACAACCGGTAGACAAAGAAACTATTTCATTGTCAAGCTCATGATGTCCCAATTAATGTTTATTTCCCATTGGTACGACAAGTCGAATTTAAATTGGAGTCGCAGGTCGTGAAAAGTATACATTTTGAATCTTATGAGAAACTAGACGAGAACACTTACTTTAAAAGAATGTGCAACACAGAGTCCATAAACACAGAGATATCGAACTATTTAAGATGTCTACGACCAACAAACGATTTTTGTAATCGCGTTATTTTCTTGGTTTTTTTATGAAATGGCGATGAAGAAGATTTTTGATACATTTTTTACTATATGGTTTACCAGTCCTAGGGCTCGACAGCAAACAGCAACGAACGTAGCTAAGTTTTTTGACCACAGAAGAATATGAATATAAAATCCCATTGCGTTCAAATACAGCCCGGTTTCAGAATTGTATTACCGCCACCCAATTGCCTCGATTCGATTCGAATAAAAATGGTCCCCGCAGAATGGTCGAACGAACAACGAATGTAAACAAGTTCCAAACTGAGTGGCCAGCCAGTTTCAGTTTGTTAATTCGGAATGCCAATTAAACGATTTCAATTGTCAGACAAAGTGTCCGTCCCCAGCAAAAGAGCGTTTGGTTTTTCGAATGGAGCTAAATTATACAGAGTATTATTTTGAATTGCGATCCAGTGAGATTAGTTTTTACGATGCAATCTAATTGTAGCTGTAGCTAATTGTTAATGGCCTACAAAATAAAAAGGCGAAATGTAAATGTAACCAAAAGCATTGAACGAGTCTTTTCCGCATATGAACATGAAAAACACATCAACGCCAGAAAATTCCTGTAATTAGATATATACATTAATATATATAGATATATAAATAGAAGATGAAACTTATCAAGTGTATCTCAGTCCAATGTCAGTACATTCATTTACGACATGACATTATCGACTACCTGTGTACATTTTTGGTGTGTTAATGGCCTAAAATATATACAATATACTCCCGATAATAAAGGAGCTAACAAAAATGATGGCAACTAGCTTTGGTAAGGATAATGTGGGTACGAAGCATTCAAAGAATATTCAATTAACTTAATAAAGACTCAACAGTTGTTATGGTGTAATAATCCCAACGGTGTGTTTTGCATTTGGGTTGGGTTTTAAGAAAGTTCTGGAATGTAGATAAATAAATGATATACAGCTGAAAGTGCAAAATCATTCTCAGTAAGTCAGCCGGAACATAATAACATACAGCTGAAAGTGCAAAATCATTCTCAGTAAGTCAGCCGGAACATAATGATGGGCCACATTTTATACTCTGGAAGTGGTGTATATAGTCTCTACATTACGTATACGCCCAGTGTGGTGGTCGGCTGATCAGGCCGCTTATCAAGCGGCACTGCACTTGGATGCGATTTTGTCTTACAAAACTGGCAAAAATAGCTAATAATGATAACGAGCTGATTACGGCGGCTATAGTTATAACATTTCACCAGTTGTCAAGATAATGCTCGTATATTTGATTGTATTCCAGAGCCTTCTTTCCAATTTTTTCAATTGTTTGAGCAACATGTTGCTGATGTTTATTTTTAAAGCCTCACAGATGCGTCATCGTTTTGTACAAATGCTCATTTAGTGACGAAACGAGCTCGGAGCTGTAAAGATCGGGCAAACAAGTTATATTGAGTCAGCTCCAGCTATCTCTCCTAGCTCATTCTCTCTTCCAATTGGGGATTTTGGAAACATACCAGTCATTCTATACGGAGAAACAACACGATAAGTGTGCTTGGTGTTTGTATTTCCCTTGCCACATACCCATTCCATCTATTTATATGAGTATCCAAGTTTTTTTTTTATTAAGATATACACATTCGAATCGGGCACATGGTCCTTGAACTTTGCCCCGAAATTACATGGGCCTCTTGGCACCCACCTTTTACTGGCCATGCTCATTAATAAACCATTCGTCCACGAACTTCCTCCACTTGACAATTAAATGCCTCACTTACGGGCCTTGCCGCCTATTTTACCACCACTTCAATCTCAAATCTCAAATCTTGACTCACTCCACTCGTTTACGTCCGCTGTAAATTTTTCCTACTGATTAGTTTGTTTCATTCTGACAGATTCCACATTTTTGGTTAGCATTCTCGTTTATTATTGTTGGATTTATGGCCTGTGATTGGTTGTTGCACCTTTACCAGCGCTGATACCATCTAAATCACCAGTTATATATTTAATATATCTGTCGTTATATACAATATTCTAATCAAATGCGGGGCTTTTTTGTTTCTTTATATTATTTTCGGTCGAATCGTCGGGCGAGTGGGTCAGCCACGTGATGTGGATGGGTCGTCGTCGGGCGAGACGCGTCTGCCTTTAATTAGATTTGAGTCCCCCAGAAGCAGAAGCCTAGACAGCGATTAGAGGGGCCAATAACAAGTCACTACAAGGAAATCGCCAAGAGTACTACTTGTCTGCGACCAGAGCTTATAAATTACACCAGCTGGACGGATACTTAATTTATAACCAAGGCATTCAAACCGGTTGGGGTTCGATTTGCTGACCCCCTGGAATCCAGTGACACACAATATCCAATTGCCGATTGCCGTTTTTGAAACGCTTTATATTCAGAATACGTTTTGAAAAACCGTTTACAGTAAAATCAATCTATCGGCGCCGAATTCTCAATCGGGGTTTTGTATAACAAACAATAAGTACACCACTGTACACAGCATACATTACAAACATTAAAACTATAGCCTAGCATCTGGATGTGGGAGTTATTTAAACTAATTACTGGAGCGCGAGGCGCCCACAATGTATCCCTTGGCGGTTAGGACGCCTCGGCAGCGTACATGCACCTGATAGCGCAGTGTCCAGTCGATTGTATAACCCGGCGCCAGTCCGGCGAATTGCTCCTCGGACAGCAGAAGCTCAGGATCGCTGTGCGTGTTCAGTTGAATATCGTGGGCGGTGCAGAACTCCTGCAGTTCCGGTGGCACCACGCAGCAGGTTGATAGATTGACCTGTGCAATTGTCGGTGCCACTTCAGCGCTTTTGTGCAGTTCCTCCAGAGCTGCCGCATCCAAATCGGCAATGCCCAGCTGGGTTATCTGCTGTTTAACGGCGTACTGCTCTAGAGTTTGGTAGAGTTTCTTTAGATCCGCCACTCCTTCTTCTCCGTTGCGCTGGCTCCATTTGCTGGCTTTGCTGATGGCGATGCCCTCGGAGCAGGGCGATTTTGCCTGGACTCCGCCTGTTGTGGCCGCCGGCGTTGCGCTGGCAACGGCATTTGGGTGGTATGCCAACACCACATTGTCCACGTGCGTCACACTGAGTATGTTTAGCACTGCCTCCACCGCTTCTTTCACACACTCTGTGGAGTGACGATTGAGGAATATCTTGGCACCGATGCTGATCTCATTCCGGCCGTTCTCCGTCAGCCGGGTGGTCAGCTCCTGGGTGGCCCGCTGCACACGGCCATGCAGCTCGTCGATCTCCTTCTCCACCACCACGCGCTCTACATTTGGATCACTGTGGAGCGTTATCTTTAGGCCGTCGTAGAGCTCCTCGTTCGATTTGCGCTGGCCCAGTTCCGTGGTAATGATGTTGCCCGTGCTAATCACCACGTTCTGGTACTTCTTCGTTATGGTCGGTATCATGGTGACAAGTATTCTCCTTTTTTGGTATCTGCTATTTCCGCGGCCGTCAAGACAAGTGCAGCCTTCTCAGGTGGGTAAAACGCGTGTGTTCTCGAGCACCGACCGCCAGGCCACTTAAATACACTTTGCACCGAAATGTGGGGAGAGAAAATTTTGAGTGAGAGAAGCAATGTTACTGTTGGTATTCGATATTCGATTGAACCTCGATTATTCTATCGATATAACGCAAGGGCTGCAAAATTACCAAAATATATTTAAATTAAATTAAGGTACTTACCTTATGGCCTTAGGATAGCTCAAATGAAAAATATTATTTATTAATTTCCCGCTTTAAAATATTTTTGAGATCGAAACCGCTTAATAATATAAAATATGGTCATATCTAGTGATTATCCTAACGGTCGTAAGCTGTCAAAAATGACAGCTTTTAAAACTACAGCTAGTAAGGAAATATTTATTCCAATTCAGGCGAATTGCTTAAAAAACTGTGATGTGTCGCAGAGCTGTACGAGAATGGCTGGTGCTGCTTACCATGGAGATTTACATCGGTAGATTCCTGGAAAGGGGGTACGACAGTATTGCCCATTGTAAGCTTATTGTCGTCAGTGATCTTATAATGCTGGGAGTGGATAATGCCACACATAGGAAACTATTGCTCGACGGAGTTCAATTCTTGATCAACGCCCCTGAAAAATTCATCTGCATGGAACCATGTGAACTCCACTGTCACCTCGAACCGGAATTGGATAGCGTCATCGAATCTGCTTCCTTTAAAAGCTTTGACAGTTTTAATTTCATAAAATCACCTGATAAAGCAGAATTGGATCCCATTATGTCGTCTATTTCTTCGCTAAAGGCTATCAACTGGTCCTTCAATGAGGAATACAATAAGTTAATGGCAGAAGAATTTGCAGGGTCACCTTCGAACAGATCGACTTGCAAAAAAGTAGAAACTGAGACCGAGGCATTCGACACATAAGTCACCCATATTGTAATATTAGGAAGCACCTAAAATAAATATGATGATATTTTGTTCAAAACTTTTTCAAAAACCAAACGTTATCATTATTAATATCTTTATTTACTTTTAAAAACCAATGGAAACTTATATTTTTCTGGTTATTTAAATTAGTTTTTATAAAAGTATAATTAACAAAGCGTTCATGTTTTAAATGCCACGCTGAAATTAATGAAGATCCTTATGGACTTTGAATAAATATTAATTTATAGGGACCAACAAAAAATTGGTGAGCGTATTCCAAGAAACTCTCGTTCCTCGGGGTCTTAACAAAAACTACCTTACTTAAAGGTAATTAAAGGATTTAATAAGGCGTTCAACAAGTATTTGATGCCTCTCATCAAATCCTGGAGTCGAGCATCCATGGGAGAAGCAGCTACCACCCGTTCAATACTGGCTGCTCTCAGATCTGGAGAACGGCAGTTAACACATTCTATGGTCTTCAGTTGCACTTGCACGCTGTCGGCCAGGAGCCGTGAATTGTGCAATGTTCCGTAGAAAAGAACAACATCACCTTCGGTCAGGAGTCTGGTGAAATTTCCAAAGTTATGGTGAGCTCGAAGGATCACATTGGTGGAAGAGTAACGGCCTAGCAGACGGGCACTTTTCTTAGTGCCCACTTTCACTAGCAGCTCATACTCGTAACGATTCCACCGCTGCAGTGTGCAACTACCACTCTGCGCCTTAAGCGTCTTGATAACGGTCTGCCACTCCTCACATTGGGCATCTAACTTTGGATCGCAAATGAAATGCTGGGATATATTCTCGCCGTGCACACAGCGTAACAGCCTACCCAGCCACACTGGCAGATAGTTGGCAATAACATCTTCCAAAATGTTGGACACCCGCGAGATTTCTACTTTAGTAACACTGCCCTCCCAAGTCACTGGCATTCCATTCAGATGGGCACAACGAAGCTGAGCCTTGATCTTATTTGGTTGCTCGTTGACGGGTTGGGCGCAAAGTGCATGGAAACGTTCCCATGGCAGGGTATCCGTCTCAGAAAGTGAGTTCAGGCCCACTCTGGGCATGGCATTGAAGCGGGGTGTATCCTTGAAACTGGACGTCATGTAGGGAAAGACCAACAAGCAGGCTGTTGTAACTGCCATGATAAGCTGAAAGAATATATGTCCTTATATGTAATATTTCCATTTCTATAAAGGATACTCACTTGTAGCATAGTAATGTACTTTTGGGTGGCTCGGTTTAAAGCTAGGACACAGGAGAGCACAACCACCAGTCCGCAGGCGAGTGCTGTGCTGCCCCAGCGGAGTTGCTCGCTAGCCAGTCCCAAACTATCAATAGCCACAAAGACAGGAACAAGAAGAGCCACGATTCCAAAAAGAGGAAGGAACAATACAATTCCAGCCAAGCCGAGGGCTGCCCGCATCACTCCAAACATGGTGGCACTCTGAGAAGTGGCGATGCATACCTGTAACCAACTGAGAGTAACACAATGCGGGATGAGGTATGTGTAGACTCCATGCCAATGTGAGCGCTTTGCCATCATGACCAACAGCAGGGGAATGAACAGATACAAGGCTGTGCGGCAATTCAGGCAGAACTCAATCCCATTGCCAATGACAAAGGACGAGAAAGTGGGTACTCGTAGGTCCAGAAAGCGCCAGCGGGTGGACACAACCTCGTCCATTTCGTACGGATACTTGGCAAGCACATTCACGGCAAAGGAAACGATCACTAGCCAGTCAGGCAAGAGGTGTGAGGAGGCGTAAATCGAGACGGCCATGGTGAGGAAAGTGAAGGTTCCAGAAATAATGGTCAGCTCTGAGTGCGGCAACCAGGCGTCGGTTACCAGCGGGTACACGATTAAGTTGCAGATGAAGGCACAGAAATAGTACAAGTATGGTTTCATATTGTTTCGTAGAAAACGCTGTTCCGCAATGTCCGCCTCGATGTTTTGATCCCCATAGCTGAGAAACAGACCCGACCATATGCGAAAATCCACGAATTGCTGTTTCGTCTTAAGCATTTTACACGTGGCCCAGATCATCACGCTTAAACTGAGGTAATAACTGACCAGAGGCAGCATATGACGCGTACTCCACCAGGATAGGGCCACGAGCACACTACAGCGAACACTCAGCGGAATGACGTTGGGTATGGACACAATCAGGTTAAGCAGGCGGTGGTAGAAGAGAGTAAAGAAGATGAGCGGGTGGAATATCATTCGGTAAAAGCAGGGCACATGATCCAGGCTCCTCGGATCTGGCACGGACAAGGTGAGAGCTTCATTAACGCTTGGCATCTGTCCGGCACTATAGTTGGAAGCAGCCGAAACGAGATGCGCCTCGGTTATAAGGCGGCGTCGGTCCACATTGGCAACGTCAATTGTAGGCACATCCTCTAGGGGCTCACATTCCTGCTCCTGTTCTCCTTCGCTACTTGACGATGATCGGTCGTCGTCACGTCGACGACGTTTACGTTGCAGATTGTAGATGCGTCTCATCTTTCGCTCTAACTGTTTCGGTGTAATGTGCTCATTGCCATTTGACAAGCAAGCGAAGAGCTCTCGGGCTGCTTTTCTCGCCGCCCGTTCGCCAGGTGTCATTGCCAGGCAGCGGCGGACTTCGTCTGCATTATCTGCCGTAATGCCGCTGCCATCGTTATAGCACTTGCGAAGTAACTTTGCCGCATCCTCGTGTCCATTGTGTGCAGCACTCACCAGCCAATTGACGGCTTTCTGGTTCTGATTGCCTTTGGGAAGATTGGGCTCTAAAGGGGAAGTAGGAATTTTCACAAAGTACAGAATCTCTCAAAGATATGTCCTCACCTATGGCGTTGTCAAGCAACTCTTTGGCGAGATCGTATTGCATCTGCGGACATCCCTCCTCGGCAATATGATTCTTAAGCTTGTTCAAGGAGGCGCGATCTGCAAGGGATTAAATCTCGATGTTTGGAATGTATTTCACAATGGGCTTTGGGACTTACCTTCCAGATTCCAACGCCTGCGCTTGGTGACACCTGTCGGCTCATTTTGTGTCCAGGTGGCCATGTATTATGGTTTTTTCTTTTTGTTTACAAGAAGCTACGAAATTCCTATACCTTCAGATCCATAATGTCGTGACTGTTAATCGATAAAATAAGCAATTGTAATCAGCTGTGACTTCGATATTGCGCCACGAGCTATCGTCTATCGATACGCACACATGCCGGGTGGATTATTTTTTGTCGCAAAATAGTTGTTTATTATTTGTTTATAAGTGATTCCTAAATAACCACCAGCTCAAAATATGGACAGAAACTTGCAGAAGCAGCTATACGGCGTGTCTCGTGAGTCCTCGCCCAGTTCGCGGAGATATAGCATGCCGGCAGCTTCTGCGGACAGCACACGAAAATCTTTTTTTGGCGGCAACGCCAATTCTTCCCAGCTCCCAGGAAACCTCAAAAAGACAGCTTTGACCAATAGGTGAGTTTTTCTGACCTTTTAGGAACTGTCTAATGATAAATAAATTTTCGTTTCAGCCGGCTTAGTTTGTCTGTACGCTCCACTCAGTCCATTCCCGGCATCCGCTCCGATTACAATTTAGTGGAAAGCTTTGGTTGCCCACTGCCAGTGGTGGTCAACGAAGCCTTAACCTTTTCGGGGCATGGATCGGACACAGTAACTGCCAAAGTAACTCAGAATGGTTGGGCTTGGGTAAAGGGATCAAGAAGATCAATTTCATGAAGAGCATTAATGATAAGGTTCTACATCTTCCAGGTTGTACAAGGTAGACGCCTCTTGATATGGCAATACAAAGACACTTCGAAGTCTGGATCTCCACCTCGTGCTGGAAAACCAGGAAGACGCGGAGGCCTGGCCCAGTGCAGGGAACTTACTCTTCCGTACAGCGATCTTGGCCACAAGAGCGATTTGATTAGCGTTTTCCAGACGGAGGGCCAGCAAATGGCATCCTGTATTGCAGTCTCTGCCACTGGAGAAGTTCGCTACTGGTCGTCCATCGCACATGACGGAAACTCAGTGGACCTCTCAATCTTAACCGGTCAGGAGTTTGTCCAGTTGCTGAATCTGCCAACACAGCAAGGATACCTAGCCGTTACTACCACCTGCAATCTGGTATTTCTTCGGGTAGGACTTACCAATGGGCGCTACTCATTGCACCACAAGACCATCAAGCCTGCTACTAGCTTCCTCGGTGGTTTTGGCAAGAAATTTGCCTCTATTTTGATTGGCATGAACACGGGAAGCGATAAGGATCAGGTTGGTAAATAAGCTTCACAATTTTAAACAATCCTAAATATGAAATATTATAGACTTTGGTTGGCATGTGCTGCGAGAGCAATTCGGAAAGTGGAGAAACAGTTGTGGCAGTGCTCTCGGATCGTGCAATACAACGCTGGATTCTTTCCAACAAGGGCAACACCGAAAACCTTTTGTACGAAGATGTGGAGGTTGTGCGAAGGATACGGGAAGAGTTTAAAACCAAGTTCTGGAATGTTCGTCTTCCAGCAGACAATGTGGAAATTGAACTGCATCTGCTCGACTTCCACTTAGTGAAGAACAAGGCTTATATTCTGGCAGGAGCTGTTAATGCTGCTCATGCTCCACAAATGTGCTACGCCCTGGGTAAGAATTATAGTTTAACAATAAATAATGCATAACACATATAATGATTTTCTGTTTTCAGTGACAGGAAGCGCTCAAGCAGAGAGCATGCTCCTGGAGTCATTCACTCCTCTAAAGATTAATAAATTCTTTAGTGCTAAAACGGAGGAGGATTGCCTCAGCCTGCGTTTCGTAGTCGGCAGTAGTCACATCTATCTGTACACACCCAAGATAGTGTATCCACTGCACTTGTCCAACTCCGTGCCCACAGCAGAGTTGGAGGCGGAGAAGATCGAGTTCCATCTGCATGACGATCGAATTCTGAGCGCCGTCATCTGCAGTCAATTGCCATTGTTCTTTAGCCGCACACACGGATTAGTTTCTATTACGCCCAGCGATTTCGACGGTACCGAAATGATGAACATGAGCTCTTGCAACACGCCAGATTTGTTCGCCCCTACTTCGTTCGATGCTAGCTTCGGACCTTCCGATCAATCTGCTCTGACTGGTAGCACTAATAACCTTCACCTATTTGAACTGGATCCGGATGAAATATACAATGAACTTAGCGATGAAGTGGGCCAACTAAAAGCCGCCTTCCTTTACAACTTGAAACGAAACAACAATATGGTCAAAACAATTGTGGGTGAGCTGCTACGCAGCGTTACTGAAGCCGATCCGAATGGTGCACCCATGGATGCCTACAAGCTCGATAGAATTGTTATTACCATCGCTGAGGACTTGGCCGAAGATATTCCAATAGCCGATCCTCGCTGGGATCAGGCTGTCGGAGACCAGGAAAGTAACCGGCATGCAATTGGCAGTTCGCGTTCCATGCAGATTGTCAATCAGTTGAGGGATAAGATCGTTGCTTTCCAGCATTTTATCACGTTTCTTCATTCGAGTGGAGTTTGGGAAAAGGTATAAGACCATAAATATTGATTCAGATTAGTATTTAAACAAAATTTCCCTTTCAGTTAAACGCCATACCTTGCGGAAGTCATTTGCTGAAGCCCACCAGCTTTATTCTTTCCGATATTAGCGAAAAGATAATAGCTGCCATGGCTTTGCGTTCCCTGCAATCCAAATTGCCCAAGCTAATAGAAGAGGCTATTGAAGCCACCGTTGCGTTATGGGATGAGAAACCCCAGGGCAGCTTAACTTACCAAGACATTTTTTATGTGAAGCTGTTGAAGTTTCAGAGCGTATTTGAGGCGTTAGCGGATATTGCCGATGATCGGATTGCTGCCCAGAGTCAGACAACCGTATCTGTGGCCCACTTTATCAACGAAATAAACTCCATTGTCCTGGATGTTCTGGGTCAAGTATTTAGGCATAGGGAGCAGCATGCCAGTAGCTTTGGTCTGAAAAACGACCAACTATCGTCCTATGAAAATCTTCCTTGGACAGCAATGGCTGGAGGCGCAGGTGTTCGTGACACTTTAACTCGCCTTATCGACATTAGCGTTCGTTACGGCGGTTACTGTGTTAGCGAGTCAGAGCTCAGGCAGCAGTTGTACCAACAGATATACGAACTTGTGGATCTGGTGCTAGACGGGCGAAGGACTTATTTACAGAGCGTTCACGACTCAGAAAAATGCCACGTGCTGCAGCAGCAGTTTGACGCTCAACGCAGGGAGCTCATCTCAGTACTGAGTAAGAAATGAAAATCAGTATTTATGAGTAATATCTAAAATCGATTTTTTAATTTGCAGTTAAAGATCGGCAATATGAGTACGCCGCAAAGCTGGCCGAAAAGTACAAGGACTTCCAGAGTCTCGTAGTGATCTGCGATGAGACCCAAGACAAAGAACGCTTAGACGAGTACACTCGTAGATACGAGGAGTTTTCACAGTATGCCATCAACTGGCATCTGAGACAGAACCGGCGCGGTGAGGTCTTCGAGCGATTCAAGGGCAACCAGACCGCGCTAGCTCAGTTCATGCGGGACCACCCGTCCCTGGGCTGGATCCAGTTAATATTCAACGGTGACTTCGAGCGAGCGGCCAAGGTGTTGTACGAATTGTCACTATGCGAAACTGAGTTTGTAGCTCGCAAGAAGTCTATGTTATCGCTTGCAAAATTGGCGGCCTTCGCAGCAGCCGATTCCGATTTAACTGCTCAGGTAGAGAAGATCAATGCAGATCTAACGCTGGTAGAATATCAGTCTCAATTGAGCCATGACGTATTGCAAGCCTTTGGTTTCGATACTATCGAACAAAAGGTTCTTAAAGCAGAGGAGATTATCAATGTATGGTTTTGATCATGATGTTTATTCGAAATACTAATTATTTATTCACAGCTTAATATTGCTGAGGAGAACGACACAGCCACCGAGACTGAGTTCCGTAAAGCCCTGGAGCTTCTGAGTTACGTGGAGCAGCCCTACGATATGCGACACAAGATCTGGTGTGCAGCCATAAAGCGCGATAACTGGACGGATTACGACCCAAACAATGGAGTGGATTACATACAAAGGTTGCTCTTCTTCAGGATCATTGAATTATCGCAGCTTATGGGGCAGGAGACTGAGAACTTCTTGCCACCGATGGAAGATTTCCTTGAAAGCTGCGAACTGGGCGATTTGCCACAGGAGAAAGCGTTCCAGTATTTGCTGAAACTGACCTACGAGTATGTGGCCGACATGTACAGGCAGACAGATGATATGGAAGTCTAATCGTGCACCTCACTTGTCACTTATTAAAGTTTACGTTAAGAATTCAAGATGATGGTTGGTGTTCTTGGACGGCGGACAGTTGCCTGCCTTGTTGTTACGTCGCTCAAACGCTGGCATTATAATATATTATAAACTAAGTTGCTTTGTCACAGCGAGACTCTGCCGGCGAAAGTATCTGAAGTGTGGCGAGCGGGGAGCCGGAAGCCAGCTAAGTGTTCGGGCAACTTTAGAGTCGGCCTGGTCCGCAGCTCTGCTGGCTGCATTTGCTTCCAGTGCGCATCAGTTTAGCTCTGATCATGACGGACGAAACAACTCCGCTTACCGATGCCGTTGCCAGTGGTTCAGGATATGTCATCCTGCCGCCGTATCAAGGACCCGACCGTGTCTTTCCGGGTGGTGTTTCTCCGCGTTCCCGGCGCAACAAAATGCGACAATTTCAGTGCTGCATGGGCATCACCTTTATGTGAGTGCGTTTCTAGGATATCACAATGTGAACATTAGCGGCTTTAAGTTTAAAGCTGTGTCCATCCAAAATAGGGTGTTTTTTGACTCTTTAAATTTTGTGCCCTCAAAGGAGAAATTTAAATCAGTGAGAAATCGATTTGCTAACGCCCCCTCCAACAGGATATTCAATACCCCATTACTAACCCACTGTGACCGTTTAGTCGCGACTAACCACACTATATTAACCACAAAGTGATTTCACTTTCCCGACCGCAGAGCAATTGTACTCACCGCCTTGTGCCTGGCGCTGGTGTTTAGCGATTCCCTTGGTGGCGCGGATGGGGGACCCAGCTTTTTCTTCGTGGTCAATGGATCGGAAGGAGAGTTGCCGCCAAACCGACCTCTGCCAGACGAACCGGCGGCAGATTGGGCCCTCAAACAGGCGGCACTAGGTCATCATGATGGGGCCCAAGCGGTTAGTGCTGGGATTAAAGCTCTAGGAGACCGGGAAATACTCGAGGAGGGTCTGCAGCCCAACGAGGTGAATACGCCGGCATTTCGACACTATCGTTCCCTGAGCACAAATCCAGAGGCAAGAAAACTAGCAAGACGTGGCTATGTGGAGAACCAGGCCACAATGGATATAGCCAAGAAATTTAACTATACTAAGCAGCCGGGTCGCAGCAATATTGGCTGGGGTCCTAAGATAGTACTTCCCGATCCTACAGTGCTTCGTTTGGATTGTGATTTCAATACTCGCTATAGAAGATCCACAGGGGTTTGTAATAATAAAGAACATCCTAGGACTTATGGAGCCTCGATGGTTCCCTACCGCCGCATGGTCTCACCAGATTATGCCGATGGTATTGCTGCTCCCCGGGCTAGTCATAATGGTCATTTGCCTCCCGCTCGCCAGGTATCCCTAAAGATTCATCGTTCCAGCTACGAGACAGATTCGAATTTTACGGTGATGCTGGCAGTTTTTGGTCAGTTCATGGACCACGACATCACAGCCACATCCCTAACTACTTCTCAGGAGGGTGAGTCCATCGATTGCTGTGTGGCTGCCACCCGTGAACAACACCCGGAATGCTTTCCTGTGGACATCCTGCCCGACGATCCCTACTACAAGCAGTACAATATCAGTTGCATGAATTTTGTGAGATCTGCTCCAGCGCCAACAGGAAGATTTGGTCCGCGGATGCAGCTGAATCAGGCCACGGCTTTTATTGATGCCTCCGTGGTCTATGGTAATCTGGAGCAGCGGCAGAATCAGCTGCGCAGCTTCATAAACGGCTCGCTGCGGATGTATATCATGGATGATGGTCGACAATTGCTTCCCATCTCCTCAAATCCGGCAGATGGATGCAATCGTGTCCAGATGACTCGCTTGGGAAAGTACTGCTTTGAGTCTGGCGATGATCGGGCCAATGAGAACCTTCTGCTCACATCTATGCATCTGCTATGGGCCAGACACCACAACTATTTGGCTAGACAACTGCAGGAAGAGAATCCTCACTGGGAGGACGAGCGACTGTACCAAGAAGCCCGCAAGATTTTAGGTGCCCAAATGGCTCACATCACTTACAATGAGTTTTTGCCAGTGCTGCTTGGCCAGAATCTCAGCGAGGCTAAGGGTTTGCTACCTTCCAAGCACAATCTAAATGCTCCGGACACTTATGACCCGGAGGTGGATCCAAGCATTGCCAATTGCTTTGCTGCAGCCGCTTTCCGGTTTGCTCACACTCTTCTACCGGGTCTGTTCAATGTCTCGCGGGATAATAGTAGTCCCGAGGCCATGGAACTGCACAAGATGCTCTTCAATCCATTCTCCCTGTGGGCGGAACATGGCATTGACCATGCCTTAATGACAGCAGCCAATACGCCGGTGATGCAAGTAGATCGCTTTTTTTCTCTGGAGGTTACTCAGAAACTATTCGAAGGCACCGCCGAGGATAAAGTGCCACTTTGTGGACTGGATCTGGTTTCTTTGAATATTCAAAGGGGAAGGGATCATGGGATACCCTCGTATCCAGTCTTCCGACGCCATTGCCGCCTTCCACCAGTGGACACATGGGAGCAAATGTCCCAAGCTATAGACAATGCTACCTTAGAATCCATCAGGCAGATTTATAAGTAAGTCAAATCGTACTCCATTAGCTTTATTTATTAAGGCAATCTGCCTGCTTTCAGATCTCCGCAAGATGTGGATGTCTACACGGGTGCTCTGAGTGAACCACCACTGGGAGGAGCTATATTTGGACCTCTGCTTAGCTGCATGGTATCTGATCAGTTCCTACGCCTTAAGCTGGGCGACTCGCATTGGTACGAACGGAAGATGGGACCTCAAAAGTTCACCAAAGGTAAGAGTCCTTAAAAAAACCATTTCACAGATGAATTCTAAATAATTCTAATCTTTCGATAGCTCAACTAGCCGAAATCTACAAAACCAGTCTGGCTGCCATCATCTGTCGCAATTCCGATGGTATAACCAAAGTAAGAGAACATGTAATGCAGAGACTTCGGGACAAGGGCAATCCCCAAGTGAACTGCCAGGACTTGGAAGGATTCCATTTCAATTTTGAACCCTGGTCTGAGAATAATCATCCAAGCAAACTGCACAGTACAGGAATGAGTAGGGGATCCACCTTAGTTAGGGTGATGTCCAATATTACGACAAAGGAAAAACCTCGAACCGCCAATGTAACCCTTCATATTGACAAACATATCTAGTAAGGTAAAAATAAAATAATTAAAATACTACAGATTATGGTTTAAATATTTGACTCTTTTAATAATAAGGAAAAAAGATAATGATCATTACCAAACTTCATTGATTAAAATTTCATATTTTGTAGGTACTAAGATTGAATGAATATCGAACTGATAAAATGTTAACTTGTAAAGAGTATGAGTACAGTTCGATTAAATTCTATAGGGAGTAGTATTTTAAGAGAGTTGATTTTATAAAGAGACGTTTTTAATATAAGTGCAAGTCTCTTTGATAAATTTGTTCTAGATGATAGACTCTGAACTGTCAATTAAAATAATAAAGCCAAAAGTTATTAATTGGCATGTAATTATGTTTTTGGTTGACTGGTTTACCATTAAAATTAAAATTTCACTTGGTTCTCTTTGTTTAGCGTACATTAATAGAATATAAACAATATTACAGTACTTTTAACATGTGACCAAAACTGTATTAAGATATTATTGGAATTTATGTTTTTTTTACCACTATACCTTGATGGGGTAATATAAACGTAAATAAATATATTTTATGGAGAAATACATTTAAGCCGGTTGTTACGAAACTATAAATAAGCTGAGATCTCTCAACATATTTTCCTGCTTATATTGTTATAAATGATATTCAAAGGGCAGTTGGATTACTATGTAAGAAATAAGAGAACAAACTGTTTTATTGGGAAAATTAAAATAAAATTAAACATATAGTGTAATAAAAATAAATTATACAAATTATAAATAATATAACATAAAATAAACTTAATTTTGTTAAAATACAGACTTGTGCTTCTTAAAAGCTTACTGCTGCCTTGCCCTTGCTGGGGTAAAGCTCCCATAGGTGAGTTTCACCACGGTGGCGAAATTGATTATAGAGAACTGCTCTTTCGGAATAGAAGAATAGATTATCTTTAAAGAACTATAAAGTTTAGAAGCCCCAATATTCGGACTAATTTCGCCCTTATAAAAAGACACACAGCTTGTTGATAGCCAGTTATAATGAGATTTTCTTAGAGCAAGGTTCTACCTTATTAAGTTATTACAATCGGTGGATCATGTTTACGTTGATTTTACTGGCCGTGTCCCTTGTGACCTTGGCCTGGTTCTACCTGAAGCATCATTATGACTTCTGGGTGCGTCGCGGATTTCCATTTTATAAAAAATCCGGAATTCCATTCGGATGTTTGGACAGCGTGTGGAGGCTAGAGAAGAGTATGGGACTGGCCATCTACGATGTATATCTAAAAAGTAAGAAGCGCGTCGTGGGAATCTTCTTGCTCTTCCGTCCGGCTGTTCTGGTCAGAGATGCTGAACTAGCTCGTCGTGTGCTAGCCCAGGATTTTGCTAGCTTCCACGATCGCGGTGTCTACGTCGATGAGGAAAAGGATCCTCTGTCGTGCAATTTGTTCGCCCTGCGTGGCCAGAGCTGGCGATCTGTAAGGCATACGTTTTCCCCATGTTTCACCTCCGGAAAGTTAAAGGCCATGTTTGGTACCTCCGAAGACATTGGTGACAATATGGTAGCATACCTTCAAAAGAAGGTGCCCGATCAGGGTTCCGAAGAGGTGGATTTGAAGAATGTGATGCAAGACTATGCCGTCGACATAATTGGCTCGACCATATTTGGCTTGGAAGTAAACAGCTTTGAGTATCCGGATAACAAATTCCGGAAACTGGTGACGATTGCAGCAGTGAAGAGTAGATTTAATGCCTTGCTTAATATGCTGATCTTCCTAGTGCCCTCGTGAGTTGCGATTAAGTTAAATATGGATTCATTTATCTAATGATTTAATCCTGTAGTATGGCCAAGATTCTGTTCAGATGTGGACTTAAAAATCCAATTATGGTGGCTATGTTGGAGATGGTCACGGAAACCGTCGAGCACCGAGAGAAACACGGCATTGTCCGCAAAGATCTGTTGCAGTTACTCATCCAGCTAAGGAACACGGGAAAGATTGAAGAGAATGACGAAAACGCCTTTGGCATCCAGAAAACTGGTGATGGTAAGTGCTTACAAAAAAGGCATTCAGAATGGCATTGACTGAGATATTTATTATTTTTAGGACACATTAAGTCACTATCTTTAGAGGCCATTACTGCCCAGGCTTTTGTTTTCTACATGGCTGGTCAGGAGACTACTGGATCGACTGCAGCCTTTGCTCTCTATGAGTTGTCCCAATATCCAGAGCTTCTCAAGCGCTTAAAGGATGAAGTTGACGAAACTCTGGCCAAGAACGATGGCAAGATCACTTATGATTCCCTAAACAAGATGGAGTTCATGGAGCTTTGCGTGCAGGAAACAATTCGCAAATATCCAGCTCTTCCTTTCCTGAATCGTGAATGTACCAAAGATTACACTGTACCCGGCAGCAACCACGTCATTCCCAAGGGAACCCCTGTCGTCATCTCTCTGTTTGGAATTCACCGTGATGCCGATTACTTTCCGGATCCCGAGACATTCGATCCCTATCGATTCTCCGAGGAGAGTCGCAACTACAGTCCAACGGCTTACATGCCATTTGGTGAGGGTCCCAGGATTTGCATTGCCCAGCGAATGGGCCGTGTTAATGTGAAACTGGCCATCATTAAAATCCTCCAGAACTTCAATGTTGAGGTGATGAGCAAACGTGAATTGGAGTTTGATAGCAGTGGCATTACCCTTGTGCCCAAACATGGAGTACGAGTTCGTTTGTCCAAGAGATTACCCAAATTAGCATGAACATTCAACACTGTTGAAGATACGCGAGTAAAGTGGCAATAAATTCACTTTGATTAGTTTGATTGGCTTGCCAATAAGTGCCGCCTATAAAATTGATAAACGATTATCTTAAAAAAAGTTCAAAAAAAAAATGTCATTGTAAATTCCAGAATAAACCAGTTACGATTTTCTATAATCAAAAATCTTAAACTAATAATTTCGGTCTCATAGTCAATGGATTTCCTTGGAAAGCCAATAACTTTTACTTGCGTTATATGGTGTTCTTGGTTAAAGAGTTGTCTCTTTAACACATTTGTTTCAGTGCATACCTCCTTAAGTATCAATTATAATAATAAAACCATTATCTATTAATTTAAGTATAATAACATATTTGACTGACTGGTTTGCCATCGCGAAAATGTCCATGTCATTATGGTTTAATATTTATATTTTCCATTATTTTTGGTTGGCGTATTACAGTATACCTACTTTCGTTTGTAATATTAATAAATAGTTGTAGTACAATACTTTTAAAATCTGAAAAAAATATTTTAATAGTATCCAAACTTACAAATATACCACTATTCATAAAAAGATTAAAATAAACAAAAATATATTCAATTTTATGAACAAAAACATTTAAACCGGTTGTCGCGTAAACAAAACTAAAGAAAGCTAAATCTCTTATCATATTTCTCTGTTTATATTGTTGTGGACAATATTCAAAGAGTAGTTCGACTGCTATGACAGAATTTTAAGAGCATGGTATCGACAAAGAGATTTAACATTACTGTTCACTTTTATTCAAATCCAACAAAGTAGTATGAAATAACTATATTATATGATGAAATTATAAGGTTAACGAAAGAATATTTAAGGCACGTTTTCTCATTGTGAAAACAAATTTTTGATTTATTTGACTTTTTGTGTAGTTGTTCCAAAAATGTAATCATGAAATTTCAGATCGAAATCTGAAAAAATTTTAAAATGTACAGGCCAAGTGAAGCCAAAACTTTAAAAGAGTGTTTCTCAGAACCATGTTTCGTACCTAACGGAATTGAGGAGACGGTCACATTTTTTTAAAATATTCTTTCTATAATAAATGAACTGCAATTAGCCAAATATTATTAAAAAAATAATTAGAGAAGAAAAAATTCGAAAATTCGATTTTTTGCCATGATCATAGTTTTTTAATAGATAATACGATACATATTAAGAATGTGTTTGGTTTTTGTAACACAAGCATTTTCGGTAGCAGGACACTTAATCGCAGACATGCCGCCATTATTGGGCGCCCCAACCCCACCTTTTTTTTATTTATTAATTTTAAAAATTTTATTCACTAAATAAATATATGTTCATATTCAGAAAAAATGTTCAGCATTTTAACTTTAACCGTTTTCCCAAAAAAAAAATTTCAAGAAAGTGCGGATTAAAAGCTTTAAATTAAAAAAAATAAATAAGTGCTTTTCACCATGATTGTCCACAAATGTATGTATTTCTCGCATTTTATAAGTATTGAATTCTTATCTAAGGAGAACGATAATGTCGGAGAGACCAAAAAATCGCACAAGTTGTGCACCTATATAAGGGAAATCAGCTTGTTAATAGCCAGTTACAAAGAGGCTTTTTTCAATAGAGGTTCGACCTTAGTTATTGCAATCGGTGGATCATGTTTACGTTGATTTTACTTGCCTTGTCGCTCGGGACAGTGGCTTGGTTCTACCTGAAGCACCATTATGACTTCTGGGTGCGTCGCGGATTTCCGTTTGACAAACAATCCGGAATTCCATTCGGATGCTTGGACAGCGTCTGGAGGCGAGAGAAGAGTATGGGCTTGGCCATCTACGATGTCTATCGAAGGAGTAAGGAGCGTGTCTTGGGAATCTACTTGCTCTTCCGTCCGGCTGTACTGGTCAGAGATGCTGAGCTAGCTCGCCGTGTGTTGGCCCAGGATTTTGCTAGCTTCCACGACCGAGGTGTTTACGTCGATGAGGACAAAGATCCTCTCTCGGCAAATTTATTCTCTCTAAGAGGTCAGAGCTGGCGGTCTATGAGGCAGATGTTGTCGCCATGTTTCACCTCCGGAAAGTTGAAGGCCATGTTTGGTACCTCCGAGGATATTGGTGACAAGATGGTGGCATACCTTCAAAAGAAGTTACCCGAACAGGGTTCCGAAGAGGTGGATTTGAAGAAGGTGATGCAGAACTATGCCATCGACATAATTGCCTCGACAATATTTGGCTTGGATGTAAACAGTTTCGAGCATCCGGACAACAAATTCCGGAAATTGGTTACGAATGCATCAGCAAATACTAGATTTAATGCCTTGTTTGGTATGCTAATCTTCCTAGTGCCCTCGTAAGTTACACTTGAATATGATTTGGATTCATTTATCTAATGATTTAATCCTCTAGAGTGGCAAAGTTTTTGTTCAAAATAGGGCTTAAGAACCCAGTTCTTCTGGCCATGTTGGAGATTGTTAAGGAAACAGTTGAGCACCGAGAGAACAACGGAATTGTCCGTAAGGATCTGCTTCATTTGCTCATCCAGCTGAGGAACACGGGCAAGATTGAAGATAATGACGAGAAATCCTTTAGCATCCAAAAGACACCCGATGGTAAGTGATTACGAAAGTTACTTTGATTGGTATTGACTGAGAAATCCATTATTTTTAGGACACATTAAGTCCCTTTCTTTGGAAGCCATTACTGCTCAGGCTTTTATATTCTACATCGCTGGCCAAGAGACTACCGGATCAACTGCAGCCTTTACTATCTACGAGTTGGCCCAATATCCGGAACTGTTGAAGCGATTGAAGGATGAAGTGGAAGAAACTTTGGCCAAGAACGATGGCAAAATCACTTATGATTCTCTACACAAGATGGAGTTCTTGGACCTGTGCGTGCAGGAAACTCTTCGCAAATACCCAGGTCTTCCCATCCTGAATCGTGAATGTACCCAGGATTACACTGTACCAGACTCCAACCACGTCATTCCCAAGGGAACACCTGTTGTGATCTCTCTGTATGGTATTCACCGTGATGCCGAGTATTTCCCAGATCCTGAGACATATGATCCCTACCGATTCTCGGAGGAAAGTCGCAACTACAATCCCACGGCTTTTATGCCATTTGGTGAGGGTCCCAGGATCTGCATTGCAATGCGAATGGGTCGTGTTAATGCCAAACTGGCCATCATTAAACTCATCCAGAACTTCGATGTCCAGGTAATGGACAAACGTGAATTGGAGTTCGAGAACAATGGAGTTGGGCTGATCTCCAAACATGGAGTACGAGTTCGTTTGTCCAAGAGATTACCGAAATTACCCTGAACATTCAGTACTGTACACGAGTTAAGTGGCAATGAATTCACTTTGGTTAGTTTGATTGACTTGCCAATAAGTGCTGCCTATAAATTTGATAAATGATTATCTTCAAAAAAAGCTTAAAAAAATGTCATTGTAAATTCCAAAATAAACCAGTTTTGATTAAGCACTTCATATTTCCTATTATCTAAAATCTTAAACTGATAATTTCGGTCTCATAGTCAATGGTTTTCCTTGGAAACTTGCAAGCATATCTTTAAGATATATTTATTTTGAGGATTTCTTAACCTTTAAAAATGTACTGTATAAATGATGAAATTTTGACTTCAAAGTGTAACAGTACAGATTAATTCAGTTTGATACGGCGTATTTTAAGAGAGCATATTTTTATAAAGTGTTAACTCATTTGTTTCAGTGCATAGACCCTTAAGTATTAATTATAATAACAAAATCATTATCTTAAAATATACGTATAATAACAAGTTTTACTATTTTGCTTGTCATCGCAAACATGTCCATATTATTATTGTTTTGGTTGTCGTATAACAGTATAATGTAGTTGCATATGTTCGTTTGTAATCCAAAGAAATATAACAGTATTACAATACTTTTAAAAGCTAACATTCCACTGTATACCACTATTTAATAATGTTTAATAAACAAAAATATATTCTATTTTAGGGAGAAATACATTTAAACCGGTTGTCGTGTAAACAAAACAATATAAACAGAGAAATCTCTCATCATATTTCTAAAGAAAATATTCAAAGAGCAGTTGGAGTGCTATGACAGAATTAATTATTTAAGAGCACGGTATTAACAAAGAGAATTAACAGTTGTTTCTGTTCACTTTTATTATGAAATTATGAAATAACTATATTATATGACACTTCATCATAAAGGGTTAACGAAATAATATTTAAATTTTTCATAGGGTAAATTAAACTAAATTTTATAATAATTAAACAAAACTGCGGATTAAAAGCTTAAAATGAGAAAAAACTAAGTGCATTTCACCACGATTGTCCACAAATGTATATATTTCTCTTTCAGAGTGTATAATTCTTATCTAAAGAGTACTATAATGCCGGAGAGAACAAATAATCACACGAAATTTTGCAGCTATATATAGGGAATCTGCTTGTAGATAGCCAGTTACAAAGAGACTTTCTTCGATTGAGGTTCAACCTTAGTTATTCCAATCGGCAGATCATGTTTACGTTGATTTTACTTGCCTTGTCGCTCGGGACACTGGCTTGGTTCTACCTGAAGCATCATTATGACTTCTGGGTGCGTCGCGGATTTCCTTTTGACAAACAATCCGGAATTCCATTCGGATGTTTGGACAGCGTCTGGAGACAAGAGAAGAGTATGGGCTTGGCCATCTACGATGTCTATCGAAGGAGTAAAGAGCGCGTCTTGGGAATCTACTTGCTCTTCCGTCCGGCTGTACTGGTCAGAGATGCTGAACTAGCTCGCCGCGTGTTGGCCCAGGATTTTGCTAGCTTCCACGACCGCGGTGTTTACGTCGATGAGGACAAGGATCCTCTGTCGGCCAGTATATTCTCTCTAAGGGGTCAAAGCTGGCGGTCTATGAGGCACATGTTGTCGCCATGTTTCACCTCCGGAAAGTTGAAGGCCATGTTTGGTACCTCCGAGGATATTGGTGACAAGATGGTGGCATACCTTCAAAAGAAGTTGCCCGAACAGGGTTCCGAGGAGGTGGATTTGAAGAAGGTGATGCAGGACTATGCCATCGACATTATTGCCTCGACCATATTTGGCTTGGAAGTAAACAGCTTCGAGCATCCAGACAATAAGTTCCGGAAATTGGTGTCGATTGCAAGACCAAATAATAGATTTAATGCCTTGTTTGGTATGATGATCTTCCTAGTACCCTCGTAAGTTACACATAAATATGATTTGGATTAATTTATCTAATGATTTCATCCTCTAGAGTGGCAAGGTTTTTGTTCAGAATAGGATTTAAGAACCCTGTTGGTCTGGCCATGTTGGAGATTGTCAAGGAAACCGTCGAGCACCGAGAGAAGAACGGAATTGTCCGCAAGGATCTGCTTCAGTTGCTCATCCAGCTGAGGAACACGGGCAAAATTGAAGAGAATGACGAGAAATCCTTTAGCATCCAAAAGACACCCGATGGTAAGTGATTACGTTACTTTAATTACTACTTTAATTGGTATTGACTGAGAAATCCATTATTTTTAGGTCATATTAAGTCCCTTTCTTTGGAAGCCATTACTGCTCAGGCTTTTATATTCTACATAGCTGGGCAAGAGACTACAGGATCAACTGCAGCCTTTACTATCTACGAGTTGGCCCAATATCCGGAACTGTTGAAGCGCTTGAAGGATGAAGTGGATGAAACTTTGGCCAAGAACGATGGCAAAATCACTTATGATTCTCTACACAAGATGGAGTTCTTGGACCTGTGCGTTCAGGAAACAATTCGCAAATATCCAGGTCTTCCCATCCTGAATCGTGAATGTACCCAGGATTACACTGTACCAGACTCCAACCACGTCATTCCCAAGGGAACACCCGTTGTGATCTCTCTGTATGGTATTCACCATGATGCCGAGTATTTCCCGGATCCTGAGACATATGATCCCTACCGATTCTCGGAGGAGAGTCGCAACTACAATCCCACGGCTTACATGCCTTTTGGTGAGGGACCCAGGATTTGCATTGCAATGCGAATGGGTCGTGTTAATGCCAAATTGGCTATCATTAAAATCCTCCAGAACTTCGAAGTTGAGGTGATGAGCAAACGTGAATTGGAGTTCGAAAACAGTGGAATTGCCCTCATGCCCAAACATGGAGTACGAGTCCGTTTGTCCAAGAGATTACCCAAATTACCATAAACTTCCCTCCCTGATGAAATACATTAGATAAGTGGTTATAAATTCATATTGATTAGATTGAATAGCTGCCCGTGCAAAGTGCTATTATCGCTTACAAATACGATAAAGGATTACCCTCATTGTGAATCTAAAAATAAACCTCTAATGTCGCACTTGCAATTTTATAAAATTTGTATAATGAAATAACAAATACTTATTATTAAATACCTTTTAATATTTCATGGTTTTCCTGTGATAACCAATAATCTTTACTTGCAAACATGACATACTTTTAAGTTAAGAGTCATTATGAATATTTATATGTTAATTATTTTTTTAGGTGCAACAAATCGGTTGGCCTTTGAAATACATTGAAATTGTTAAGGCCTCTTATCGCTATCATAAATTGGCAGTGATAGGAGAACCCATAGCGATTACTAATACCACACAGAGATACCTTAAGTTAACAAATCGTGAATATATAAATTTAGGTAGAAGGTCTGGAATTTGATTAAGTATTGCTATTTTTTGTTTAATGCATCTAAAAAAAAGATTTTTATATTTCCCATAAATATAATATAAAAAATAAACAAAAAATGTTTCTTGTTTCCAATAATTCTAATCAATTTTCCGCTTTGTCAAATGTCTAGATTAAATCATGAACATAATGAAAACCTTACCAGACAAAAAAATCAATTCAAGACATGAAAAGTGAGGTCAACAATTTTTATTGATTTCATGCCAGTGCTGTAGAATCTTTTGCATTCTAAAGAAATACAGATAATGATAATATATACAATAACAAAACCAGTGCGGTAACTATCCAGTTAATTTGTCCAGTATTTTCCAGTAATCCGATTGTGGAAATTAATCCGACTTAATTGTTTTCACGTTCCTCCAACTGTTGCAACTCCTTCTCATTCTGCAGCATTTTCTGTTTGTTCTTCTGCCGGAAGATTTCCTTGCTGGCTTCTTTGATGGCCTCAAAGATTTTCGCCTGCGACATGATTTGCTTTTGTACATTTTCCACAGCTGGTTCGGCATTGATATCAATCAAATCACTTAGACCCTCAGATAAATACTCATTGTTATAGGGTTTATCTTCGACATCATTACGTTTGAACAGTGAGAATGGGGGATATGAGGGGTAAGTACGTTTGCGTCCACATCCTGTAATACTTTTGGCTTAAAAACTTATAAATAATATTATTTTAAATTTAAGTTACCTGTAAATGCATTGCAAAATGGACGCTTTTCGTACTTCCACTGGATAACGCCACTCAGCTTGTGCTGGAAAAATATTACAATATAATAATTTTAATTAATATTGTATTAAAAATCTGTCACAGTATAAGATTGTAATGCTTTAAAAATTATAAAAAAACTCAATTAGACATAAAAACCTCTTCATAAACTTTTAGTTTATTAAATTATACAGTTAATCAGTGTTTAGTTTCACAATCATAACAAACATTTTACAAAGCTTTTCGTAAAATGACTCCTCCAAAAACTGCTTAACGTTATCAACTTAGATTAAAATTCATTGGACCTTTGATTAATAACTCACATTCCGAGTGTGTGATACAAAATAGCATAATTATGAAATAGCAGTTAACCGAATAATAACTCACATTTGCCATATTATTCCCAACGCTGTTCTCCCTTTCCAGCGAAGCCTGACAGGAGAGCAAGCAAACCAAGAGAGCCACCAGCCTCAAGGATATTCTAATGGAAGTTCTCATGGCGAAACAAGTTTGACGTTACTGGGTTTTCAGAAGGGATACACTTAGCAACCGAAGCGCTTAACACTCGAAACTGAAATGAAAGTAGCCGCAGCTTGGGCCTTGGTCAACATCTCGGCTACGCAATGTGAGACTTGTTGCTTTCAGAATGCGACAGGACCTCCAGCTGCGCCTAGAATGTATTTTGGTTGCCACTTAATAGCTTTTTGTGTTTTTCCCGACCTTTCCCAGTGATGTTGCCCCCGCATAGCTCAATATTGCATTGACGTTTGAAGGATGGTCCTTGCCCTTGCAGAGGGTAATAAAAACCACTGCAAATTGAATTTAAAATGAAAATGGAACTTAAAGAGGGAGAACTTTATAGATTTTTTTAAAATTATTTCTACCAGTGTAGCTGCAGTGGCTACATTTCGCTCGTGAGCAAAAAGAGACAAGTGTCTATTTATAAAGAACCGATCCCAAAAATCCGAGAACACACTCACAGATGATCGCTTATACGAAATAGAAAGAGCAAGTGTGCATTTTCCGAAAACTTTTCCTCACACTTCCACGGGACTTTTCCGAACAAACAGCGGCAATTTCGAGTCGATTCTCTAAAGAAACGGTTCGCGTGCTACTCGATCTCCGGAATTCAATGAAAAGTTGTAAAAAAGTTGCATGATCTGGAAAACATAGGCGGTATCTTTGGAATTTTGAGTAAACAAAACGTATTGCCAAAATAAAAGATATATAATTTTGTGCCCTAGTTGAGTTTTTGAGTTTTGTTTTTTCGACTTTACCGACGAATTTTTGTCGAAAGTAAAGGAATTTCTGTGTCACTTCTACTAAAATAGCATGTGAGTAATTTGGAAATTTATAAATTAAGCAAATTAATGAGCATACCTAAAATTTTAATTGGATTATGACAAAGCAATTTCTGTCATCGGAGTCCGGAAAAATTGTGGTGGAAAATCGTTTATATCACATTGCATGCAATTTCGTGTTGCCAGTGTGAATCTTCTGTACCTTGTTTTTGTCTACGTAAAGTAAAAAAAACCTAAAAATATCTTGGCTATTTTGAGTTTTCCTCAGTTTTACTGTCACACTTCGGTTTGACAACTTTTCCTCTGTCCTCTGCCTTCTGTCCTCTTCACCAAATTCTATCGCCGGCTACCGCTTTTCCCTTTCTTTTCTTTTGTTTTCTGTTAATTAATCGAGATTCCCTCGATTAATGCTTTTCCGCTTCTTTGTTTATATGAAACATCAAATTCCTTGCATATTTCTTCTGCCGAAATTGTAAACATTTCAGCACGCCCAAGCGGTAATTTGTGCTGAAAATTACAACATTTATGAACGTATGAGAGCGGATCGTAAAAAATAATTTGGTATAAAAAGTGAAAAGCCTTGCAATTTGATGGCCCTGTCGAGTGACGTGGCTTGTGCAGCAAAATGTTTGTTGTGGCCCCAACATATGTATATACATTCATTTATTTTTAAGTATAAAATTTATTTTATTAATTTCCTCACCCGTCTATTAATAGATCGGAGATGTCAGAGCCCGCAGCCCAACAACAGCAGCCGCAGAATGGCAAGGAGCGATCCAAGTCCACGGAGGAAAAGGAAATCCCACGCGAACCGGCGTTGGTCCTTAAAGACATTGATGTAAGTCTAGAATAAAAAGAAATTGTATTGAATTATAAGTAAATCTAGCAATAGTAAATATTACAAAATGGCTGGCTTAACAAATTATTGAAAATTTAAAGTTTATTTAAAAGCTTTCCAGATTGAATGTGGTAGAAAGTATTTTAACTATACAAATTATAAAAATTTTATCCAGTTTTATATAGACAAAAGAAATAACTAGAATAGTTTAGATAGAAAATAATTATTTTCTTTCTGTGTAGATGACAAGCAAATTTTCATAGTGCCCATATATATATTCGAATTATTCAACAAAAATTATTACAAATATAAGTTCACGTCTGGCCATTTGAAGCTGAAACAAAATGAAATAAACTAAATAATTTGGCCATAAACAAATACAATCTTGGCAATATGTTTGTAAACAAAAAATTCCATTAAATAGTTTGACAAATGGGAACATTATCATCTTAAGACGACATTTATTTTAGATTTATTACACCTACTTATGATATCTTTAATCATCTTTCTTATTTTGTCACAGATTAAGACTGAACTAGAGAGCCTAGTAAAGCTTCTGGATGGCAAGATCTACAAGGAGGAGGAGGTGGCCATGGAAGAGCTGCATCAGTATTTGATTGAGGACGATGGCTCCTGGGCATTGGGCGATAACTTCCTGGTCTTTGTGCAGCGAGTTCTGCGTGATAATCAGGCTTTCTCCCCAGACACACGGATACACTTGATCCGCACCCTAGCTTATGCAGCCCTTAAAGACGATGTAATTATCATTCTGCACCAGGATCGCAGGGATCACACACTGATGAACTATGCCCAGGACATAGATAAGCAGACGCCCGAGGAACAGCAGGCCTGGGCCATGTTTGTGAGTTCATTTTGGAAGATAATATAGTAATATCTTCAACTTTATGTTAACTCTATCTTTTTATCAGATGTGCAACCTCTTTGAGAATCTGGGTCCCTCTGAATGGCTGTTGTACATCTCCGAATGGGAATACAATGGCCAGACCATCTCCAACATCAGAGTGACCACCAAGGTGGCCGTCCACTGCATCCTCTCCAATTGCCCGCAGCTGAAAAACATTGGCAGCATGATCTTGTACAACATTGCTATTAAGGAAGTGAAAACAGTGGTAAGTAAGCTAAGAAATCCCAAATGGAAGGTATCTTAGGGATATATATATTTCTAGGTTTTCGATGACATTGCCGTGGAGCTGGCCATGGCCATTCTTCAGTTCTTCCAGAGCAGTCCCAACGAAGACCAGATTTTCCGCACATTGAAGGCCCTCGCCCGTTTCCTTGAGGTATTGACCTATATTCTGAATAGCCAAAATTGACAGCTGTCAAACATCCGCATATTTTCCTATTCTTCAGGTCTCACAAGATGTGCCGATGATCATTCAAATGATTGGACCGCATCCAAAACAATTCGCCGGCAAGAGCGAGCGTGTGGATGAGCTGATAAAGATCATTAGTCGCAAGGTGCCCGCCTAAGGGACACTTCCAAAAGAGAAAAACATAACCATAGTTGCCCTTTTTTCTAATATATATATATTCTAGACCCTCACTTTTGTAAAGCATTTTAGCGGCTCAATAAACATTTGTACCCCTTAGAAGAAAGTCAACTACATGGCGGCATCGCCACAGCAGAGTTTGAGGAAGGGAAATCCATTGCCTCCACTGGCTCGTAGTTGAAGCCAGTGCTTCTGGTTGGAGACGAACATCTCCGAGGGCAGCTGAGTGTCCTGAGCGGAGGTGTCCTCTGCAAAAATAAGACACAACCTTACCAAAAAGGATCTATTTACTAAGATAAAATTTTAACTTACGAGCCTTCTTGTCAAACTTGGGCGATTGGGTAATGGAGATCACATCCTCTGGTTTTCGTAGGAGTATCTTGCCCACTCCCTTACACATACGTAGCACCTCATGGTTGCTCAGCTTCTCCAGTTGCTCTTCATCCAACAAAGTGCAGGCCAGGATCCACTCACGCACATCATCGAAATCATTCAGCAATCGAACTGCTCCATTCACGCTAAAACGAATGCGTTTCTGGTAGATAAAATCTAGCCAGGCTTCGCAAATAAGCTTGAGGATCAGTTTAAGTATTACAATGTCCTTGGTGGCACGTATGGTGGGCAGATAGATCTCGTCCAGCACATAGCCCACATAGAGACTCTTCTCATCGTTGTTGTACACCTCGCGCTGCCAAAAGCTGGCGGCGGGAAAGCAGAGCGTAAAGTTAGCCAGGCTAAGGACGCGGCAAACTGATGACAAAATCTGAACACACTCATCGGTGGTTTTCTGAGGGTTTATATATAAAATCTTATTATTATACAGTTCCTACAACTTATATAACACTCACCTTTAGCTTGTCTATATTGGCGTTGACCTCGGCGATGAGCTTGGTCCGCAGAGCAACGCAAACCAGCATTAGAATATCGCTCAGGTCGGCAGTGAGTTTCGGCAGTTGAAAGGTTATGAAGACATTCAGGCATAGCTTGACATCGTGCTCTAAAATCTGGAAGAAGCGATCCATTTTCCACTCACAGCAAAGAAGCTTGGCCTGCTCGAAGACCCACAGACGCATCGAATGCACCGAATGATCTGAAAATTGGCAAAGAAATCAGAATTCTATTTATGGTAATGATTCAATCACGATCTTACCCAGCCTATGTAGTATGGGTATCTGCTCAGCCACTGGCAGCAAGCTGGAGTTATTGTGCGCCTCTAAATTGGAGAAGTATTGGTTACTCAGGTTTACTAGGTTGGCGAAAATACTAATCCATACGGTGCCAGTTGGGGTACCAAATTCCTGAAGAATTTATCTTTATAAATGATTAAATGTATAATATTAAAAGTTATATATTACATTCTTGGGACAATCGCGATATTGTTCAGCCACCACATCCACCAGGCGGTTAGTGTTATTGGAAGATATTAGAGTGAGGCGGAAGAGTTGGTCCCAAATGTTATTGCAAACGAATCCTGTAAGGATTTCGCCAATACCTCGAAGAGTTGAGAAAACAGGTTCGGGAATATCTAAAAAAAAGTAAAAAGTTTGGATATCTTTTTATTGTAGAATAATAGTGCTTAAAGATTACTCACCATTAACACTCTGATGATAGAGCCAACTGCGGATGGAATCTATATGGGTAAGACGATAGCAGGACACGGGATTATCTATCCACCATAGCAATATGTGATCCAATATGATGCCCACATAAGACCAGAGAAGTCGCAAACCCTTGACAATATAAAGATTCATGTCCACAGGACCTTTTTTGCCATTATCTGTTAAAGATAGCAAAAATAATAAGTAGAAGATGAAGTAATTTAAAAACCCACCAAAAATAGTTGGACTAATCTCCGTGGCCTTGGCTATCAACTGAGCTATAAAAACCCTTTCCTTCTGCAAAAAACTCTCCGTATGCTTGCAGCGAAGACTCTGGTGGTCATGATCTTGGACTTGGAGACTAGCATCGGCCATCTGCATCTGCATGGACTTGTAATCCTGAGCAGAGTCACAATATGGTTGGTAATCGCCCGCGGCAAAGGAGATGTTTAGAGTGCGTAAAATCTCCAAGCTCGAGGAAGTGGACTCCAGATTCTGCTGTTCCCGCCAGGCATCTTGCTCGCCCATGTTGAAGAGTCCAAAAACCAGATCCAGGGCATTCTGTTCTACTCGAGTTTGGGCCACCAACTTTTAGGAAATAGTTTATAAAAAAGTTTCGAATAAGGGTTTATAAAGGATTCAAACCTGTAAGACATATCCGAAATCAATGGACTTCAGAGCCAAGAGCAAGGCAGGATACATATTGCTGCAGACATTGGCGGGCATTTCTTCCTTCCTCTTGCCACCCAACTTGGGCTCCTCCTCTAGCTCCTCTTCACCTGGTTGGCTATCCACCTCTACTGGAACTACAGGCTTCTCCACCTTCCGACACTTGTTGTATAATTGAGTAATATGCAAAGCCCAATTTAGCCACATCTCCGACTGCATCGCCTTCCGGAGCAAGAAGCTTAACTATTAGAGAGAGCAGGTTAATCCAAATCTTGGATTATGGAACACACGACCTACTGTTTTCTTAAGCACAAAAGTAAGTTGGCAAAAACGTCTGTCATTCAGATCCATAATCAAATGGAACTTCTTCATCAGCAGCTGGTTGTAGGGACTCCTCTTGATCTTCTTTGAGAGCGATTGAAAGTCAGCATTTTTAGTCTCGTCCTTGAGATTCCAGTACTGCTCCACCACCCGCTCGCACTCCTCCAAGATGGTGTCCTTAGAGGTGTTTTATGAGCTACCAATCTATCTTTAGAAAGGTTAACCACTTACATGTTCACTGAAAATCGCCGAATTGACATCGATCACAATCCTCTTGGTAATCCGACGCAGCTCCAGGCCCAATTTGCCGATTTCCGCGAACGTGTGCATCGGCTGGGATTTGTTGCGGCAGTACCACTTCGGGGTGGTGCTCATTTTCGGTGGGGCCTGTCCGCCGGCGGCGGAACGACGGCTACCTGCCCCCCTACTCCCTGCTCTGTGGCTCCCTAACTCAACCTGTTTTTTTCTAGACAAATCGCTTTTTAATTATTGTGTCTCCCAGGCACGCATCCGCACATCCGTCGACCCGCGTCTTTCCTATTACCTAAAGCCTGGCTGAATGCAAATTTTCCGTCTGTTGGATCGATGCCAGGTCTCGTGACCCCCGCAGCCAGGCAACGCACGCATCTGACAGCGGGTTGAGACCTGGAAAGAGCAGCGCCAGACTCACCCAAAAAATTTGAGGGGGCGGTGAAGCTCTGATTCGTGGCACCCATGTGCGCCAGCCCATTTAACATCATCGACAGACACGCATTCGTCAGGCTGCCCTTCTATGCAAATGGGTTATGGGGTCGAGTGTGGGAACCCCAAAGAAACAAATGCTTTTCTAGCGATGTCATAACCAGAAACGTCTCAGTAGTCAGTTTGGCCTCGCGAACTTCATAGTAGTATATATGTACTATAAGCTGGTGGTGAGATAATAATTACTTTGACAAACTAAAAAAACAAAACTTTCTACGAGTATATGGTTAATAAAAGTTTATTATAATGGTATATACATAACTGACGGAGACCAGTCGTATACGTAATATTTGATAAACTGCAAGACCAGTCGTATACGTAATATTGGATAATCTGCAATAAACTGTGTAAAACCGATTTCCTTAATCAAACGAACTAACTTTTAAATAACTATTTATTACAATGAAATAAGAGTTACAGTGAACAAAGATTAAATGAAACTGGACAATTTTGGCACATCTTCCGGACTAAACTAAACTTGACTGTCTTCCACTAAGGCGGCGGTATTGGTGACAACCTGGACTTGGGCTTGACGCGGAGCTTTATCCTCTGTGGTGTTGATAAGAAAAGCCTTGGAAATCCAAGAGCATATCAGTAGAAGGATAATAAAGACATGGGACACCAGAAGACGATCCAGCGATTTGCGCACATGCTGCCAGGATCCTCGATTGCTCACATCGTAGCAGAAGTACAGACTCATAGTGTCATTCATCAGGAACAGGCAGATGAAGATGGAGCGAGTATTCTTCCGGGCAAAGGATACCAAGGCATATATGCACGACATAACGATTATTGATGGAATAAATATCTTCAGGAGGATAAAGGCCGCAATCATGTGAAATTGAAATTGAGGGAAGAACAGTCGTGAAGTGATGGGTTTGAATGTAAAGTTAAAAAACCAATGGCCAGTTCCAAAGAAGGATACATAGAAATACAGCAGAATGAGAGCAGCATAGCGATAGGATAGCCTCAGGTGTTCCAATGGACTCACGCGTCTTTCAGCTCGATTCTCATCTTGTACTTCAGTCCCATTCGGCTCACCATCTTCATTCGAATTCCTATCCTTATTGTCCATCGGTTTAGTGCTCTCTTCGTAAAGCTCAAAGCCCAGCACAAATTCGGTGACCATAATCTGAACAAAAAGCGAGGATATCGATACAGTCAGCATTATATGAACCGTAAGCATATTGAACATGATCAGCTCCAGGCGTCGCTTAAACACTTTTGTTCCACTATAAGGAATCGATATGAAGGCATATGCAAGATATGACCAACATGCAGCGTACACGTAGGTGCAGATTGTCTGATCTTCATCCCACTGATAGATTCCATATGCTGCTGCCATTGACGCTGCAATGTTGATGATCCAAACACGCATGGCATGATGATGTCTCACAATCAAAGGACGAAGTACTGATAACACCATACTAAAGTACACCCAGTAACTTTTGTCCACATAATCCCCGATAGCGTCGGTAATAAATTGCAAACTCTTATTCTGCTTCACCACCAGAATTCCACTCAGCATCACTACCAGAGTAAGCCAGAACAGTAACTTCAAACTGGGCCTAAAGAAAGCCCTTCGATTGTTGAGGCACACCATAATGAAGTAGAGAAGACCAATGTGACTCTTGTGGAAGGCCATTAATACAAGGAGGACAGCTGGTGCAATGATTCCGATTAGATGAAGTATAGGATACTGGCACAACGAATTACATCCCATGGGACGTTCAGCCAAGGCCAAGATGAGGATTCCTAAGGGGAGCAACAGATAGAAGGCCGTCAGGTAGGGAACCTTTTGCAGTATCAACAATTCCACCAGCACCATTCCAATCAAGCACATCAACAAAGTCATCCATGAATAAAATCCTCTCTTTTGAGATCTCGGTTGGATGGACTCCCGGGTAAGTTGCATCAGCAGAAGGTAGAACCAAACTAAGTAGGAGGCAGTGGTGGCCACTAGCAGTGGCATGTTATAATACTCATTGTAGTATTCCAAACACTCTTGAGCCACCTTAGCTATCTTTTGGCTGATGACCAGAGCCTGATCGAAGTGTTCCTTCTCCATCAGGAATTTCACTTTTACCATATAGCGGTCAATTTCCACCGAGTTCAGATTTTCAAACTTGGGCAGGCACAAATACAGAATGCTTTCCTCATGACGCTTTATCAGAATCTTGGCCTGACCCAGAAGCTGCATGGCATTCAAATGCATAGCTTGGAGTTCGTACTGGATGCTGGTATTCAGGAATCCAAGGGGCAACAGTGCCATGTTGTTCATAGGAGGTGGAAGACCAATCAAAGCGGACATTAGTGGTGCCAGTTGCGTCTGTTCCAGTTGGTAAAGAGGCAGAGTACGACCATTGCTATTAACATTAAAGCTCTGACCAGGATCCGGGGCCAAGTGATTAACACCAGCTCCCCAGAGGATGAAGGGGGTTTCCACTTCTCGATCTCCTGCACCACCATGTTGTCCTGAAATTAAAGGTTAGATAGAAATTGATGAAAAACTATATCACTCACCCTTATCATTCATCCCATGATCGGATGTTATCAGATAAGCCGTGCGACTATCGTTGAAGACACTCTCGAAGAGCTCATAGGTTTCCCGGATGCACCTTTGGGTGAAATTAAGCTTCTCATGGAAAGATGCACCGTAGGGCGTGAAAACGTGGCCAGCTAGGTCAATATCTGGTAAATATATATAAAATACCACCGATGTTGCATTCCGCAAGGGTCGAACATTCTCCTCATTGGTCAGAAAGATACTGGTCTTATTAAAAATCCACTCATCCAAGTTATTTTTGCCCGAAATGTCCGACTTGGCAAACGTTTGAAAATGCAATGGAGCCCCACCGGTTGGCAAGTGGGTGAAGACTTTGGCAACCACATCCTGAGTCCATCCTATGGCTTTTCTGCTCCGATTGAAGACTGTATCGAAATTGGATGGATTCCAGCCAAAGTTGGTAAGGGCCGCTGCGGGATCTTCATTAAAGCCGCCGAAGATGGCAATATGACCTGGACGGGTCACAGTCGGCGGACAGGCACGGGAAATTCCCACTAGACCTTGATTAAACAGCTCCTTCAGGTCTGGTACCGCACTGCAGTTATTTGCCAGAACAGACTCCGCTCGCAAGCCATCTACAACGAAAACCACGACTCGGTCCGCCGGTGGTTTAAAGCCAAATTCACGGAGTGTACTTAACGGTTCGAGACCCGACAACACGGTCGATTGAAAGTAGATACTCAGGATGGAGCCCAGCAGCAATATATGCACCACCAAAGCCTGAACACTCCACATTTTCCCAATAAAATGTATGTATGTGTGAACCTCCTCAATATATAAAAATGTATACAATGAGTTGTTTGAATGAAACTTGAATGGTTTGAATATCAAAGCCTTCCCTATTTGAAATTTAAAACAAGAACAGAGCATTTTCAATATATCCGGCAAGTTTATTGATGTAATTAAAGATAGGTTTGATTTTATACGTTGCTGTTCTTCTTGAATAAACGAACTGTAAATATTCAACACACACATTCTGCTTGATCTCTTATTTATCATCTATACTTATTCTCTCCTCTGTACACATCAACATCTGGTTTTGTTTTGCTATCACATTGAATTGTTACATTTATAGTAGTAGTTGCTGCATGTTGCCTGCTTAAAATCTTTAAAACACGTTTTAAATTTCATCTGAAACATGTAGGTAATACACGTCAATTAACAAGTGTATCCCAATATCTGTAGCTATAGCTGCTGGGGTCTCTAAATGTGGACTGTGTGTTTTTTGTTTGCGGTTTTCTGGTGTGTGTATTGGTTGTGTGTTAATTGTGTGTTATGTTCGAGGGGTCAAAGGGGATGTAGAAGCACACATTTCGTATGTAAACTTTCGCTGAACTTGAAGTGAATCAACTTTGTCGTCATCAAAGCGCTTTTTTCCTGTTTGTATTTTTGTTTTGTTTTGTTTTTTACAAAATTAGACTTAAAATTGCTTGCGCTTCTCGTAACTACACATTAATTTAGTGGTTGTTGCTTAGTTCCTTGTTCTCTCTCTTGTTTTATCTCTCGCCAGTGTCCTTTTTTTTTGTTTGTTTGTTTGTTTTTGTTTTGAGTTCTCGAAATACATAATACATTTAAAATATATAGAAATAATATTTGTATACATATAGGTATATATCTGCATCATCTTTTCACGTATAGTAAAATATATGTATAATGTATATATATTGTATATATATAGATCTGTATGCACTATGCCTAACCACGCCTATATTCACTTTTTCGCACTTAATCCTCGGTAGTAGTTTCTGTAGTAGTAGTAGTAGTAGTAGTATTTGTATCCTGCAGCTCTTCGAGAGTTGGAATATCGTCTTGTAGTTTTAGCACTTGTAACCTTGGGTTATAGTGCCCGGCTAAATAATATGTATCATTGTTATCGTATATGGATTGATATTGCTTCGAATCGGCACCGAATTTGTCAAAGTAACTGCCAAACTGCAGCACCTCACACCGATGCGAAATGGTCTGCACATCGTTCTCATCCTCGTGCGGCGATTCAAATAGAGCACCCTGTTTTCAAATAAATAAATAATGTTCATAATTTTGTATGAATGAATAAATTCATAATCAAAACTTACCGGAAATTTCAATTTTGGACAGCCGGTCGTCTCCTCCGGATGATAGAACCACGCCACTCGCACCACCTTATTGCCCGTGGTCGTTTCCCACATGGACTCAATGCGACCAATATAGGGTCGATCTGGCCTGCCCGTCGATAGAAATACTGCACTGTCCCCGACCTAAAATCATTCGACATAACATAACACATAAACATAATTAAATATTGTTTTGTATTGAAAGTGGATTGAATGGCCGTACCGTGATAGTCTCCTTTCCCCTTTTGATTGTTTTGTAAAATTGCTTTCTGGCGCGTCCCTTGACGCCCGCCTTGCGATAGGCGGTACCATACCAACCCCATAGCTGCCGTTCCGGCAGGAAAGCAGCTATCTTGCTGCTTCCCTTGGAGTTGTTATGCTCGACCAGATCGTCGCCCTTGGCCTGCAAACAAAAAGTGGACTATTATTATTTCAACCCTTATATACCTTGTATAACCCTTGTTACTGCAATCAACTACAATTGTTTCCTTATCAAGTAACTCGGATTTACAAATATTATTCCAACCATTGTTGGAAAAACAGCACAAATGGTAAACGATGAATAACGAAAAAGCTTATTAGCAATTAGAATTTTAAAAAGACCAGCAATGTTAAGTCGTCGGGTAAATATTTGTTTTCATTTAAGGATTAAATTTATTTAAATTAAGCCTGTTAGTATTCACAGCCCTTACTTACCTCATCGGATATCTCTGACATGAGATTGGATGCGGTTTCCTCTTCTATCTCCAGCTGCTCGGTCTTCACTTTGACCTCCACCTTGACGCGATTTGCGATTGGAGCTGGTGCTGATGACATTTCTGTCGCTGGAGCCTCTGCTGCTTCTTGCGTTGCCGCTGAAAAGTCCTGTTGTACTACCTGTTGCTCCTGTGGTTCCTCGCTACCATTCTTGCGATGATGTTTCTTGTGCTTCTTGCGTTTCTTGTGCTTGTGGTGTTTTCGAGCAGCATCCTCTGCACTGACACCCTCGCCAGATGCTGCAGGATCTGTTCCACCATTTGTAGCCGTGGCTGAATTAACGCCATTGTGAGCCTTGGACATCTTTTTTAGGCTTTTCTTCAGCCGCTTTTTCTCACTGCGCTGCGTGAACAACTCCATTGTGGCGGTCAGCGAAGTAGTATTATCGCTACTCATCCCCAGGCTGTGATGACTGTGCGAATCCTCGCAGCCGGGCACACTTAAATGGTCCTGCGAAACTACTCCGGGGCCACCATCTACACCGCGCAGAGCGTTTCGCTTCTGCTTGCCTACTGAGTAGAGGGGATTATCGTTGTACTCTGTTCCAAGTAGTTGTATGGGAAGGAGCAGGAGCAGGAGCAACGAAAACAACAAAGAAGTAAATAAGGAGCCACATACACAACAAACTAATGATAGGACAGAGGGCCGTGGTATAAAACTGGCATGCCCACAGGACCACATTACCCTGGGCAGCAGTTTAAACCCACGAAAGTTTGAAGTTAATACAAACCTGCTATGGGATAATCGCTAAGTAGCAATCGGATGTTCTGCAAGCGGATCCTGCCGCTATCGCCATCGTCAAATTCAACGCTTACAAAGTCCGGCGCTGTCGTGGCCGAATTCGTTGCGTTGCTGATCGTTCCATCGTCAACCTGCTCGGAGTCGATGGCTCGTCCAGGATAAAGGCATCGATATTGCTGACTCCAATAGGCACACAATCGTGTGCCCACTGGCACACTCTCCACGCTCTTCGGCGCCACCTCGAGGATCTATAAACATTAAAACTATTGAGTAAAGTTGGAAGTTGGTTGGTAGTAAGATTCTACTTACCGTATCCTTGAGTATATCTTCGCGCGACATCACATGCGACTTGTTGCCGCGCTCGCCGTCCAATGTGATGGAGTATACATCCGGTGGACGCAAAGGCTTCATCACTCCCGCATAGAAGAGTCCACCCATGTCGGTAAGGACTCGCGTTTCATCGCGATATAGGTGCTCGCTGGTCAATTGCAGTTCCCGATCAATGCCGCTAACGCGACGTTTTGCCTCCGTAGCCGTAGATTGCTCAGAAGCGGCACCACTGGCGATGGCCTTTATTTTTCGCTGCTTCCGCACTGCAGAAGCCGCCTGTTTTGTGGAGGGTGAACAGGAAGCGGAAGTCGCAGAGGTAGTTGGTGCAATGGCAACGGCCGCGTCCAGAGCACTTGGCTCCAAACGGACAAATGACGAGGTACTCGGTGAGCTGCTTGTAGGCAAGGGATTAGGATCCGGTTGGGGTTGTTGCAGGGACGGCGGTGGGGGGAACGAGTGCGTCTTTTCCGGGAATCTCAAGAAACTGGACGCCTGAAGGTTACTGCTCGAAAACTTCGGGAACTTGTAGTCGCGCAGCGGTGATGAAGTACTGAAATATGAAAATGTTATTAGGTTTTGGAAAATAATTATTAAAGTCTGAAAGTTCCTTACCCCAGGACACTGGACAGAGTCATTTGTGGCTGTTGCAAAGCTGGTGTGGGCTGCGCCACCTGTTGGACTGCCTGCTGTTGTTGCAGTTGGAGCTGCTGCTTGGAGCACTTCTTCTTTTTCTTGTGCTTGGATATCTCATCCAGCTTTCGCTTCTTCTTTCGATACTGCCGCGTGACATCCGCCAGTCGCATACGCATACTGTTATCCATGATGCTGAACACCTCCTGGCCAAAGCGCTGAGCGTAACTGGGATCCAAGGCGTGGAGGGCATTGCGCAGCTCCGACTGCAGCTGCTCATCCTGCAGGTCCACGTCCTCCTCGGCCTGACATGACAACTGCTGGCGGCTGCTGCTATGGCGCCGCTTCTTCTTGCTCTTTTTACTGCAACGTGCGGACTTGCGGCTATCGCTGCCTGAGGACTTGGAATGTTTGTGCTTCTTGCGCTTCACAGGAATAGGCTCTGTCACGGCACCAGCCGACGTAGATGGCAACTCGATGCCCTGCATCGAGGGAAAACCGGGCGAGCTTAATGGCATCTGAAAGGAGGAGGAAGAGGAAGGGAAGACGGATCCCTGCGATTGTCCGAAAGCAAAACAGGACTTGGCCTCAAAGACAGGCGGCGTCGTTGCTGTCGTGTTCAGAGTCTGCGGCGTTGGTGTAGGCGTTCGCGACGAGGGAGTAGCAAAAAGACTGCTGCCCTGGACAACCTCCTCCTGGATGCGTTGCTCGGCCAGGGCACACAGAAGCTTGAGACCTCCCAGAGGTTCCGGCGCAGGCGTAGGGTCCATTTCCAGAATGGGCGGCGTAGGTTCTCGGGGCATAAGTTCCAAAGGCTGCACCTGTGGCGGCTGTTCCACATGCTCTACAGGTTCCTGCTTTACTCGCACCAAAGGCTTACTATTGGTGCTAATGTTTGAGAGCAGTTCCAGACCGGTCAAATCTTCAGGGGCTGCCTGATCAGCCTGCGTGGCTTGGGACATCATTTCTATGGGTTCCTGGGGAGTCTGCTCGGCCGACTCCTCCTGGCTGGCACTGGGTATGTCACTGGGTTCGGTCTGGGTATGGCACTCGGTCGGCTGGGTATGGCTGGCTTCACTGGGCTTGGTAAGTTCCAGAGGCTGAATAAGGGAAGGAGGTGGAAGGGATTCCACTGCAGATTCCTGTGGCTTCGGTGGACCCGGAACGCTTTCGTCTTCACTGCAAACAGGCGTGTCTGTCTGTATATTGACATCCTGCATTTGCGGTAAAAGTTGTGTTGATCCCGACACCGGAATTTCCGCCAGGCGGGGTGGTGTCTGCGGCGTTAGCGGTGCATGCAATTTGTAGTTCAGCGCTGCTTCATCACAAGCCGCCGGCAGAGGCATAGCAGCGGGCAACTCTCCACCGTTGCCATGCATCGAAAGGTTGAGCAATGCCGGCGTTGGCGTAGCCATGGTACCCGACTGGAAGAGGTGATGGGGTGTTGCATGACCTAAGGAAGACGGCTCCATAGTGGCCGAGGTGGGCGGCGTGGGCAAGCGCATCAGGTTCAGAGCCTGTTCCTTATCCCGCGCCGCCTCGAGCGGCACTAGAGGTGGTAATGCCAAAGGCATGGAGTACTCCTCCTTCATTCCTGGTGGCGGCAGGGAAAGGAGTGATGGGATTCCAGGCTGTCCAGTGGCCAAGCTAAGAAAACGAGAGCTACTCGCACTTAGACTGCTGCTGGAACTCAAGCTGCTGGCTGCATTCCCACTTTGCGTTACTCCCGAACCGGCGGCCAGACTCAGGTTGATGGTGGAGTTAGTTGTGGTGGTGCTGGTCTGTTGATTGCTGTGCTGGCACATCGTCGAGCTGCCAGTCGCAGTAGCCGCGGCGGCCAAGTATAACTGCAGGGTGGAGGCATACGGTGTTGTAGTGTTCAGCGCCTGGTGACCGCCCATCGAAGGGAAGATGAAGTTGGGCAAACTGGACAAATTCGGCGTCGGCTGCAGTGAGGCAGCTGCAGCGGCGGCGGCAGCAGCAGCAGCAGCAGAGTGTCCACCAGGTGCCGGCGCCTGGGGGATGTAGGCCGAGGGCCAGACGAAGGCCGCCGCAGCCGCTGCCTGCTGGAACGGATCTGTGGGCGTTAAGAGGGGAAAATTTGATATGCCTGCTGTGCATGGACGCGGTAGCGATTCAGTTTGGAGTTTGTCGGGGGAGGAGAGGCAGAGGGAGAGAAGCGCAGTTTAAAAGCATGAATTAGTTTTATTTTGGCGAATCGAGTTTCGAAATCAAATTAACCTAGGACACCTAGGAGGGTGCTGGCATGCGGAGTGCGTATGTGAAGGAGGTCGTCGCCGATCCTCGGACTGACTTACCGAGCGCTGTTGGGCCGGCCGGCAGCAGCACCACCTGTCCGCGACTGGCCTCCCGCGAGTACTGAAGGCCCACCGTGGCGGGCGACATGGAAATCACTGATTCAATGGGTAATGCATCTACAAAAACGCAACGGAAAAAGAGAGAACCAAAATAGAGAGGAGGAGACAGAGTGTGACAGAGAGCTCTGATTCTTTTTATGGGATCTTTTTATGGCATGCTCTGGATGGTGGTCAACTCACTTGGATACTGCCAGAAGGTGGAGGGTGCTCGGTTCACACCTGCTGCACTTAGAGCCAGTTCCTCTGCGGTGGCTGTGCCGGTGGTCATCAGGTCTCCGTTGCCCGTAAAGTACAAATTGCCGCAACTTGTGGCACCTGAAATACCACAATAAAAAATAAACTTTTAATTTTTGGCGCTTTTTTTTCTTCTTACAAATTGAATTTCTGTAAAGGATTCGCCCTGCCAACCTCTTCGTTTGACGTTCGTTTGTTTAATAAACTTTCGGGCCTGCCGTGTAACTTTAGTTGTAAGCGAAGATGTGTATGTATACGTGAAATATTGCAGTGTCCTTGAACTATGCATTTGGTGACCGCGCGCGCCCTTCCATCCGCCCAGCACCACCCACCATCCACCCACACATCACACAATCGTGTGTTGGACTGACTACGAATATATCCCACCCCCAGATCTGCGGCTGGATAATTTTACAAAAATTCGATTAAAATGAACGTGATGTTCTGTAATTGCATTACATTAAAAGATCTGAATTTGGGAAACCCACCACCACCCACAAATGCGAATTGAATGAATGACAAGTATTCGACTGAGTTGGTCCACCCATCTCCAAAACGCAATTAGAGCTACATCTTGTGACAAGTGATTTGTTTCGGGCAGAGGAACTACCCAGCAAACGTTTATAAATAGCCTGTGACTTTGCGCAGCCATAAGGGTGGGAGGGTGTAAAGAAAAATATAATAACTAAAGCCATCACAAAAGGCGACTCTGCCATATGGTAGTGTACCCAATCCATTTTGGCGTGTCATGTTGCTAGGTCCTGTCCCATTCACGGTTGTCGAGTACAACTTCTTCCTGGGGTTTCTGCGTTTCCAGTTTCCTCTAGTTTTCCATCCCATCCCCTAGAAACCAGTCGAGCATCCATCCATCCATCCAGCTAGAGAGCTCGAGCATCCCTTGTGGCTGCTCTTGCCTTCCTTGTTCCTGGTTACCCCACCGACAGATCCCAGATCCCTATCCTCTTTTAAGCACCGTTCCCCTCGAGCAACAGCCACTGCTAACTTGTATTGAAAAAACACCCACCCGCGCACCAACCATGAGTAATATGTCTTTAGATTCTTGCTCGGATTTACCTCCGCCTACCACCCCCACGCGAGTTTGGAGCTTGAGATTCGGTGGAGCGTGATAACGTAGCCGAAGTCCTCGATGCCCTGCTTACTGCTGAACCATGAGTAATGCACCCACTTTTACCAACTTTATAAGGGTTTATAAAGAAAGCTAAAGTACTAGTTCGTGACTGGTAGATATAGAAATATACTATATAAAATATAATTCCTCAATCGCAACAAAAGTGGGTTTTCTTTGGATTTTTATAACAGCTTTTAACTTGTAGTTTTATATAAAGATAAAAATAAAAAGTCCCCAACGCCACTAAGTTGTTTGTTCTTTGTGAGTTCGATTTATCAGCTTATCAAGTGCTTTTGCTTTTAAAAATAACTACATGGTAAATACATAGACTTTTTATATATTTTCTGTGTAAATTTGAGGTTCTTATATTTATAACTCAGTACTTTATCTTTCTATAAAGAAAGAACATAAAATTCTGTTAATAATAAAATATTTCCAATATCCGACATCTGTTTGTATTTTCTGCTATCTGAAGTGGAAACTAATCCAGTATTCCTTTCCAAGATCGTAAAATAATCAAGTCAATGGTCATATCTGCTTAAAGAACCATTAGCAAGCTTTAAAACTAATCCCAAAAATACAATCTGACGACCGAAAAACACACCCCCAAGACACGTAAACATATTTAATGTGCCATTCGAAAGAGCAATTTGAAGTCGGCCAAAGGGAAAGTCAAAGCCTCCCTTCTACACATTCGCAATGTGTTTCACTTTCATTTTATTTCCGCTTTAGAAGTTCGTATGATTTACCACCGGGTTTCCTTCTACTTGCAAGGGAGGGTGCAGGGAAACGGGTAGAGAATCTCTTTTGAGTCAATTCGGTGGCTGTCACAACAACGACAGCCGCACAACAGGCGGCCATCATATGATTTCTGCCCTCTAAAAATCGTACGGGGTGATTTTACGTCGGAGACGACACCCTCGGCTTTCACTCACTAAAGGAATTCCGCACAACGTTCAACGTTCAACGTTTGTTGGCAATCTTATTAGTGGCATAATTGAACGACGTCCACGTCCTAGTAATATAACCATCGTATAACATTGCCTCTTGGGAACGCGAACGCGTCGTTCATTAGGACCGCTCAAATCTGGTGCCTCAATTGAATTATATGTCCAGAAAGAGTACACAAAAAGAAAATAATCTTATACGATGACTCTTAATTTACATGCCACTCTAAACAAACGGTCCAAAATTTCAAGATGTTATAAGAAATATTAAAAAGATATTGAAGGAAAGTCGAAAAAAGTATAGATAATTTTAGCTGTTTATAAATACAAAATCTCTAGAACTTTCTAATGTCTTTCCGAATGGGGTGTTTACGAAAAAGATCAATATGCCAATAAGAATTCAATTAAAATTTAACTAATTTTCTCACTGTGTAGCTTGACACTCACCCAGGTCAGCGACGCGTATGCCAAAGCAGTTCATGTCCTTGTTAAGTGTTGGCTGCAGAGGCAACGTAGCGGGGGTGTTTAGAGCCGGCACCAGGGCTTCCTGCGGCCGTTTCCTGGCCACGGCGATGCCAATGGGGACAGAGTTGCCTGATAGAATAGTTGGTATTAACCGGTGAGGGGGGCTCTTGACCAATGGTTGTGGGTGTCACCTACCTGAGGACTTTTCAAGTTCCGAGACCTTCGGCGACGGCGCCTCTATTTTAACGAGGGTGGTTAGAGTGGAGGAGGACATGGTCTTGGAGGAGGCGGTCATCGAGGCGGAGGATAAGCCCTGATGATGCACCTGATGCTGTTGCTGCTGCTGCTGTTGCTGGCAATTGTTGGAGCTAATCTCGGACACCTGACAGGGTTCCCTCTTAATCTGTACAAAGGTGTACGACGAGTTCGTCTGCTGGTGGTGATGGTGTTGCAGGGGAGGAGCCGTTGCTGTCGCAGAGAAGCCTCCAAACTGGTCCAGATGTAGCTGGGCAGGATGAGCAGCAGAATGCGATACAGATGAAGTTGTAGGCACCAAAAAAGTAGCCGTTGCGGTGGTGGCGCTCAAAACATCGGCGGCACTGCTGCTGGCCCCAGGATTGAAGGTGGCCATTGGTTAGCTTCGGTGCACATATATTGCTCTCTATGGATCTTGTGGCTATATCTATTTAGCTATATATCTTTACGGCCACGACTAAAAACTAAACGTCCATTATCCGCACACTCACACACGCACACACGGACGCACACACTCACACACGCACTAGCACTGGCCCACACACACACGCACACAGTCTACATTTTTACAGGTTTTCGCTGCCTCTTTCGGATGCAACATTGGCTACTGGGCCTGCGGCAATTCCCCGTAAACAAATGACATAATCCAAAGCGACGCGACGCCACTGGGCAGTCTCTATATGTGGACAAATCCGTAGCACCCACTAGAACAAGTGTGGTTGCCCAAAATAAAAACCCTGTGCGATCCGAGATCTTTTTTTTTGTAGTGGGGAGGCGGAGGCGCGACTTTCCTGCTGCGTTGTTTCGTTTTTCCGCGGTTTTTCCAACTATATATCACACACTGGCTATAAAGCTGTTGGCCAACGCGCGATCTGTTGCCTTATTTTTGTTTTTCTTTTGCGAATTGGAATCAAAATCCTCTGGAGAAAAGTCCACGGGACGGACAAAAAAGAAGCAGCGAATTATGTTAAGTTAACAGCGGCTTAACAGCGACTAATCGATTTTCATTTGTGGATTGTCGATGAATCACCCTCAGGCGTTAGGAAATTCTCAAACGACCGGTTTTACAATCGGCATTTGTATTGACGATAAATTAAAAGGGCGCGAATTTTGAAATCACTGTTTACCTCACGTAAAATTGTATTTATCTTTTTAATAATAAAGACATTTGGAAAAATATTAGATTAAATTGAAATAAAAAACATCTCTTAGATGAAGCATCAAGCTTTATTTACCATCATATAATAACAAATAACGGTCAGTTAGAAATGCACATGGAACGTGGAATATAAAAGTTAAAGCAATCACTAATCCAGCATTTTGCGGATCATATAGTTTAAAATGCCACCGTTCTTGTAGTACGTAATGTCCACCTCGGTATCGAAGCGCAAAGTAGTCTCAAAGACATTACCATTGGCCTCAACTGGAATCTTCTGACCTGGACTCAGCTCACCCTCTGGAAGGACAATGTTAAAGACCTCCCGGCCACTTAGGTTGAGGATTTCGGCGTTTTGACCCGGCAGGAATTGTAGCGGAATGATGCCCATGCCTACAAGATTAGAACGATGAATGCGCTCATACGACTCCGCGATCACCGCCTTAATTCCCAGCAGGAATGGACCCTTGGCGGCCCAATCGCGTGAGCTTCCACTGCCGTAGTCCTTGCCCACCACCAGAACAAGGGGCGTTCCCTCCTCCGCATAACGCTCCGCTGCATCGAAAATATCCATCTCTTCGCCACTGGGCAGGTGAACGGTATTGGGTCCGGTTTTTGAGGCCAGTTTATTGACCAGGCGGATGTTAGCAAAGGTTCCGCGCGCCATCACTGCATCATTGCCACGCCTAGAGCCATACGAATTGAAGTCCCGAGGTGTCAGACCGCGTTCCGACAAATAACGCGCCGCAGGAGACTTCCGGGCAATAGAACCGGCTGGCGAGATGTGATCGGTGGTCACTGAATCTCCAAGCAGCAGGAGACAGCGAGCCTTCTCGATGCTTTTTAGTTTGGGCAGCTCACGGGTCATGCCCTCAAAGAAGGGCGGTCGTTTAATATAGGTGGACACCCCACTCCAGGGATACAACTTGCCATCAGACACCTCCAACGTCTGCCATTCTTTGGATCCCAGCTGAATTTTGCCTGTAAAATGATGCGTTACTGTGTAGTTTTAACATTTCTCGAGGCAGTAATACTCACTGTAGACTTCCTGGAACATTGCGGGAATGACGTGTTTGTGCTCCACCTCCTGAATCTCGCTGCGCGTAGGCCAGATATCGCGCAGGAATACCTTCTTGCCATTGGCATCTACGCCCAAAGGCTCCGTTTCGAAATCTATATCCACGCGCCCGGCAATAGCGTAGGCAATTACCAGCAGTGGACTGGCCAAATAGTTGGCTCTAGTATTGGGATGAATTCGACCCTCAAAGTTACGATTTCCCGACAGGACTCCACAACACACGAGCCCATTTTTCTCGATGGTGTTGACCACGTTCTCATCAAGCGGGCCCGAGTTGCCTATGCAGGTCATGCATCCATAACCCACAATGTTGAATCCCAGCTGTTCCAGAAAGGGAATCACTCCAGACTCTCTGAGATAGTAGGTAACCACACCAGATCCAGGGGACAATGAGGTCTTGATATAAGGTGGAATACTTAAGCCCTTCTGCACGGCATTCTTTGCCAAAAGGCCGGCTCCCAACATCACCGAGGGATTGGAAGTGTTTGTACAGGAAGTAATGGCCGCAATCACAACAGATCCATGGCCTATCGTGTAGCTCTTGCCATCGTCCCACTGAAACTCACCACTTGCAGATAAGGCACTTGGCGGTACGGCGAATCCCTTGAATCCCACGGGACTGATAAGGCACGACTTGAAATCCTCGCACATGCTGGAAACCGACACGCGATCATGCGGACGCTTGGGGCCCGAAACCGAGGTAACCACAGTGGATAAATCCAGGGTGATAGACTACGCGAGAAACTTTTAACAAGTGGTACAATATAAGCATGAGTGTTACCCACCTCTGTGTAATGGGGGTCCTGATCCGCAACGGCATAGTCACGCAGTTGTCGAGTAGCCTTTAGATACTGTCGGATGATATCAATCTTCTTTTCAGAGCGATCTGTTAAAAAAAATCCATGAAAGATTCAAGAATAACCAAGTGTAATAAAGAATACACTCACTGGTCTGCCGCATGTAGCTAAGCGTGTTCTCATCAATTGGAAAGTAACCAACAGTAGCTCCATATTCGGGGCACATGTTACTGATAGTGGCACGATCAGCAATACTTAGCTCCGCCACTCCGGGACCGTAGAACTCCACGAACTTGCCCACGACGCCCAGCTGACGTAAATGCTTGGTGATAGTCAGTACGAGATCAGTGGAGGTAGCCAGAGGACCCAGTTTTCCCTCCAGCTTATAGCCAATCACCTCGGGTAGCAACATGGATATAGACTGGCCTAACATCACAGCCTCTGCCTCGATGCCACCAACGCCCCAGCCCAACACACCTAAACCATTGATCATGGTGGTGTGGGAGTCGGTACCTACGACGCTATCAGGATACAGGATCTTCGAACCATCCGTGGAATCGTCGGTCTCAAAGACCACTCGGGCTAGGTACTCCAGATTAACTTGGTGAACAATGCCAGAACCGGGTGGCACAATCAGCATATTGTCAAAGGCACGGGCTCCCCATTTCAGGAAGGTGAATCGCTCCCTGTTGCGCTGGAACTCCAAGGATTCGTTCTTGGTCAATGCGTCCGAGGAGCGAATAAAATCAACCTGAACGGAATGATCGATAACCAGATCTGCGGGGCAGATGGGATTAATTTTCTCGGGATCGCCGCCCAGTTCGCGTACTGCATCCCGCATAGCAGCAAAGTCCACGACAGCGGGAACACCAGTAAAGTCCTGAAATTTTAAAATCCCGTTTAGAAAACATATATGTAAGGCTTGAGAATCACCCACCTGCAATATAACACGTGCTGGCTTGAAGGAAACCTCCACATCGCTGGTTTCCTGCTTTAGCAGGGGTGTCCATCCCAGAATGCTCTGCACGTCCTTCTCCAATACATGGAAATTGTCGCAGTTACGCACCGTGGATTCCAGCAGAACGCGAATGGAAAAGGGCAGTGAATCTACGAAGGAAAAAAATCTTAAAGATAACTATAACAATAATAAAGACTAGCATGACTATTCACCATATTTATCATCAATAGAGGGTAGATCAAAATACTTGTAGATGCTGCCGTCCTGGGAGAACGATTTCTGGAACTTGGCAAAGGGATTGACACCTGCAAGAGAGACGACATTAGCTTTTAGATCAGGTACTTTAATTTAAATCCCACCGGAGCCGGACATGGTGGAGCAATTGGACAGAAAACCAGGCAAAATGTGATAGAGTTGAACACGTGATAAACTTTTACAAAACAAACGATATTCAAGTTGTCAAAAAGCACGCTTACAGAATTTTAAATTTCGAGAGTTTTCAATACATATATCAAAGTATTCACTATTTATAATGTCAACCAAGTTCAATTGTGATTTATTTTGATTGTTTAATTTATATATTACGAAATTGTTAATTCAAACAACTGAGAACTTAATTACGATAAGCAACACGAGACGTGATCATCACTAATTTGAAAATTATTTTTTTATCGATAACTGGCCATCACAACAAACAGCTACACAGTAAATAATATTGTATGCAAAAACTATATTCGTAAAATATATAATTTAACATTAGATAAAAGTCTAAATAATACTTTTTTTTCAGAATCCATACTTTATCAAGAATACTATAATTCATATAAACTCAGCCGTATATAATTTATGTATTTCTGTAGTTTATTGTAATAGTTACATATTAGGCTTATTGTAATGTCACGTAATATAATCGGTATCTGTTATCTATATAAATAATATGTATAGGGTTATCATCTACAGCTGCGTTAGGAGCAAAGCCGGGTTATTGGCGCAAGCAATTGGGCAGCGGGGATAACAAATGGACTCCTACAGGTAGATGCGCCGCAGGTCCTTTGGCGTGGTAATCGAATTGCACTGCGGGCACAGCTTTCTAGCTCCAAGAGTTTGCAGCCAGCACTGCTCGCAGTGGACGTGCCAGCAGGATACGGAGATGGCGGGATTCTTGTAGTCATCGATGCAGATCAGGCATTTGTACCTGCCCTGCGCCTGCTTCTCATATAGCCGCAATTTGGCCTTCAGCGATTCGATAACCTGCTGCTGGTTCTGAGAAGCGGATCGCGTTGACCGCGACGTAGATGGCTCCTCCCTGGTTGGTGGCGCCTCCATATGGTTGCTGGTAGTGGCAGTCTCTTGTTCGGTGGCTTCGTTGGAATGATTGGCCTTGGGCCCATCGCTCGACGAGATTAGACGGCGAACATAACTGGTAACATCGGCCTCGGAAACATTACCCTCTGGGTCTTCTTTTACCAACGGAATCACATCACCCTCTCCATATTGCGTTGGCCCGTAGATGTGCGTGTCATCCTCGTCCACATTGAGATCCTCGTCTTCATCATCCTGCGACTGGTGGCTGCCATTATATTTAATCGTCTGACCTAGACCCAATGCGGAATAGCCTCCCTTCACGAGTGTAGATACACGGATGCGCTTTTGGCCTGCCCACTCATACTCCTCGTATTCCTCGCTGTCCTCTGAGTCATCGCTGGAATGCCGCTCACCATTGGCCTGTCCATTTCGACGGCTCTGGCGCAGGCACTGATTGACATGCTCCTGAATGTTGGATTGCGGAAAGTTAGTATTGCACACGGGGCAGGTGGGTTGACTGGATTCTGGAGCTGAGGGCGGAGGTGCTACTACAGGAGGCGGAGGTGCTGCCGCTGCCGTAGGTGGTGCACCCGGGGATGCCGGACGCTTTCTAGTGCGCTGACGCTGTCGAGCCTGTCGGTTGCGCTGCACTCGCTGGAATACGCTCCACGGCTGTCTGCCTCCCGATCCCGTTCCGGTTTCTGGTGCCGCGGACGTTGCCGTTGACCCTGCAGACTGAGCCGGCGAATTGGCAACGGTGTTGTGTAAGCGCTCCATCTCTACTTGACAGTGATCGGCCACCTGACTGCGCTTGATCTTAACGTCGCATGTGGGACAGATCACGTCGTCGTCGCCGTTGCCGGTTAAGTGCTGGGTGAAGTTCTCACCGTTAGACACCATATCCGTAGCCATGGATTCCTCGGGTAGCTCACCGCGAAATCTATAGGATAAACACTGGATCTACGGCTTGTAATGAATGTTGTTTTGTTCGATAATCTATCCAAGCCACGCGACGCCGATTTCATACATTCTCGTTTTGCATCCAATGGTCACACTGTTTTTATGGATTTAATGTCCCGGGATGAGCAGTGATTGTTAAATCCGATATACATCGGATCATATAATGTTATTAATGTCGTACGTGTTTCTAAAACAAGTCAAGTACTTTAATATGTAACTTATTTTTCTATATAAAAAATAATATTAAATTGTTTGGCAAAAATAATAGTATTTTATATAAATATATCAACAAAAGTGAATATCGTATTTCGTACCATTTTAGGTAATCGATAGATGCACGACTTTTTTCGCTAGTGTCAAAAAAACATCGATTTTTGTTCCAGCTCTATGAGGGAAGCAAAACATTATTATTTTCGTCGTTTTTATTTTTTGATTATATAGAAAAGTCAGTGGTCGAGGAACATGTAAAAGTGAAAAGCGACATAGCTTTTTTAAGCAGTTTGACAGTGAACAGGTAAAAACGAAGAGCAACGAATAATTTGGCGAAAGTGCCTAGCAGACGGCGAGAGTGTGAAAAGGCAGCGAAAAGAGAATAGAGAAAAAATATAGCAGTCAGATTCGTGGGCGTGTGTGTGTTTGTGCGTGTGACATATTGTTATAAAGAAATTTCAAAAACAAACGTAGTAGAAAAGCAGAAAAACAACAATGCATCAGCAACAACATCAGCATCAGCACCAAAGCAACCTTGCTGGTTACAACAACAAAATGAACGTCTTGCCCAATTACACGCTCAGCGGAATGAGCTCCTTTGATGCCGAATCGCTACCAGATTATTCAGAATTTGATTCCGAATCGGTAACTCTGGACTATTACAAGGAAAGGTATATTTCTGAACTTAAACAATTCGCATTTTGTTTTGCTTCCGTTTTCCCTCAAAAAACACACACACACACTTACATATATTTACATATGTATATGTGGAAATACCCTCGCCCTTGTCATTGTTGTTGTTTTGCATTTGGCCGTTTGCCCCAATTTTGCCTGCCGTTACCGTTACGTTCTATATAGCAATTAACCGTTATGATCCTGTTGCCATGCCACTCACCCACACACACACAGAAACACACATACCAGCACACAAAGTCCATATTCGCTCATCTGCGAAATTGTTTCTCGTATTTTGTTTTTATTCAACATTTCTAGCCGCTATAAATAAATCTATATTATCTCTGTCTGGTCCATCGAAATATATCTCGCTATTCGTTAGACGCTTCAGCTATGTAGTTCATAGTATGTTTATACATACATACGTATCTTTGTTAGCGTATCTGCATCTTGAAGATATTAAAAATTGGGAGGGAAACGTGCGAATTTGTCAAGTCGAGTTTTATATACCCTAGTGACTTTTTAAAAGAATGGGAAATATATAATTTAAATTTAGGTACAAAAACTGCGTTATTGAAAACGATAAACCTTTAAAGTCGATAGTATTCAGGATGGGCAAACTGATCAATATGCTGATCAAAATATATGTGAAGTCAGTTAGGGTATAACAATGCGAATGGATAATTAGCATATCGGTATTTCCAGCAATAAAATTGCTTAGTTGCAGTTGCCTCGCAGCATAATTTATGTGGGGGCTGCACCTCATCAGCCCCAGCTTCCGTCTTTTGTCATTTGGGGTTACCCCCTCACAGACTCAAATATTCCGCCGCGCTTCTGTCTGTCACAATAGAGCGATTTTAATTTAAACAATCCGAAACTCATTCAACTGTGGCAACGCATTGTTTTCTAAATTGCAACAGTTAATCCATGACATACAATGGTGCCTACAGTTGTGGTCAAGATAATATAGCTTATTCTGGGGTATTAGACTTAAAAGAAGCTTTTTAGTGTATGTTTCACAACGATAAACTTGAACCATTTTAAATAAATAAATAAATTTAATGTAATAAATTTTAATATTAATCTTAATATTAGCTTCTTTTGTTCATTAAAACCTTTTAGTTTGTCCTCTGTTCGTTTAATTGCCATTTGCTGCAGGTTGATTTGGAATATCTCGTAAGCCCTTAATAGTGTCCCATAGTCTTTTCGTGGTGTTGTTGCTCGAGTTGTTTTTGCATGTTGCTGGTGCTTACTTAACTGCCTTGATGTAAACAAACACACATGTCGTACGAACAATGTGCGCAATTGTCGCTCTAATCGAATGTCAAAAACTTTTCTTTTTCCTGCCCCGCTAACAAACAAATCCACCCTTTCGTAATACAGATGTTGAACGGGCTGCTTCCGCCAGCAATTTGAAATTCGAAACGCATTGGAAAAACCTCAGCGCGCAAACCAAAAGCAATAAAACGCCAATTGAAGCATTTATATTAGATTGTTAAAGCCAACCGGCGTAGCATTTATTCGCCTGCCCCGAAAATAAAAACAAAATAAAAACCCTTCCAACATCCCATTAAGCAAAACTAACCAAGAAACGCATTGAAACGCATTCCAATTAGTAGCTGCGGGCAGCACTTTGCCTGCATATATAGTCGTTAAGGTGAGTTTAACTGGCTTTCGAAGCTAGTAAATATATTCCTCCCCCGGAATTAATATTAATTATCACGTATGTAGTGTTCTACGTCCACCAGCGGAGAAAATGGCGCCAACAACAACGATTGAGACCATCACAATCACGAGGCCGCTTAAGGTATGCACTTGGCTTCAAGTTTAAGATTGGTTAATCAATATCTCTGTGCCACAGGTGATTGCATTTATATGCGGAGTCATCGTGGTTGCCTTGATGATCATGGCCCTGGCATCTACAGATTGGCTGATGGCCTCTGACTGGCGGCAAGGTCTTTTTGTCCACTGCATCGAGGATGATTCGGTAGCGCCGCTACCATTTAATATCCAAGATCCGCCAGGATGCTATTGGACCCGAGATGTGGGTATGTATAAAAGGGATTTAGGTTAGATTGAACTACATTCATTCTAATTGAACAAAATTTGTTATTTTAAACAAGGTTACATTAAGGCCACAGCTGCTCTCTGCATTATTACCCTGATAACGGACGTCATTGCCACAGTACTCACAGGTCTTGGCCTCCGGACGCAAAATCATAATCTAAAATATAAGTTCTATCGTATAGCGGTATTGGTGATGCTTGTATCCTGTAAGTAACGAACCAAATGTATGAGAGAATCAAATACTAAACTTATTTTACAGTGCTGGCCGTGCTGTCCGCTTTGATCGTCTATCCCGTGTGCTTTGCCGGCGAGCTTACGTATGGTATGGGTATGATTAGTAAACTTTGTGAGAAGAACTTTAAGAAATACTTGTTTTTAAATATTTTAGCTAATCGGCGAGTCTGGGAATTCGGCTGGGCCTATGGCGTTGGCTGGGGAGCGGCCATCTTCCTGTTCGGGGCCGTTGTCCTGCTACTCTGTGACAAGGAGTCGGAGGAGATCTACTATAAGGAGAGGAAAATCGTACATGAAAACCAAATGCGCGCCTAGGCAAGGCCGCACGACCTGCCTGACGTCGTTCTGTAGACTAAGTATATAGCAACCAACCAACAACAAGAACAACACACACAGACACATAGATTTCGATTTAAATCAGACTCAAGAACAGAAGCAATTTGCAGCTAAAACGAATATGTTATAATTATGATTGTGTATATCATGACCATTTCAAACCAAAAAATCCGTAGCCATCAACTACCCCACCCACCCACTACAACCATCTCATAGTACTCGGCATTTGTTTAGATGAGGTTTCCCCAATGAGTTTATTTTGTGTTCGTTTCGAAAGGTAATCGTAGACAAGCCACAAACACACGACCCACATCTATCATGTAGTCAGTCAGACAAGTCAGTCACATGTATGTACGTCTAGGAATTCTGAAAAAGCTAATCGCATTAAACAAATCCCCTCACTCGTATATACAAATTGCATGCCCAATGAGTTCCACAAACATTGTAACCAACTTTTAGAGCTTGCTTTTCCGTAGAAATCAGTAAGGAGAGCAAGTGCCAGTTGAAATTAGGCCTCTTTACAATATTGTACTCATACTCAGCTACATATAGATAGCAATGTACTCCACATGTATCTCAAAACCTAATCGTGAGCAGAATCTAAATTAGAATTTTTATATGTACGTAATCGAGAGAAGACTAGGTAACCACGACATATTTAGCACAATGTCCCATCGTCATTGTCAACGTTTCATGCCGATTACGCTTTTATAATATTTTCTTTTAGTGCTCTATGAATCCGTTTCGAATATTTTAAATTACATATGTGTTTGTCCCAGTTGTATTGTGCGACTAACACTCATTGTACTCGAATATGAGTTGCTCTTTTACCTTTTGTAAAATAGTTTAACCAAACTGTCCAGAATGTCCCCGAGCCGTTCAGTTATCGTTTAAGCCGATTTTTAAGTGTATTAATTCGTTTTTTGTAAAAGTATCTTTTGTGTAACCACCTATTTTTTAATTATTTATTGATATATTTGTGTTCTTACCACACTCGAAAACATATCACATGCAAATGACAAACAATAAAATGTTTATGACACCTTTTGTTAACACTTTAAGATATTATTTTATTTGTATTTTTTAAGGTAAACTTCCTGGTTAGGTTAGGATAAGATCTAATTTTTTTAATTGAAAAACAAGCATAAGGTATGAGTATTGGCGATAACGCAAGAACTATATTTATGCCATCCTTTTCAATAATTGAATTGTTATCCCATTAATTAAAACATTCATAATTCGTCCATAAAATCTCGCAAATCATCTAATTGTCGCCTATTTTTGGATTTGGTTTCGTTTGTTTTTGTTATTTAACGAGAACATTTTGATTACACGCCGAAATTAAGTAAAGCAAATGCAACCAAAATTAAATGCGACCTAAATTACAACAATACAAAGGGAAATATATATGCTTGAACATCCATATATACATATATATGAAGACATTGAACAAATCGTAGGCAGGAACGTGCGGTGAAAAAAAAGACGAAACGAAAACAATTATAGCGAGTATAAAAACAACAATTATACCAAAACCAATTGAATTAAATAAACTATGCTTACATACACGCATGTTTATATATATATAAATATATATATAGATATATATATAAGTTTAAAGTATGTAACATTTATTAAAAATGAAAAACCAAAACAAACCTATAATTAACGAAACAATTATACTCCAAAACAAAAAAAACGAAACTCTACGAAACGTTACAGTTTTCCATTGTGTAACTAACCAACTCATGAGCGAGGATCATTTTGTTTTTAACAAGCAAGCAAAATATATATACAAACACACATATAAATATATTTATTAAAGCGTTTTAACATTTAATTTTTTTAAATTTACATTCAATAGATAAAAGAAAAAAACAAAATTAAAGAGATTAAGTAAAATTATCAAACGTATTGCTAGTGATCCATATACTGTAAAACATACGTATGCCTAGATCGATCATATTTTATAAATTCCCTTTATGCATAGACACACCTATACCCGCAGCTAACGAAACTAACAAAAACTATTTGTATTTCCGCAAACTATACTACAGTTCACTGGATGTAACTTTGAATTGAATGAATATTTGGCTCCCCAATCCCAGCTAGAACCCATCCCAAGACCAACCTATCCGCATAGTCCATACAGTAATCCATACAATGTAAATATTTCAGGAGAGTTTTCAAGAAAATAAAATAGTGTTTAACGTTCACATAGATAAATGTTTATTATTGACAAATATGGTAAATTGATTATAAAGTTGGCCACTGAAAGTCAATTGGATCAATGGGACCTGCTTCACTCACAAATTTCCTCATGATATAAGTAACCAGTTCCATGGAATGCCTCTTTTGAGGGTCCACGTTCCAACAAGCGCTTAATATACTAATTATATCACCAGGGCAACCGGGCATAATATCTTCAAAAGAGGGCCTATCACCTTAAAAAAAAAGATAGATTAAGTATATTTAAAAGGGATTAATTAATCTCTTACTACTTGCCTCCGTTAATAGCCAGTTTCAATGCATAAGTGCCTCTATGTTCTTCTAAAGGCGTCTTGCGCGATAATATTTCCCAAAAGGTAATGGCCCAACTGTGAACATCACACTTTTCATTATAGTGACGACCTCTTAAAACCTTTTGAAAGAATGTAATAAGCTATTGTCAGCTAAAAAAACTTAATGTTCACAAACCTCGGGTGCTTTGTATCTACAGGTTCCCACATCAACCGTCATCGATTTGGATAGGTCCACGACTGTTCCGAAATCGCAGATCTTGAGTCGGAGACCCTTTAGATATATTAATGAATTGAGTGGCTTGATATCGCGATGAATGACTGCATTGGGTTTCCTAGCATGTAGATAAGCTAACCCCTGCAAAGCACAAACATTCGCATTATTTCGCACCAGAAATTTGCTTATCAGACATACGTAATACCTGAGCAATCTGGAAGGCCCAGTTGAACGCATGAGCTAAGGTATAACTTGGTTTGCTATCCGCTGTCAGAAAGCTGTCCAGATTTCCACCATCTACATACTCCATCAGCAAATGAAAGGTATCCTCGTGCCTGGTTATACCATGGAGCTGAACTATATTTTCATGGCTGACCCTTGAGAGCTGTCTAACTTCCCTCTCAATTTGGTTGTGTTGACAACCTGGACGTATTTTCTTCACAGCGATCTGAAGATTTCCCCAGTCGGCTTTAAATACACTGCCAAAAAATCCTTGACCAATGAGCTAAAATGAAGGGTTTTTCTTAACAAAAATCTTTTTATATGCCTTTTGTACTACATCTCCAATTTTGAGTTCTTCGTAGGGAATTTCCTCCACTGCCGCACTCATTCTTAACAAATTCCAACTTATCACTAAACTCTGGCAATTCTATGTGCGACAAGGGGACTGCGCTTTAAACTTATCTTTAACTTTCTTCGGATGACGTTTATCGCTAAACATCGATTTAATATCTTATCTACTTTGATTATATTCCAGACAATCGGTCAGTTCAGTTTCACCCACCCATATTAGAAAAAATATATCACTGTGTAATTCGACCATATACAATCTATTCGGGATTTATACAAAAGATATACTTAAATCTAAATAATGATCATTAAAACTAATGAAACACAATTGCAGCGATGACTCTTTAGTCTTTTTTGGCTATTAAGCCCTGCTTTTTGAGCTGGCGCAAAGCGCATTTGGCCGCGGTACACTTGGCAATGCGATAGTTGCGCCCGATGCCACGGAAGGTTCCTTTGCAGAAGACATCCACGGTAACGCGCACCCGTCGCCCATCCGCCAGCTTCTCGGGCTTACCGAACTTGGCTGTCTCCGGTTCTAGCTCGAGGAGTTCCCGTATGGGCGACTTTGGCACTGAGTTGCTAAATTGCTCAATTTCCGGACTCATCATATTGCTATAGACATGCCACACCACATCTAGGGACATGTTGGAATCGAGAAAGATGGCACCTGCTATCGACTCAAAAACATCGCCCAAAGCCTTGGGCACCTCAACGTCCTCCGCATCATCGCACTCTTCCTCGGACAGCAAGTAGTACTAAAACAAGGCAGACCAATAAATAATGAAACTGTAAGGAAGAACTATAATTTACCTCCTCACTGATGCTGTGACCATTCTCCTGCTGGATTCTCACGAAGCGATCAATTACATCGTTAAGACCCGGCGAAAGATGACGGAAGAATTTGTGGAAGCCATGGCGTACTGCAAGGGAGGCGAAAATTGTATTGTTCACCAGCGCTGACCGCAAATCCGTTAAAGCGCCTGGCGAATGCTGGCGGGGATCTTCGTATAAATGCCGTGTTATAAGGTAATCCAACACTGCGTCACCCAGAAACTCCAATCGCTGGTAGCAATCCGTCAGTCGATTGGGAGTATAACTGGCATGTGTCATGGCTTGCAGAAGGTAGGACCTATCTCGGAATTGGTACCCCAGACTCTCCTCGAACTCCTCAAAACCACTTAGCAGTTGGTCCAGCTCCTTCGAGGCGTTGGGGGCAAAGTGTAGCAAAGGACTGCGTGGCGTCGGCCATGCGCCATAAACCGTAACCATTTTATCCGTGTTTGACCTCGTGCTTCCTGGTATTCGTTCCTCCTCGTTTGCAGCCTCCAGTTGCTTGGTGAATGGTAGCACTCTTACACCCAGCCAGGCCATAAAGAGTAGTGCTCCACGCGGACCGCACTCAATGAGATAGGCTCCAATCAGTGCTTCAACGCAATCGGCTATGGACTTATCCGGAATGCTGTGCTGCGAAACGAGATTGTAAGGAATGAAGCAGCTAAAATCATTGCAGCTGTCATTGGAGTCGTCTAGCTGGCCATTCTGGGCAGCTCCAGTCTGCTCCAAGCCCAATGCTTCGGCTTTTTCTCGAACCATCTCGCAGATTTGTACGCTGCTCAGGTTTTTGATATCCAACAGATCGGCCAGTTTCCAGTGATGCGTTGGGATCTTTGCTTCTATGAGCGCCTTTTCCAGTTCCTTGGGCACGTAGTAGCAGGGTGGTAGCCAGTTATCGTGCGGTTCAAACTTTGTGGCTATCATGTACTCGCCCAGCCTCTTGCGCCTTCCCAGGCGATAAAGATTAAGATTGGCCACCTGCTTGGAGCGCAGGTGACTAAGCTTGCCCTCGTGTACGTTTTCGTAAGTAATATACAAATAGGTGGTAATGGCGTATTTGAGAAAAGAATCACCAATGGTCTCCAGGCGCTCCAGATTAATGCCATCGTTGGCATTGGACATGGTTAGGGCCTGCAAAATTATGCTGGGACTGGGTCCTGGATGGCCCACTAGATTCGGTTGACGATCGAAGCTGAATCCCGCAGGAAGTATCGATGATGAAATGTCTTTCTTGGGAGTTTGTGGCTGAATTTCTTTTCTATCAAACCGAAGTTCCAGCTGTTTTGCTTCCAAGTTCAGTCGATGATGATCGTTGTAGTTGTCAAAACTATCTCCGCATCCCAAGACGCTATAGGTCTCCGGCTCATGCCGAGACACCCAATCTGCATTTAGATTCTCCAAGTCCGACAGCAGCAGTTCGCGTCTATCACCTAATTTTTCTACTATCAGCTCTTCTTCTACATATGGTAGCAGCTGCTTTAACAGCTCTATCATCGAATCCTTGGCAACCCGAGCTTCAGTGGAATCACTTCGTTTCAGAACCAACTGCTGGTCGTGGGCCACCAGCATACCGCAGCTTTCAATCTCTGTCTTAAGTTTAGCTATGGATTGTTCGTATTTGCCACTGGGAATTCTTTCCTGATCCTCTTCCTTCTCTTGTTCGAAGTTGAATCCAATCAACAGGTTCTTTGTCTCCTGGTATTGCCTCTCATTAGCATTCGTCGCCTGAATGATGGAAAGCTGTTTTTGGCGCTTCTCCACTTCTTGAGCTGTTTCGATGGTCTCCGCCTCGTTCTTGGAAGTAAAAGCAATGCGACCGGCATCAATGTCATCCGCCACATTGTCCTCATCCGAACTGTAGTTGTGATGCATATAATTTATCGGTCCTCCATTATCATCATCGTCATAGCTGGAGCCCAGCGAATTGTCCGAATCATAATAGTTGAATGTTGGCTCTGCTGGAACTTTTCCTTTGCTTTTTCTGCTCTGTTGAGGCTGACTGTGCTTCGGAGCCTTAAAGCTACCTTCCTCATTGCTCACATCCCAAAACGTTGGTGAGCCATAGCGTGTCTGTTGATCACCTGAAAGATATAGTTTGGATTATTCCTCATTCTGCTTGGGTTACAAAAGAAAACTTACAGAACTTAACGTTGGCAGGAAGAACTGGAAGGTGAAAGGCATCATCCTCTTCATCGTCATCTTGATTAAAACTGGCTATGTCGTCGGCCATGTCATTTGACCAAGTGCCTATCTCAATAAAATCATCTGCCTCTTGTAGCTTTTGTTCACCCTCAATAATAAGTTCGATGGCACTCTTCTCCACTTTATCGACTTTTGAATCCTCATCTTGCTCGGATTCTTTTTTTCCTGACTCATTTTTATCATCGATTAAGTCTTTACCATTGACTAAAGCCTCCTTAAGGGAATCCTTCTGTTTAGACTCCCGCGATTTCTTCAACACTTCCGATAAACTCCACCCAAAGTCCAGCATGGGCCATTCGAAATCCTCCTCCTCGATCTGCTGCCTTCCTAGCCCGAGATCCTCAGAAACCTGTTTCCGAATATCGTCAGCCAAGAGAAGTCCATTGATGCGGTATAAGATGCAGGGTAGACACACGGCAGTGCGCCACAATGAGGCCGGAAAAGGATGCACAGTGCACAGCTCCGGCACTAGAATCTGCTTCTGCTCCAGATTCTCGCGTTTTGCCCTTTTCGTCTCCTCAGAACTGGTGGGCAGTGCTACGCCTTTGCGATTCACATATCGTGGGGTAAGGAAGTTCAAGCGAGCACTTGTGTGATCCACGTCCAACAGTGGCTGCGAGGCATTCTGTATGGTTAGACCATACTTGACGAGGTAATAGTGCTTGAACGTGCGGTAGTTGTCGCCAGGAAAGCAGCTAAGTGGTGAAAGATGTGGACATATCTCAGCCACATAGAAATATTGCGGTTGATCCTGGTTGCGATACCATGGCATCACTACGGCATCCTGGAAACGTTGAGCATCAAACTCCTGTGCCTGCCGCTCCTCATCGGGCACTGCCTGAGGCATTGTATTTCCATTGGCCTGGATTAGCTCCAAGAATTTCCAGTCGATATGCTTTTCACCCTGTGTCGACTTCACTGTGGGCACAATGAAGACACAGTTCTCGGTGGAGTCGGGATCGAAGAGCATGAGGAACTTTTGTAGCCGTAGTACATTGGTGAATGTGTAGTTCAGAAAACCGTTTATGCACTCAATCTGCTCACTGGTTAGGATTACGCGATCCTTGGCTAACTCCAGAGAAACCTTCACTTCACCGGAACGTGTGAATATCGAGAAAGCACTTAATTTCGGAATGCGTTTGGTGGTGAGAATGCCAAAGCCCTGCTGGGAGTCTTCGGGTGGATAAATTTTGCGTCCGCGCGTATTTTGCTCTTCCGGAATTGGACACTGAAGCGTTAGCTGGATGAAATATAGATAGCATGGTGCACCTGCCACCGGACGGCAATCGCAGAACTCGGAAGCAATGCGTTTGTAATAGTACTGACGCCTTTTAGTCGTTCCGGGACGAGGTTCATCGCTAAGCTGGACAATCTGCTCGTCCTCTGGCTCTAAATCGAAACACTCCCAATCTGGTTCCAAGGCGCGGAATCCCTCTTTACCAATAGGCTGCAACTGGTCGTCCAGTTCACCTATCCTATGTAGCTCAACACATGCCTGCAAGGCTGCCAGTCGACGAGCCAAAGTCTGAGTGGACATCGGTAAACCCTACAAAAAAGATTATTAAAATGCTAATGTTCCTTTATGTTGACGATATTTTACAAACTTACCACAATGTCGTGCTTCAATGGCGAGTTAATAGGCAATCGGAGTGTGTACTGAAACAAGATCACCCCAGCTCTTTCGGTTCGAGTGCAGCGCCACAAGGCAGTCAGCTTTGTGAAGGTGTCACTGGGCAGACGAGCGCAGTACTTGTTGACCAGGGCTATGGCACTTCCGAGATCCACGGAGGCACCGGTGAGGAGATGCGGCTTGGGTCGATATGCCGCCAGGCAGGCACTGAAGCGCTCTGCCTCTCTCTGCTCCTGCTCTGGTGGCTCTGTGTTAGCACATTTGGACAGCAGCATCTGTTCGATCTCGCGATACTGTGCCATTTGATGCACCAAGTCTTTGGTGGTGTTGGCTAATCGATCAACGGTATCTATTTCGGGAGTGGGATTATCGGTAAACTCTATGTCGGCTGGTAGTGCCAGTTCACACCGAGCGCGCCTGGATTTTCGTTCCGTACTGCTCTCACTTGGAGAGGTGTTACTCATGCTGACGGCCTCGTCGCTGGAATTACTTGTGTCCAATAAAGCTGTAGACGGCGATTCGTCCTGGATCTCTTGCAGCTTGATGTCGCATGCCGTTGGCGGCTGTTTACTAAACACTTCGGGATTTAGAATTTTCACTGTTCCGCGGGTCGTACCAAAAGTATACGGATCCGAGCCGTAAGAGTTTGGCATTGCCGAGTCATCCGAGTCACTGTCTGCCTCTGTAGTATCTCCTGTTCCAGATGTCCCGCAAATGAAGCGATGACTTTGATCACTCAGTTCCACCGGTCCTACAGTTGGGCTATCGTAATTGGGTGCCACAAGGATTACATGATATGCAGGCGCTGCTCTGGCACGACCTTTACACTGAACATAACTGCGATAAGTGGTGGGCGGATCCCAACGCACTACTAGATTGCACTTTGGCACATCAATACCCTCTTCTAGTACAGAAGTACCGATTAGTACATTACAGTCGTGCATACGGAATCGTTTGAGCACTTCCTCCTGTCGTCGGTGCTCTAACTCAGCCTCCTTGGGCTCCGTGGTAGGATCAGCCACTCGGTCCGTGGTGTACTGACAGCGTAGGAACTTCAGATCGGGATCACGTTTACTTATTTCCGCCAGCAGGTCAAAAAGCACTCTCGCCGTATGGTTCTGATTGCAATAGATCAGCGCACAGAGCGTATCGCTGCCATCATGTTGATCCCGGTGGTGACGTCGCGTGTACACTCGTCTGCGGGTTCGGGGTTGGCCACTGGTAGAAGTGCTGGCAGTTTTAGCCTTCGTCTGGGCAGATATATGAGCTACACGAGAAGTGTTTTTGGACGGCTGTTTGTCATCTGACGTATGGAGAATCTGCTCGAGATTGGCCACTAGGGCTCGTGTCTCCATGGTCTGTTGCTCTATTTGGTCTACCACCCGGCACTTGCTTTCCAGCACTTGTGAAAGTCGGTTAAAGTCCGCTTGATCCACCTGTTGCCGCATCCTGCGTAATCCATCGGCCTGTGTGTGCACCTCTTCCGGCTTAAAGCACCGCAACGTCTGCAGCAGGCGTCGCACCTTGGGGCTAGAATAGCGTTCAATGGTCTGTCGTATATCTCCGCTAGATCCTTGATGCCGTTGGAACGCGTGATCGCAGAGTGCGTGCAGTTGTATGAGGGCTGTGCTCACAAGACAGTACAGCAGATAGTGCCGTTCGTGCGGAGTCTTAACTTTCAGCTTCTCGTTGGTGTGATAAAAGTGCTGTGCAGCCCGATGGGTGCACCATGGTCCCATCTCGTGCAACACGGCTAATAGTGAGTTTATGACGTTCAACGGATCCACCTTGGGATCTGGTATGTCTGTAATTGATAAATGACTAAGTTAATGAACGATATTTTACTTGGATTTCTTAAAATTACCCTTCAGTTCCTCCATAAATTGGTCTGTGCCGTAGATCTCATAAGGGTCATATCGGTGATCTGACAGAAATGACTTGTGAGTATTAAGGACGTCGGCCAGCACCAGGGACAGCTCGTCCAACTCAAAAGGGGCGCACTGTACGATATACTCATGCGGCCGGGAACAGTATCGGAGCACAGTGACGATATCACTTGCAGTCTCGATCCGGCAGAGCACATTTCTCTCCAGGGTGGCCAGCATGACACTCAATTGTTGCAGCTCACATCCGGCGCTGTGCAGTGGTCCAGCCAATCCGAGAATGCGTGGCCTGTCCACCGGGGCGGCCGGTAGAACGTACTCCTCAAAGATCGGGATTATTCTCTGATAAACTGCACTATCGTGACAATCCTCCAGCACAATCAGTTCTACGTTGCTCAGCAACAGTTCACGACCAAGGAGCAGGCTAAGAAATCCTTCTGGCCGTAAGATGGACACGTGATAGTCCGTCCAGCAGTGGTCAAAGGGAATTTGCATGTCCGGCTGCTCCTGCCACACCCTCAGGTCCGTCAAATGGGTAAGCATTGTATAGATAGAGCATGGTTCAGTACTGGCCCCCACCTCGCAACTTAGGTAGACACTGACCCGACCACGTTTTCGACCGCGTCGCGACAGTTCCTGGAGCAGCTTGAGGGCTATGAATTCCTTGGAGCTACGATGGCCCAGACAGATAATCGTGTTCCGCTCGTAGGCGGCGGCCAACAGCTCCACCTGGAAGTCGCGCGGCGTGAACACGGTTGTGTGCAGGTTGTTGTCGCACCAGTGGAACGCCATCGTCACCAGGGGAATCACAAAAATCGTGCCCGGAGAAGATTTCAGAGAAAAATCTTCCAAAGCCGGCTACTGCCAACATGCCAGTGTGACCATTGGTTAGGGTTCGGGAAGAGGGTTTTATACCACCCTCCACCCTTCACATTGCATTTCTTTGGCCACACTACTTTCTAAATTAAAAATACTTTGCGCCTTGTTATTGTTTTTCCTCGATATTAAGGTGCAAAAAGGTAATATTTTGTGAAATCGTTAAGGTATGTCACTTAATACCCATATAACTTTACCCTCAGATTTCCAATGCGACGTTCAAGGGCACCTTCAATCCGTCAAGCCCGTAAGCGAGAGAATGAAGATCGAGATCCTCTAAATGAATCTTGCTCCTGGCCTAGTAATAATGAAACAAGCGATTGGGGGTCCTCCAAGGGATCCGAAAGCCTGGGACCCCGAGAACTCAGGACTGGCGACAATCCCCTTAACGAAAGCCGCATCTTCCATGTGCTCTGGCGCAATCAGACTACCAAAAAACACAAGACTTGGACTGGCAACGGTACCCTGGTGGTCACTGGATCTGTAGTAACTCTAAAAGATGACACTGGCAAAGTTGTGGACACAATGACTTGCTTTAAACAGAGTGATCTGAAGGAGAATGATGAACTGGAAATTGGTAGTAAAGATGTGGAGGTCCAGGAGGAGATAAAAACACTAGAAGAGTGCGTTGCCCAGCGTAAGCTGGAGATTGCTAGTTGGTGCCAAAAAATTGATGCCCGAAACGGTAATATGGAAACATCTCAATCTCCTGCCACCAATACTCCCTTCAGATCCCATGTGTTGAAGAAGATTAGGCGTGATGATAACTGCTTGGAGATACCGAATCTATCGACTTCGAGATTCACCGATCTTAATAAAACGGATCCTATTCCTCATGAAGCCAGCGAATTTACAAGGAAGAGAATTAACGAAGAAAGCTCTTTGGAGAAAGATGAGACGGGGTTCACCAAAACAGAATATCTGTGCCTGCTAGCTCCAGCGGATCTTCAAAAAAAAGTATTGCATTCGCTCGCTGAACATATTAAAAGTTCCAATGTGGTAATTTGAACCATTTGCACACATTTATGAGTCTGTTAATACATTTTCAAATATGCCGATGCATTTCAGGAACCTTCTGTCGTTAAGGAAATGGTTCAATTGGTCTGTGATCATCCCGTGCTCCTTAAAACCCTAGCCGAGGAATCGAAATTTAAGGAACTAATCCAGGTGATACAGCCCCAATTGCCGCCGTGGTCAGAAATGGGACTCTACGACTCCGCTAAGTTCGAGTTTGTGCATGTAATGCTGGATCATTTGGTGGTAGATCGAAGCGAGAAATGCTGCATATTGGCGAATAGTGCTGATTGTTTAAGATTGGTTGTGGGCTACTGCCAAAGCTATAATTTGGATCATGCGCAGCTGGATAGTCTCCAAAAAGTTTCTCTTTTCAACTCTCTTGGTGAAGAGGAACCAATGGTTGGCTTAGTTCTGAGCAGTGACTTACCAGAGATTTACTCTCTTCGCTGCAAACACCTCATCATTTATAATCACAATGCTAGAGAGGAAGCAAATCAATTGTTGGCTGTTGGGGAAATAGACACTAAAATCTACACACCTGTCACATCTGGAGGTTGTCCGGAGCAATTACAGTTCTATAGACGACTTAGTCAAAATGCACATGATGATTCTGTAGACGATCTTCGGAATTACATAGATGGACTGATCCCAAGCACTATATATGTAGGTATCCGAATTTTGCATTTTATAAAACAAGTACTTATTATTATTGCTATTCCTTAGGAGTTGGCCACCTGGACCAAGATCGAGCCACCTTATAACAATGATTTCTTAGAGGTATGGATTCTATAAGTTTTCTCAATTATTGTTATAAATTTATATGTATATTTTACAGGAAGCCGCTATCTCGGATAGTCTGGAAAGCATTCAGCTAGTTTATTCAAGAAAAATGAGAATGAAAACTTAAAAAAATATTACAAAATAATTAATAGTCAACATTTTCTGTGGATTTCTTATCCTCTGTATGAGTAACGAATATAACCCATTTGATTTTACCTTTCATTGGCGAACTTTACTTCTCATGACAGTTAGTTCGTGTTAAATTTAAAATGTCCTGAAGTTTGTCAAAGCGAGCTGAAAAGTTATTTTCTTCCTTGCTGTAAATGATCTCGCTGCAGGTGATGGGGGTTCCCACTGAAAAATACTTCTCTAGACCATCGATCTGATTATCGGTTAACTCGACTGGCAAACCTTTAGTAAATACAAATCTTATAGCAATGATAAGTATCTTAGGATCACTATTTACCGATTAAAATCAGTTCTGCAGTTAATATAGGGAAGATGAACTGCGGCGGATACGGACGTATGTCAGTGACGTGGGTTGGCACAATGTTCCCGTAATCTATAAACAAAATGCTGGGATATCCATCGCCAACTAATTCCAAGGAAAGACCGCGACACCATTTTCCCTCGTATTTAGCTATACAAAGCTCATTTTTTCTGATAGGAAGGGATGATTAAGTTGAATTCGATTAAAATAAACTGTAGGTAACTTTACGGTGGAGCGTAGGTTTCTGACTTTGCAATCTTTTCGCCATACTTCTGTATGTCCAGCTGCATTTTGGTGACTTCATATGAGAGATCCCGGGGAGTACAGTAGATAAATCCGTACTTAAGGAATGAGTTGTCCATCACAACTATATCAATGTTCATGCCTGCGGGCAAAGGGACTTGGGGAAGACACTAAAACATAATATGTTAATAAGAAGTGATTTTATGATATTGTTCCATTTGTTGTTTAGCTTACGTCCTCCTTATAGCCCAGTTCGGATATAGATGGCTCCACAGGAGTCATTATGGCCTTTAAAAAATGGTTCAAGTTGCTATGTGAATCGTTCTCCGTCATGACCACGATTTGTAAACCCTTGCTGAAGTCATACTCTCGAGTCGAGTATTTGATAACAAAAACTAAAGTCTGGTCCATTTCATATATAATTTCCCTAATACTGGGACCAACAAAACGCCCTGGAACTCCGCGTAATTGGACAGCAACGGGATAGCAAGGCAGACTTGCTAGATAGGGGCTACAGTCGTACAGATTTTTCATTTCCGTGACTTCAACGCTGCCAAAGTCTATGCAGACCACATAAATGTCCTTGTCATCATTCACATTGAGCACCATGGCGCGAGAGATATTTGTCTCAAACTTATAGAGCACAATCTGTCCACAGACCGGCTTAGTCTGCAGCTTGTGCGCCGTTTTGCCCAGCATCATTACTTCAGTGAGAATGGCGTAATAGGCGATATCCACATGAATGTCTGCCGAGCGAACATAGACCACATTAGTCTGCTCGAAAGCAGTGATCTTCACTTTGGATCCAGAAGGAGGCAATCCGGTCTTAGGGAACTTTCGGCCAACTTTCGCGTCAAGTTTAAGAAGCTTTCCCGTGCCGCAAGAATCCTTGTGCTGGTCAGCCACATCTGCTAGACATGACGCATTGCAAAATGGCATCTTGCAAAGCTTACACGAAGTATCCGTCCAGTTTTGGCAAGCAACACATTTAGTTACTCCATCTTCCAATAGGTTTTCGGCTTTAACCTCCTCGGATGCGGAAGCAATTGACCTAAACGATTGATAGATTTGTCGTTAGCTGGAGCATAAAAAAATTTTAGATAAACGAACACTGGAATGGTTCTTCCGGACCGAAAGTGTAGAATGACCTGTGATATCCTTGTTTCGTTCTTCAAATTATAGACATTGTGGCGCTCGAGGGCAAACTCGTACTTAGCACTGAGGTAACGCCGAATTGTATCCTTTTCGGCTAACAGTGATCCTTTATGGTAATCATCTTTTGTGACCAACGGAGTACGAAAGAACTCCGGATGTTTTTGTCTGCCGGCCGAGATGGGAAACTCACGAGAGTCAAGATTGACAGGGGAACGTTCAGTTGGTGAGAAGGCTGGAGCCAGATCTTTCATTGGTTTGGTGCATTTCAGAGGTTCATCTCGCTCCATATGGTGCCGACCAGTTATACATCTGATAAGATTTGGGTAACGTTCCACGCGAAGACGAGCTGCCTCTAAGGATCTTCAACATTTTATTGTAAAAAGTGCTGATTTTGCATAAACAAGTTTAGACCTACCCAATATTAAGAAAATAAACAAAGTAAAGGTTTGAAGATCTGCGGAATTCCAAATTCTGAATGACAGCGCGTCCAAAGAAGTTCATCAGCATTCTTTCCGTCACATAGGGGCTGCTCTTCGGAACCATAAAAAATGGAAATTTCGTCTGCTTGGGGTCACGCACCACCTTTTCATCTTTTAACGGAGCAGGTGCCTCATCGATCAGATTCTGCCCCGACTCGTTAGTATACATGTTCTGCATTTCTTCGTAAAAATCTTTGCCCATCGGATCAAAACCGGACCAGTCCTCCTCGTAAGACTCCATCGTTTTAAGATGTTACTACAAATACGGATCCACCGAATGGTTCGAATTCACCTGGATTCGAATTGCACTTCTACCGCGTGGAAAGAGTGTGGCCGCTCGGTAACTTGATAACTGTAAAAGCTAAAAGTACCAGAATTTTACAATAAATATTATCAAGGTAGAACCTGCGTGTCAAATATCCGCTTAAAGCGTGATGGCTTGTTTTTTTAATTCAATAATAAAAAATTAATAATGAAATGATATTGACAGAAGTAATATATACAATATTTAATCTCAAAACCTCATACAGCAATAGTCGTTGGTATATTTAAGCAATAAGAAAAAGGTCACACTCGTAAGAGAAAAAACCCAAGCCAGTTAAAAGATAGTAAACAATCCTCGCAAAGTACAATAAAAATGGTTAAAAACGAGCCCAACTTTGTGGTGGAGCGCATCATTGACAAGCGAATCACCAGCGACGGCAAGGTGGAGTACTACATCAAATGGCGAGGCTACACATCGGCGGACAACACTTGGGAACCGGAGGAGAATTGCGACTGCCCGAATCTTATACAAAAATTTGAAGAGTCCCGTGCTAAATCCAAGAAGCGTGGCGAGAAGAAACCTAAATGCGAAGAGATCCAGAAGCTGCGTGGCTACGAACGTGGCCTTGAACTGGCTGAGATTGTAGGTGCCACTGATGTCACGGGGGACATAAAGTATCTAGTGCGCTGGCAGTTCTGCGATGAGTTTGATTTGGTGCCCAGTAGCCAGCTGACGGAGAAAGATCCGCAGATGCTGATTGCCTACTTTCAAAAGATGGCTCCATATGACCGACACATATCGCGGAGAATGAAGGGCGTCCCGGAGGAACTGCGTTTGGCGGCTTCACGCACCAGTTATCCTCACATTATCAGTGCTCCCGTTGAAGTTCAGCCGGAGGTAGATCAAGCGGCAGAGTTGGTTGGCCATCTCGGTGACATGCCCCAGGTTGAACAAGTTCAACCACAACATCATACCCCCATGGATCTTGCTGATGATCCCGACGATCTGGCAAGCGTTTCCTACTCAATTCCGGTGCCAGGCGTTGGCGACATTGGCATCGATGTTCCAATGGCTGAGAACCAATGAGTACACCAGCAGATTCATCTGCTCAATGTTTAATCTTAGCTCTTAAGTTAATCTTTATGAAAAGCTATCTAAAACCGCTGGGCTCGTCCAGATTAATGTGACCCAGCTGCCCAGAGCGAAAGAAGTGTATAAACTTCCTAGCGGCCGCCAATAAATTAGTCATCACTTCTACCCTACCGTCGTACTGTTTGACTTTGTGGAACAGCTCTTCTCGATGGGCGTACTCTGCAAGCACAGCGCTAATATTATCACTGGGTCCAGAGCTTAGCTTTAACTTTTCCACGTAGTCGTATTTGCGATGACTGTTTAACCAGAAGAGTAGGTAATCCGCAATTAGATCCTCGCCCACAATGTGATCTGGTAGGCACCCCACTAGGGCCAGTTTCATGCCCATCTCATCATCTTTTATGGAGGGTTGCAGTATTCCAGGTGTGTCGATCATATAGACAGGTGGATTCTCTTGAATTTTGATGCGTTCCCCTACGGAACGAGTAATTCCCGCCTCTGCTCCCACACGTGCAGCGCTCTTCTTTTTGAGATGCACATTCCTGAGGACATTGATTATTGAACTCTTCCCCACATTGGGCACACCGATGATCATCAGATTGTTCTCAGTTGATTGGGTTCGATTGAAGCGACTACTCTCGCCCACGAGGCGTGTGGCCAAAGGCAGAATGTCCAGCACGCCATGATTTCGTTGATCCTTGCAATTGGTAAACAGAATATGCTTGAGTTCGGGCTGCTGTCTCCTTAACTGCTGGAGTACATTCTTCTGCTGCTTCGCGCCCAGGAGATCGACTTTGTTCAGGACCAAAATATGAGGTTTAACACCACTTCCTGGGGAATATTCCGTATTAAGTCTCAATATTGGGTTGCTGATTTACCCACCGGTGATTGTGTCAAAGAACTGTGAGTTCCTGCCTGCCACTGGTATGCGTGCATCGTGTATTTCCACTATGCAGTCAACATTTCGCAGTTTTTGCTGGATTTGGCGCATTCCCTTTGTCATGTGACCAGGGAACCAGTTAATACGCTGTTTCGCTGGCAGACGAAAGGTATTGCGGAAGGGATTCAACTGAGCTGCCATGATGCGGGATCCATGTAACGCTATCAAATCAAAAATAAAAACGTATAACAGCTGTTGGTCAGTGACGTAACAATTGACCAAGGGTTGTGAATTGTGAAGGGGAACACTGGTTCACGGTTCTTTTAAAATTAAAATTTAAATGCATTGTTTTAGGTTTTTATTTTAATGATATTGGAGATATGTATATCAGAATAAGTATACGTTTTCTAAGTATTTAAGCAATAGAAGCTTTTCCATGACAAAGAACTTCAAAAGTACGTAAATGAAAAGTCTGGATGTGGAAACACTGGCTTGTTTAAAACAAGATTTGAAGTAAATTTTTGAGCGCTACAGAATCCAAATAAAAAAACAAATAAATTTATTTTATTTTAGGTTATAAAAACGATATAGCTGTACCGCTCTTTTGTTAGAGACCTCGAGCAAGCCCGGCTCCAGTTGCACTTTATAAGTAAGCAACTGAGCGTATTCGGTTAATAACTTGCGCCAATAGCATTGGACGTCCTCCATTCGAAGGTGGAGCCATATAAAATGGTGTCCCCTCTCCGCAATCTCCTCCGCCAAATCATCGTGATCGCGTAGATACAGAATCAGCTCCGTCAGCTCTTCCATGTTGGCGTCGCTAGCCACGGGAACGTAGTGCACCCAGGGCTTCAGTTGGTTGTAAAAGAATTCCTGCCACAGGTCGCCCACATGGAGCACCAACGAGCGGCAAAGTAGGATGTGCCTCAGGCGGAAACTAGCCGTCACACCCCGGAAGTTAAAAAGGTACTTAAATCGACAATGCTCGGCCAAAGGCATTTCCTCGGCGGGATCAGAGTTGAGCTCATGGCCATCAGAATTGTACGCCACATGGAGCGTATACTGGGCATCGACCAAGTCTGGACATCTGCGGGAAAGCCTTACAAGTTTGTCGCGCTCCGGGGAAGATCGTGAGCCTCTGAAGAAACCAATGGATTGCTTGGCATCCCAGGAAATCTTAGCAGCTTTGGCAGCCAAGTGTTGACGCATCCAGTCCCAGCGACCTACACCGTGGGGATAATGCTGCAGGATTGGACCCGAGGTGGTCCAAAATGACCATGCAGGATACATGATGTCCAGGTGACGATTCGTAGTTGAGTAGGAAAATACTGGTCCACTTAAGCCGGACAAAAAATGCACCTGGGGCCAGTCACGTACATTGAGAACAAATTCTAAATTGGGCAGATCGCTGGCAATCTTTAAGAGAAGGTCTTCCACGTCGGCACATCGCTTCGGGTGCGAGCAGTTCGCCTGACGATAGATGCGACCACGGATTACCTGATAATAAGTTCCCAAAAGTTTGGATTGTTTCATCATCTCTGGGGTGATACCCTTGTTCTTATAAGGCTCCATATCTTTTTGGATGGTCTGGGCATGGCAAAGGCACTTAGGATCCCCCGGTTCACATGGTCGATAGGCCGCCAGGGATTGCAAGATATGCGGCACAAAGTCGTAGCTGACTGGAGAATATACATAAATAATCAACAAGTTAATTTTAGAGGAAACTTGCTTACTATTGTATTCCGGATACTGGACTGTATTGCACGTATCCTCGGCGATAGACCACGCATTCGGAGCGCAATACAGAAGCAGGGCTCCCAATAAAAGATAACTCCTCCTTAAGGTTAACATTATATTTTTGTAGATTTTACATGCTTTCCAAATGTACCTAAACAAATTTTGAGTCTTAAAACAAACGGTTTCTGAGTTTCATAAATTAAGGCTCTAAAAACATTTTTTTTTATTTTGTTAAGGATATTAGAGATATGTAATTTGAAAAAGGAGGGAAAGATGAGATTTTCTTTCTTTTAGAAATAAATACTTTTATAAAAAATCAATTAAATCTAATAATCGTTTAACGTAATACCAATTCAAATACATACGATAGTTTCCTAGTCTTTACAGTTCATTCCTAACGGGAGCAATATAGATTAACTGATCTTCCGGCTTAATCTCGTACTTCAGCAACTTCACATAGCTCTTCAGCAGTTTCCGCCAGTAGCACTTGATATCCTTCATGCGCAGGTGCTCCCAGATAAAGTCGTATCCTCGCTGTGCGATTTGCTGAGCTAGGTCGTCGTTTTTCTTGAAGAAAGAAAGGATTTCCTCATAATCCTGCTGACTGGGGTAGCTTTTTAGTGGCACATAATGCACCCAGGGCTTCAGTTGGTCATAGAAGAACTCCTGCCACTCGTCGCCCACGTGAAAGACCAGCGATTTGCAAAGGAACAAATGCTTTAGCCGGAAACTGGCGGCCACTCCTCGAAAATTAAACAAGTACTTGTATTTGCAGTGATCCTCGAAGGAGACCTCATCAGCGGCTGGAGCATCAAGGGTATCTTTGGGCGATTTCCATCCTTGGTTTTTCGTGTATTGAGCCTCGACCACCTCCGGATTGCGACGGGAGAGCAGTATTAGAGAATCCCTCTCGTCAGAAGTGCGAGAGCCGCGAAAAAAGCCCAGATCGCGCTTTTGGGACCAGGGAATAGCAGCCGCCCGCTTCTCTAGTTTTTCGCGCATCTGATCCCAGCGTCCGATTCCACGTGGATGAAGCTTGGTGGCCGGTCCTCCTGCCCAGAATGTCCATGCTGGATACATAATATCGCGGTATTCTTCTGTCTTGGAGAACGAGAACACCGGACCGCTAGCAGAATTTCCCCAAGCGGCATTAAGTTGCGGGTAATCCCTGGTGTTTATTATCAAGTCCATATTAGGTAGCGTTGGCACCAGCGGCAGTAGAAAGTGTTCGATGCCTTGGCAGCGGGCTGGGAACATGCAGTTGGCATCCCGATACAAACGATGTTCGTAAATTTTATACTTCGTGCCATATCTCGAAGAACTTTCGATCATTTGCCTGGTGACACCTGTTGACTTATAGGCCGCTAGGTCTTTTTTTAAAACAGGTGCATGGCAGGAGCAGTCGGAGTCCTTGGGATCACTGCTGCAAGGCTTGTAGTCGGCATAAGCTTTCTCGATCTGCCTACGTATTTTGAAGCCAACTAAAATCAAAATACATTTTTAAAACTTAATTAAATCAAAGCTGGCAACAAGTTGCTTACACTCATCCTGATTTATTTGGTCAGGTTCACTTTGCCCACAAGTTGTTTGCTCGGCACTGCAAAGTCCATCGTCTTCTGCACATCCTTTACTCCCAAAACTTATAATAAATGTTATTAATAAATGAATAATTAGCATTTCTGTAAATGTAAACAAATTGCAAACAAATGCGGCGTCAGCAAAAGGGTTGCCAAATGTTGCGGATATTATCGATAGGCATATTTTCGGATTGAGATCAATTCTTTGAAAACATTTTGTGTGAAATTTATACCACCTGAAAAGCAATTCAATTCAAGCAATTTCAAACTTGTTTTAATATACTCTTAACTATTAATAAAACACCTCTAAATAATGTTTTATTTGTACAATTAATTTCAGTGCTTAGCAACTCTGGTTGCAAAGCAGTGATTCAACTGTTATTTAATCAGGGTGACCATGTTTGAATATTGCAGGCAAGCTCTTCAGAAATAAACTCAACTTTGCATGGCCAGCTATGAGACGGTTACCCGAAGCAAGTAACTGTTCCTCGAGTTTTACTTTTCCACCCCGTGTGGACACACTGGCCGCTATAACCATTATAAAAAAACCAACAAGAAACGTCGAAAGTTTTCTCCGTGTTTAAAGCCATCCAATAGCCAAATTACTAACGAAAACGACGATTTGCAATTGGCAAATTATGCGTGCGGCACCTAGTGCTATCGAAACCACGTAAACCCAACGAACGCGAGTGTTTTAGACCACCTGCAATTGAAACAACCACCATTGTACATAATTTACACCAACAATTTTGCAACTACAACAACAACAAAGGACGCCGCGCTAAAAGAGAGGTTGACATAACTGCAAAAAGTAAATTGTATTAAACAGTGGTGGGCAAAATAATAAAACCCGCAAATAATAAATCCCAAAGAGTAATTTTGGCAACGAAAAACTGAAGTGGGAGTGGCACTTGCAGAAATGCTGTTGTTTTGTTGAGAGACAATTGCCAAAAAAGCCCATAAAAAAATTAACTAAAAAAGGTAATACATATTGTTATTTATTTGCAAATGTGTATATTTCTTTATAAACGTATGTGTGGGCGTATTGCGAATAACAGTTAATTGAGCACTCATCGATTTTTTTGTTAGCCCCTTCAATGTGGCTCGTAAAAAAGGCAACTTAAATTCATTTCACCTCACGATCCGATCGCCAGATAAAAACTAGAAAAAAACCGTTGGAAAAGTTGCCAGCCGTCGTCATTAAGTTGATTTGCTACCGCCGCTGATGCTGCGATTTAATTTACCCATTCGCCTGGCATTTGGATTGCTTTCGAGCTCCAGTTTCCCATTCCGTGGCATTCCACTTGGATTTTTGGTTTTCGGTTTCCCATCGTCAGATTTTCCTCGCCGAAAATCGTATCGCTTTCATTTTCACATTGGTCAGCGGCATGTTTTTATTTTGGGTCCGCGACCTAGGGTCGTACCTCGCCGTCCCTTCCCCCTCAGGCGCCCGCCCATCAAACCACCTGACTAATTATTGTTGAGTTATTAACTTGATAATTATCGCTAGCCATGAGCGAGGGGCACCGCAGGAGTTCTGCAGTACAGGAAAACTTCCGTAATTTGAAATCATCAAAAACGTTACACTCTTTTTGTTTTCTTATTATAACTTCATTGTTAAAAGAGTAAGAAATTTTATAAAAAAAATTAGAAAAATTAGCTGATAAAGATAAATTATAGAGTAAAAGCTGGTAAGAAATATTAATCAGATCTTCATGAAAAAGTCAAATTACGGAAATTTAACTGTAGCGTTGCTGTATCTTGCAGTGACTAAGAAATAACTTTGATATCTTTGAGGTCTTTTCGTTAAACTCGTTTGGAACACTATATCGAAATACTGAAAAAAACAAAATAAAAACACAAACCGTAATCCGAGCTTGGGTATGACAAAAGCTTTGCTTTGTTTATGGAAATACATATCGTCATAATCAAGCTTTTGGCTCTGAAGTCACACGTAAATCTCTGCGCATTCAAACGTATCGATGCGCGGCGATTGGGACCCTGACTATCTGGTAGTACGCTTTTCCAATCAATGGTTCTTGGGAGAAAAACTACGACTCATTCATTTGCATATCAATGGCGTGGAACCCTGCGCCTCTAATGACTCTCGATTGAATTTCAATTTTTGGGTAACCTTTTACGTTTGTGTAATGCCGGAAGTTGTTAGAATTTCTTGTATCGATTACGTATTGATAATGATCCAAGATTGTTTACAAAGAATAAAGTCTGCTACCGTTGGTCGGTGGCCAACTTTAACAGCTGCCATTAGCCGCAGTCACGCAGTCTGGCCCATACATCAATTATGTATTCCTTTGGGCAGGCAAATGACTCAACCCCCTCAGTCCAAAAACCACCCACTTCCACAAAACTCCCACTCCACGTTTAACGTTGCATGCCTAACCCAACCAAATGATTCATCAAAATATGGCATAGGCAGGGTTTATGCAGATTCTTTACCTTTATGTCAGCCAAGTGGCTGTAACACATTTTCATTATGCTCTTTTTTCGCTCCAAATTTCTCCCTCTCAATTTGTATGTCTTTTCCTGGCTGTCGAAGTGCGCCTGCGCATTGGAAAATCGTTTTTTCCAGAGCGGTAACTCTTATGTTGAGAGGTGTGTTGAATTTCTTATTGTCAGGGTTGGGCTAGCTGTGCATTTGGGAAGTTATTTTGACATAACTTTTGGAATGGCTATTTAAATATAACGAACAGAAGTTTGGTCAAACATCTTGTCACCTTGTTTTGGCAAAGTTAGAACTAAAAATCACTAAAAATATTAAAATTTGTTGATCTGACTTCATGGATAAAAAGACTCGAATTCTCTTCTAACTGATACAGCACAAAAATTAGTTTTTTTAGCGGTACCTTTTGTTTTGACCATTTTAAGCCTAAAAGGTGACAAAAAGTGTCTTATAATAATGATAATAATCTCCCTAACAGTTTTCACCTCTAAGACAGATTATGCTTGGGAATTTCCCCGTCTTGTTAATTCAATTAAGCATACTTTCTTTCCCTGATGATTGAAAGTTGGTTGCCAAGAAAATATATCCATTTCGCTGCGCATTGCATGTCCAGCTGTGTCAGCACTTATGGGATTCTTTGATGTTTCGAAACTGGCCGTCCGTAGATAATTTAGTACGAGCACAAATTGCGTGCCTGCTGGTGGCTGGCTGACCGCTGACTAGATCATTAGCTCATCTGTTGGCAATTGTTAGTTAATGGCTGATACTGTAACTGCATTAGATATTGTATGATGTTTGTGTCATTAACCTCAGAGTGGAACAAGTTTCCTGCGCTCGCAGCTGGAAAATCGTTTGCGTTTGGCGGTGACTTCTAATCTGCATAGAATGCGGATCGTCTTTGAAATGTCAACCCCAGCAGTAGAAACCAGTTATCCAATTGCCAGTGGGCCAAACACAACGATTGCTAGTAACTCACAGTGTGTTTTGGGCGCATGCGTGACCGATCGACAGTTGGCTCTTTTTGTTTTCCTTCTCTGACTGTTTACTTTTGGGTTATTGATCGGCAAGCGCACGATTCGATTTTCCGTCCGGCTTATCAGCACGCAGGCACACATAAACACACACACACCAATGGCTAATGCCGCGGATCTAGTCATGGGCTCTGTGTCATGGAGCAGTCGGCTATCAGCACGAACACAATGCTCCAGTTTTCTGACTGGGTTGGCTGACTCTCTGCCTCACGCTGAATATCGCTCTCCGGAATAACCATCGGATATTGCTGTTCCGAATACTCTAACAGTGGGTTGCTTGTTTTGTTTGGAGATTTTGGATTTACATTTAGTGGTATTTGTAAAATCTCAAAAATAAACATTTTTAAATTAAACAAATTTTTGTAAAATTGGAGAAGTATATTTTAATCATATAAAAATAACCACTTAGAAGCAGACACATGTAAAAAATGGATTTAAGCTTTAACGTCAACTTTCTAGAGAAAAGACAAAAACTGAAATTAATCTTTTGGTTTTATTATTTCTTGATCATTCATTCAAAGCCCCCAATGGTCTATCCCATTTTGGAATTGTAGCTATCTTGGCTCCCTTAATTAAAATATTAGACATAATTTTGGGCATCCGTGATCATTATTTTATAATTTGCCAACAAATTTTGTAATTTATTCAAAAATGAATAGCTTTTTTTTTGTAATTGTCTTGCTTTTGGTCTATGCTGTGATAGGCCTTATGCGAGTAGAAGAGTTGGCCCACTGTATATAGAAGGCCTGGGGTAACTGGCTCTGCCACTGCCACTGCCACCGATTTATGCTGCGCGGCCAGCAGAGCCAGCATAACGGGCGGAGTGAGATGAGAGCGCCGAGCCGAGCGCCCAAATGAGTTACAAACCAGCGCCACACATCGACGGTCGACTTTGCTCCGCTCACTTTGCTCGCTGGCTGAGTGACTCGTGGTTCGGTCGAAAATCGCCTTATCGTGTGTATCCCCCTGCGGAATTGAAATTGGAAGTGTATATACGCATTATATATAGTTACCCAGTTGGTTATTCTTCTTTATTTAAGTGCGATAAAAAACATAAAGCTGGCCTTAAGCATTTGTTTTGCTTGAGTTTCTCACGCGACTAATTACCAAATCGATAAGTCCTTAGCTAAGGAAAGAGTTCCCAGCCCTTCCCCCTTAAGGGAAACTCACCACACCCACTAAAACCCTGAATGTCACATTTCCAGAGCACCAGCGTAGAATGCATTTCGAAATGATTTTTATGTGAGCAATATAAATTACAAGTGGCTATTTTGTTTAACTGAATCACTCTTCGTCAAGTGAAACGCTTTGTGTTTGTTTTTGTGCATAAGAAATTATCAATTGTTTACGCTTTATCGCTGGAACAAGGCCTACGCAAAGTATATCATATATATACTCTTATATGATGGATACAGTCACTATATATATGGATTTTCCTTCATCGATACACAAAGATTTACATTTTGCAAAGGTAAAAATGAGTTTCTTATTTAATATAGATTTAAAATATATATTTGCCGAGGCATCCACAAGTTTGTTTTGGAAAATCGATTTTTTTGAGAGAGAGAGAGAGAGAGTAGGCGCTGCTCTCTTTCCGCCTCTCAGCTGATTGTCAAGGAAGAAGTGGGTAATGGGTGGTGGTGGCGATGGTGTTCCAGCCCCTTTTCCTTGACATGCTACCTTTACCCGCAGATACTTTTCTTTTTGCGTGCTGTGTGCAATTGATTCCGCTCCCCAAATGGATCGCCACTACTGAGTCACTGGCCCACACTCTCCAAGATGTAGTTTCTCGATGGCAAATATCGAAATGGCCACGTTGTAGCAATATCTGCCAGCTGGCGGAAGAGGGTTGTTCCATGCGGTCGGCAACGCGATATGAATATATTGGCCACCCTCTGAGCCGGAAAACTTTCTGCAAGGCAACCCATTTGGGCCTTATTTATTGGTTCTTAGTCTCCTGAACACCCCCATAGGTTGCAGTCCTGTTAATTAAACACGTATGCAGTATTTATGGAGTTTCAATAGTTATCAGATTGCCTGTCACACTGAAAACAATCTTTTGTTTATTGTGTTTAACGAATATTTAACTTCTTTTACTCATATTACTATCTGCCACAAGAATGGGACAACTGTTGAGTGATGGTGTAAATTTTCAAGAACTTTTGATATTATATAAGTAGATAAGATTGACAGCTTAGTAATATTATTAAGAATAAAGCCTTACGAGTCATATTTGATGGGGAAAGTATATACAAATTTCATGATTATTTCACATTATGATATAATGATGTCACAGAAACCAGTCAGGCAACCAGTTCTTATATGAAAAATACAAAATTAATAAGCAAAATCTATGGCATATTCAACATTTTGCAGCCCATGGTGCCGGCTTTAATTTGTAATGCCTTAGAATAATGACAAATTGTTTTTGACAAAACTAAATATGGGCGCACCTAAGCTTCATACCATACTGTGAGCCAGAGAATTCAATTGACTGAGAAATAAATTTCATTACTTATGGCTTGCCAAAGTCGCATGTAAAGTATTTATAACCTGTACATATGCACTGTGAATAAATGGAGGCCATATATGAGACAGGCCAGAGGCGTCGCCCACATGCGAAGTTTGCCGCAGAGATATAATAATAACTCTGAAGCAATATGTGCCGCGATATGTGAGTTCCTCAAGCTTCGGTCTCGTTTCTCTGTATCTTTCGTCTGTCTCCCGTCTGTTGTCTTGGGCATAACGTAAACAGTTTTAAATTACAAAAGTGTTTGCACCCAGATTTCCTCTGATATATGAGATCCAAGAGTCTCCCTTTTATCTTATATGTAAGGAGAAGTGGTTAAGATACCAAAAACCTGTCCATATCATCAAGTGTTTTGGATATCATCACACTTTTACTGCCGCCTGCAAAGAGGTTTTCCTTTGTATAGAATTTCCCCATCACTGGCACACCTGCTGGCCATTCATTGCATTGGATTGATCTGTTTTTGGCCTGTTTTCTTGGCCACATTCAAGATCAATTTGTTGGAATGCCAATGGACATGTGTAGAACCACTTAGTAAGGGTATTTCCCGCTCGTACGCTGCCATTTGTTTCTATGAAACTAATGTAAAGACATTTTCAAAATTTGGGTTAAAAATGTGTGAATGAATTATTGAATCGCTCCTCAAACATTATAATAGAACAAGCAGACGTGCCCGGGGGAATCGGCTTTTGGGCCGCTTGTTTCTGTTTTGGAGTCACTTGGCATAGATTGGTAATGCCACTCGAAGACCCACTGGCAGTCAGGCAGACCAGACAGTCAGATAGTCAAATAGTCAGATAGATAGATAGGGGGCAGGAAACTGGGTCATTTGCCTAGCGTCTGTCTTGTTTAAATACTTGCGCCTGATTTATTGGGGACTTTGTAAAGTTGATTAATCAAATTGACTCGTGCGCGGCATTTATATTTCTATTTTCCGTATTTCTCGGCTGCACTTTTTCCTATTTTTCTCACATTTTCATTTAAGTTTTTCGTTGGTTGTGTTGTCAAATTTATGGCCCCTTAAGAGTCTTTGCTTGCGTTGATATTGTGGAATTATGTTGCATAAGTTATGCACAATCTGCGCCATTGTGTCTGTAGATAAAGCTTCATTAAGTCGCTTTCAAAGAAAAAAACATAGAAACCGGAAAGGATCTAAGAAGACCGCACCTTTTTGTTAAATCCGCTTAAATGCGTAGGAGTTTCTAGGCTGCTGTTCTTCATAAATAACATTCTTTAAGCCCATGAAAATCCACTGAATATCCGATGACCAGTGGCAGTTGAATAACCCGTAACTTCAACCTTTGATTACCATATAGAAAAGCCTCTTTTGCATCGTTATTTTTTATGGATTATCTGGTAATTATTGTTATTGGCTTTCTCACAGCTTCCGTTTCTTGCATTTCTTTCACTTTTTTGCTGATTAGCAAGCAGCCAGCAACAAACGGAGCCGACGACGCCGATTTGATGGCCGTTGTCTCGCCAAAGTCTAATAATTGTGGGGGAAGCGAGATGCTCAAAGGTGCCCGGGGGCAACGTGGGGCTGCCAAGAGGGCAGACATTTGCTGGAATTCCGCGTCACTTTATTGCCGTTGTGCGAAAATTTTTCCCATTTGTTTTGTGTGGGGGCTCTATAATGATATACCCAAGACCATGGCATCTTTTTTCCTACGAATGTGAATTGAAAATTACTTTGCTGGGCTCTTATTTTTTATTAGGTTTTTTGGTTTTCTCTTTTTGTTTTTTTTTGTGTCTCTTTAAGCGATTACAAAACTTCCACCATAAATTATCGCTGTAGTCGTTTTTTTTGTTTTTCTCCCATGACGCATCGAGACGAAAATTTGTATGCCATTTTTGCATAGCTGTAATTGATGATACGCTCCAAGAGCTTACAGAATATTATGCACCGGCCATGGTGCACTTCCGCTCTATTTGAAGTCAATGCAATGACTGAGTGAAATAGATAAAAAATGAGGTTCCATGAGGTAGTAAATTGGGTCGTTAAATGCTTTTGCACAGTCTTTCCGCCAAATTTACAAAAATAAAAGCAAAAGAGCGTAAATTAAGTTAGTTTAAATAATTGCAATAACTTTTCTGCATTCATAATTGAGATCAGTAAAAGGTGAATGAGTAAATTAGCTCAATAAGTTCAATAAAACAATTCAATTGAAATGAAGGGTCAGACAATGTCGCCTTCTATACATGCTCTCAATTTAAAAACTGCTTTGCCTCTGCTGAGTTTAGCTAATAATTTTTCTCAATTCTTTTGTCATTGCAGGTAAGCTTCGTGTTAAACTAAACGGAAATGCGTATACGGCCATGGGCAATCGATTGACAGACAGTTCAAGGTCGAGGGAGCTGCCCACATCCGATGGATTGGGTATTAATGAGTGGCCATATCTCTTACGGAATCGGTTTGAATGGAGCGCTGCGTGCTCGAGTGCTTAAATCGCAGACCAGGCTGTAGACACGTCGAGCTCTGGGCTCAAGAGCTTCGATTGACATAAAAACTGCGAGCCAGCAAGAACTTCAAGGGGGATCTGACTATTTAAAGAGATCTGTTTTTTTTCTCCGTAAATGCAATCAATGCGTCCTTAGGTTTTAAAGTAGGTGTCCCGCGAATGAAAGAAAAACTGGTATTACTACTGCCCACACTCCAATCAACAACTCCACTCTTGACTTACTTTCCAAGTATTTTATTTCCGTCTAGTCATCATCAGTAAACCAAACACTTGTCCCCACTATTCATCGGTGTGCCCAGGGCACAGCCAAATTCTCGACCAAACTCTGCAGAGTTACTCAGCGGTCCATTGACATCCCATCTCTCCGGTGTGTGCTGCATTAGAGGCATCGAGTCTAGGATGGCGTCCTGGTTATCCTTTGCCCAGCATCGTGTCTGTGCAAAGTATATGAAAAATAGCTGAGTGTTGGTGTAATTAAGCTCCGGCAGAGTTTCCTTCGCCAAGAGCAGACGCAGCTTATAATCCTGTTGTTCCAGCCAAGCCAGATATGCGTTGAAGGCCAAGTTGAGACCGCTGCTGTCGGCAATAATCTCTCTCAGCCTGGTGGCATTGCGAAATTCGTTAGGGTCATTGTACAAGTAACTACTGTACTGGGCACGCTGGCATTCGCTGACATTTTGATAGCCAGACATGGTTATCTCGTTCCATTGAGATGTTGCCTGCGGATAATGGTTCCATCCCTCGTCGTCGAATGCCTGGACTAACGCACTGGCCAAACGATGACCCAGTAAAGCATATTTCAGCGCCTTGGGATAATTGTAATTGTAGTAGGGAGCCTGTAGCAGACCCCAACCCACCAGGACCATTTGCTGGCGGGGAGATAAAGCAGTTCGCACCTCAAAAGCATCTAGACCGTCTCCATCCTGGCGGAAATTGTTGCCCTTCAGGCCTTCGAATTGCTGATGGGAACGATATCTTAGAGCAATCTCCAAACGACGCCAATAGTCTTCAGATTTCTGAAACTGTAGATCGGAGAGATCCAAACTCTGGTAATCTGGCCCCGACACTCGATATTGCGAAAGTCTAGTTCTGGCTGCCCTTCGATCGTTCTCGTCCATCCAATCTACGCGGAATTGCTCTTCGAGGGCTTTAATAACATCGCTAAATACAGCGTCTAGATCATCTTTGGCATTATCGCGCTGGACATGGCGCTGGAACATGTCGCCAAGGACCTGGGGAAACAGGCGTTGTGTCATCAAGACGCACTGGCGGGCACGTTGCGAGGGAGCCTCCTCCGGCGGCTGATTTAGTTCGTTTAGGGCAACGTACATAATATAGCCACCAACGGTGATGCGATTGTTGGCCCTAATAGTCTTTACCAGATGCCTTACATATTCCGGTGACCTCAGATAGACGAGAGAATTGTATTCAGTCTCTAGGACTACCTCCACCAACATTTTGAAGTCCATCTGATTGCCCATCTCGCTGGTGAGCTGGATAAGGGTCATTCCTATTTTCTGGCGACGTAAACGATCTTGGCCAGTTCGCGAACGTGCTATGTAATTGGGAGCCTGCATGGAAGGTTGGTAGTCTTCCTCGTTCTTTTGGATATCCTGCACTCCCCTTTGCTTGCAGAGTTCAAACTCAAAACGGATGATGTCTCCGGCAAATCGTCCTGCTTCCCCTGTATCCATGCCAAACCAATCCCGCAAGTTCTCTGTTACCTGCTGCTGCATTTGCTCATAGACCTCACCTTTCACTTGAGCATTACTCGTGGCCACGACATTGCAGTGCTCGGCGGGTATTATAGTGAGCTTGGGTTCACCAAAGTATATACTCTTGCCCTGCATATTCTGCAGATTTAGATCTATTTCTATTCCCAGAAGTATGTCCAATCCGTAGTTTCTTTTAAATTCACCCATTGTTTGGACCCACTGACGATTATGCTGCCAGTTCGAGTTGGGAACATTACGTAATCCTCCGTTATCCTTGAGTATTTTCATTAGGAAACGACGTCTCTCTTCGGCATTGGCTTCCACGGCCACGCAAGATTCGTAGAAGGCTCGAACTTTACGGACATTCGCCATAGTGGGACCACTATAGCTATTCGGATGATGTTGTGGTGGCAGTGGCTGGGTGAGAAGTTGCTGCAATTGCTCCGAGATTTTGGTTTCCATCACTTGCTGGGCGGTGGCCAACTCACCCGGACGAAGCTGTCGTCTATGATAACGACCCCACTGACCGCAGGCGTATTCGAAGAAATCCGTACAGGGATCGACGCTCAGGTTCATGTACTTTTGTACATCCGTTGCCATTAGTTGACGCACCATCTGTTCCTCACGTGAATCTGGGAAGTTTCCACCCATCGGCATGCGATTCATGTTGTTATGTCGGGCTCCAGCCACATCGCAAATTTGGATTCCAAAGACCAGCAAAAATTCGATCAGAAAACTTAAACAAGCGCTTCTAGTAGTTCTCATCTTGGCGTTGAAAAATCGACTGAGCTGCTGTGTTTTGGTGGCTTGATAAGCCACGAATCGGAAGTATCTCCAGGCTGGGCTTGAACCTGGGAGAACTGGGTCAAGTTCGCTCTCAGTCCCTGTGGGTTATCGCACCTATAGGAGCTCGTGGATCTGCGAGAGATGTAAACAAACTCGGCCTCGTCAACAAAGAACTTGGCATTGACAGCAAAAAAAACTTAAGTCGCTTGGTGACAAGGTCTCCCTACTATCAGGCTAGCGAGTGTTGTAATTCCTCAAGCCCGGGGGAGGTTTATAACCCCTTAACATTTCCTAACTATATTATAGAGTATCATAATCAGCAAGCCTAGCCTGTTTACAATGAATAATTCTGTAGAAGTTAGCTATAATTGATAGATCAATAAGCGAGCATTTATTTTAAATTTAAAATTAAACAATTTTCAGTAAGTGGAGCACTTGGCTGCAGGATTCATGGGTGAACCAATGGGACACCGAAATTCCCTTGCAAAGTCTGCAGAGTTCCGCAAAGGTCCATTAACCTGAAGCCTTGTCCAGGTGTGATTCTGCCTTGCGCTGTAGAGGTATCCTTCAGTTGTCCATTGCTCATCCTTGGGGTGAATCTCTTCCAGACTACAATGCTGCTGGGCATAGGCCAGAAAGAAAAGAGCCGTATTTGTGTAATCAAGATCCGGTAGCGTCTCCTTGACCAGCTTATTGAAGTCGTTGTTTGGCTCTTGGAAGCCCAGCCAGGTTAGATATGCCCGGAAGGCAACATTGAGGGCTGCACTGTTTGTGATCAGCTCCCTGGTGGCACTCACATTAGCTCTTAAATAATGCTCCACCTGGCGGGCAAAGCAGTAACTTCGGATGTGATATTCCCAGGCTGTTTGACCATCCCAGTTATCCCGTTCGAGCAGTCCAATCGACCAGTGTGGATCATCAAAAGCCATTACCAACTGTTGTGCCAGCTTAACGCCCAATGTTGCATATCGGAGGGCGTGGCCATAGTGGCGATCGTAGGCTGGCGGCTGCAACAGGGCCAATCCCATATCCAAACGTCGCTGAACTGGTCTCAGTCGCACCCTAGCCTCGTAAGCCTCCACGGGATCAGACGGAGCGGGAGTGAGTTCTTCGGAAAGTCGGTTATTTCTTTGGGACTGAACCGCTCCCAACAGTTGGCGGAGATTGTGCCAATAGTTTCCTCGTTCCAACTGCAGTTTGAGGATCAACGGACGCTCGTAACTGGACAACTGCAATCTCAAATTTCGTAGCTTTTCTTGACCCACCCGCTGGCTACCCTCCACCAACCATTCTGCACTTAAACTTTGTCTCAAGGCCGTCTTTAATTTATCATACATGTTATCCAGATCTGTTGTGCTATCTTCGACGTCAAACTGGCGGGCATATAGTTCTCCCAATGCTGTGGGTAGCAGTTCTTTAGTTCGTGCCAAGGCACTCTCCTTTCCTTAAATGTGGGCGATCCTCTAGTGGAAAGTTTAGAGCCGATACAGCACGGTACATGATATAGTTCGCCACCAGACTTATGTTATGAGCAGCAACAGTTCGCTTTAGTTGGCGAAAATATTCCGGGGTGGCCATAAAAACTGGTTTATAGATTTCCTTGTCATAGCTGGCCCTCACATAGGATTCCAGATCGAGTTCGAATAAATTTGAGAACTCACTCAACGTTTTGCGGGTGTAGTTTGCCAGATAGAGTTGCTCTTCGCCATCCCAGGGATCAAAGGATCCACCTTTCATTCCACCACATAGCTCATGCTCGAAACTAAGAATATCGGCGGCAAGACGAGCTGATTCCTCCTGTCCCAATGCCAACCAAGTCCTAAGTTCGGAGGCCATTCGAAGCTCCAAGGGTTCATAAACGGTGTCCCTGATGTCTGAGCGATTTCGGGTGCACAACTCGGAAGGGATTATAGTACTTGGTTCACTCAAATACAGACTGTTTTCGTTCACATTTTCATAGTTATAACCAACCCGTAGTCCAATGAGTATATCCATTCCATAGCGAAGTCTAAGGCCACCCAGCACACTTAGCCAATTGTAATCATGGTGATGCACCGACCATTGGGAACCCGGAACCGCTGGAAATCCTCCATTCTGAGTGATGAAATCACTGAGGAACTGCTGCTGCTGTTGGCTCTGCTGTGCCTGAGCCGTGACGCAAGTCTTAAAGAATTCCTTGGCCTGACGAGCTATTACACTATCCTCTCTCCTAACAGCCTCATCGAGAAGCAGAAGAAGTTCTCGATCCGTTTGCTGCTGCAGTTGCTCTTGCGGCGTAGAACTTGATTTCCAATTGCCACAGGCATAGGCATAGAAGTCCACACAGGGATCGATGCTTTTGTTGACATAACTGCCCATCTCATGTGACTTTGAACGTCGGACCGTCTGTTCCGATTGGTAGATCCGCTGGAAGGGCGGTGTTGGATCTTCGCCAGAAGCCAAGACATTTTGCTGGAGGTGTGGCAGCCAGAACAGCCACAAGAAAACTGCCATCCAACTTGGATCCGACATGCTGCCGGAGCTCGGTGAAGCTTTCGACTGGCTTTGCCACTCGCAATCGCATTTCACAAGCCGAGAGTCCGAGTTGATATGGCCTGGGGTCATGCAGGGTTATCAAGCGGCAAGAGAGTAAAGTAGTCAGAGAGAGGAAAGATTGGATTCCAGTAACTGACTAGACTGTTGTAAGCATTACAAAATCAGCTTAATTAGATCGCTGAACATCGGGAGTGCTTACATGGAAGCTCTTTAAGGGGTTCTCTTGGCAGGAATTGTTGGGGTCTTGACTTGAAAGGGTCCTTTAAAGTCAGTCACTTCAACTGTAAAGCATTTTGATCAATATAGAACCTTAAAGGAAGTTCAGGAAAAGCTTTTATTTCGTAGACTGGTAAAATACATAAGAAATCAGTATAGCGAGCACTTAAATCGGGCATTTAACTTATCCCCCCTGATGCAACCGTAGGCATTTTTGAATGATTCCGAATTGGAAAGCGCCGTGTTAACACGTAAGTTCTCGGGAAGCTCATCGAAACGCTCCACAGATTCCGGGTAATCTGTGCAGTACAGCTGCGCATAGCCCAGATAAAAGATCTGATTGTGGTTGTGATCCAGCAGAGGTAGACGTTCCCGATCATATATGGCCGGAGTTTCGGCTGCATTCTTCAGCCATTGCTGATAGGCGCGATAGGCAATATCCAAAGCACCATTATCGGCCACAATTCGACGCATCAGATCCTTATCCTGGATAGGTTTACCCTTGTATTCCACAAAGATTGCATACTGTTCCAGAAAGCACTGCGATCGTCGGGCATATGAATCCTCAGAGGTTTTATCCCACCAGTTGTTTTGATAGCCATGGACATCGTACCGCCTTCCGACACCATCGAATCCGTGCAGCATTTGGCGAGCGAGGAGGACACCCAATGTGGCGTACTTCAGAGCATTAGGATAGGCGGGATCCCAGAAGAATCTGGCCTGTAGAAATGTAATGGGAACCTGGATGCGATTCTTTTGGATTTCATAGTGGGGCAGTTTGTAGACTTCATCTTCGGGCACGGGTTCCTCCATTAACTTGGCCAGACCACGTTTTGTTTGCCACTGGAGAACGGTCACCAAATTTGGATAGAAGTGATCCGCCTGCAAATTAAGTCCGTGCATCTGGCGGATCAGTTTGTTGTCATCGTGAGTCCGGAATTGTAGCTTCAAGGCCTCCAGTTTGTTTATGGCCTTCTGTCTAGTCTCCAATGTTAGCCAGAGTAAACGCTCCGAGGCTTGCAGATCCTCGCGAAAGACTCGCTTGATATCCGACCACGTCGACTGTAACTCATTGATCATTTGCATGTGATTGTAATTGCGATGGAATAGACTCTCCAGTTGATGGGGGAAATATTGCTGGGCCAACTGGACACACCAAATGTCCGGTTGCTGGGATGGTGGAACTCTTGCGGCATCCAAAGCTTCCAGGGCCTTCCACATGGTATAGTTCGCCAGCTGCAGTTTGGGTGTTTCCCTTATTACATCCACCAAATTGGATAGATAATCCTCGGGAGTTTCATACAAATCCATATACAGATTATCATTGAAAATGAGTTGCAAGTAGCGGGTTATATCCACATAACTGCCGTAGGCGGCCTTCATTTCGGCGGCGGACCTTTGGCGAGTGGTTTGCTGCAAGGTTAGTACAGGATTGTGTGGCAATCCCTTGGCCAATTGTTGCTCTATCTGCAGGACCTGATTGGCCACTTCCCGTCGCCATTGCTCCGATTGTTTCGGGAAATATAGTTTTAGTTTATTTTCAATCGAACGTTCGTAGATTTCGCGGGTTCCATCAAAATGGGGATGCACATAGTGACGACGTGACATAGGGAATTCAGGGGCTCCGATCTTCAAGCGATGCATTTTCTCTTCTTTGTAGTCGAGGATCACCTTCAGTCCAATAAAGATATCAACGCCTAGCTTACTTTTCAGATTGGCCACCACCTGCAGCCAATCGTACTCGTACTGATACCAGGAGGCGACTCTAATCTCTGGCCATCCGCCCCGGAAATCTGCCACACTTTGCAGGGTTCTCAAAGCAGATTGCGTGTCATTGGCTTGAAGGCGACACGAGCCGTAGAAGTTCTTTAACTGCCGATCGGCGCTATTTTCAGCACCTCTCGTAGCACTCTTAAGCATTTCTGCGCTTTTCCGTATATATAGTTCCTGGAGCTCCTCTAGATAGTTAGTCCGCTGTTTGGCGATCCGAGCCGGATGCAAACGTGGCCAATTGGCGCAGGCAAAGTTGTAGAAGTTAGAGCATGCCTCCTCCTTATCCTCCCCCATATAAGCCTTAATGTGAGCCGCTTTGGCCAGTCGCAGGATGTCAATGGAGTAGTTTGCGGCCAAAGGATGTGGCATAGAAGCATCTATTAAGCAGATTGAAAGCAGGATGACTCCCAGGAGGAGTCTAATCGGTTGATAGACCATAATAGATGGCGATAATAGCGACTTTTTCCGTGTGATCCGAATGATTGCCGAAACGAAACTGAGCGGGAATCGAGAGATGCGTCGATTTTTGACTTGAGCATTGGGGCTTATCGTCACCAGCACCGCTTGATTGGTTAATTAGTTCCATTAACCGTTGCAGTGAATTTGCTCAGCCTCTCAATTACGCGACTGACCTAAAATTCTAATTTGAGTACTCATTTTCCTCTATTTCTCTTACTCTCGCGTCTTGTAATCGCTTTTTAGTGGGCTTTATTCGCACTTGACCCTCAAGGTAGCTGCTCTCACAGCCCCAGACTTTTATATTTATACGAGTTTCTATATACATATATACACGTATAGTTAATGAGCTAATGACTTTTCCGGGCCCAAGGTTGGGGCCGGGCCGACTCATCATCAATCCTGCAGCGTATAATTAAAATTTGTTTGTGCTCATTTAGTTTGTTCGTGCCGTAATTCTAATGATTTCCCTACATCTTCCTCTAATTGCAGATTGAAATTTTCCTCAAGCTAGATTTCTAAAAACATTTTTACCACGGAAATTGACTAGAAATTGCCAGCCAGCAATCATCACCAGACAACAGCCATCAAGGAAACTTCACACACGGTAAGGATTTGTCTTTTTTCCTATAAGCACTTACAGTTGCGGTCAATAACGTAGATCGTTGGGGAATAATTTAATCTTTAAGCTCGAAGCTTAAATGAAATACAAAATTGTGTTGTAATCTTTTATATTGACCCCAATTGTAAATGTTATACATTTAAGATATTTTCCGTACTCGTAAATTATACTGGCTAAGTGGCACTTTTGGGACAAAGCCAAAAAACAAAGAGCCGTAACTTACTGCACTGTCATTTGGCTGGAATCCATTAACTGTTTTGCCACAAACTTGCTTTCAAAGTTCCGTTTATTATTTGCAATGGCGCTAGGAGAACTTGTCACTTTCCATCTGTATTTGCAGTTTTGAATAAATAAAGTAGTCATTTTTACAACTAACTTAGTTACTAAGTTAATACTTGATGTGCTGGTGGCTAGCCAATGGTGGACTTAAGTGTTTGTCCGTTGAGACGTCTGTCAATCTCCACGGGGCCCAAGGAAATATTGTACTTGACATGGTAGCCACTGTCATCAGCCACATAGGTGGCCGTTTCAACATAAACATAGTTATTCTCTTGGCCGGTTAGAACGTATGAGGATGTGTGTTTGCCTGTGATGATCAGTTCGGGTTTCTCGCCAGAGCTCTCGGATTTATCCTTGAGCTCGCCTTTCTCATCTCGCTCTCCGAAAACCTCCTTGATACTGAGTAAGGGATTGGGATATACTTTTATATTTTATAAAGTATATATTAATAACTTACTGAAATTCGTAGAGAACCTTGGTGGCCGCATGATTTCGATGGATATAAAAAACAAACAATACGAACACCAACAGGCACTGAAAAATAATTGTTTTTACTCAATGTTTCACTTTGGAGGACTCTCACTCACCGTACTGACTCTGATCATTCTAATTCAAGCTGCTTTAAGCCACTGAATGAATGAAATTCCAGATGATTACAATATTTATTTGTTTTGTGTTCTTGCAGTAGTTGCAATATCTACTACGATAAAAACTAGTAAAACCGGTTGCTAACATTGCAACTGAGAGTTTTCGATCTAACGATTCCGCACCAATTATTCTTTGGGCAGTTTATAGAGAGAGATATTTATGATGTTTGTGACTTTTCTGATGTGCTGCTGTCCGGTAATAATCTCAAACGGGTTTCCTTTACTCTTGCTATGACTATTTCCATCGGTATTGGACGTATGATTATTGACTGGATTTAATAATTGCCCCCCTCCCCAGGCATTGTTGATTGACAGTAATTGCTTCTATTGGAGCGTCTGATCTTTGGGGGGTTTCTGTGTCATCAAGGCATCTGGGAAAAATCTCTGGGAAATGCTGGAAATCTTTTCGTTTCGGCGGGGTTGTTTCCTAAGCAAATTTACATATTTCTAATGATTTTTGAAGAAGGTTTTTTTTATTGGTATTCAAGGATTATAACATTTTGATCTTTCTCTTATTTCCAAATGTATTTTTAAGACTATTCCACTTTTATTTTCAAACTAAGTTTTCTTAAACCTGTAAAGTGATGTTATTCTGCTAACCCAAAATGGTTAAAATTTTCAAAAGTTGTGAACTTAATCTTACTCCTATACCCAAGGGAACTGGTTCGCCATCGACCGTAGGATTGGGTTCATTTTTGGGATATATCTCCCCAGAGACTTGGGCTGGACTCGTTTTAAAAGTTGGAGCAAGAGTTGGTAGTGGCACCCAGCTTCTCGTACTGACATCTCCAGAATTATTCGTTATACTATCAGGCTGTTGTTCATTTAATAAGAATTGCGAGAAATCTCTTTCCGCATTCGTAGCCTCCCTAAGGTCACGTAATATCAAATTCAATGGACCAGTTTCAGAATCCCTTGATGGATTTAAAAATCCTAGGTTGATGCCAAGGGAATTGGCAAAGCCAACGCAGCCCAATAAGAGTAATAGAATCTATATTATGAAATAGATAAGTAGGTAAGATATATATCCAATAAAATCCGGTTTCCTTAGGTACTTACACTTGGTTGCATTTTTGATTTGATACTGAAGCCGTAACTCTCGGTCAGTCGTTTTATATGAAACTCGTTGCTAGTTAGTAGTTCATGAAATTCCCCATTTAGATTGATAGTAAATGGAAACGGGTTCAGATTGTTAGAGGGGTTAGAGGATTTAATTTTTAAAATAAGAATACAGTTATACTTTATAGGGAACAATGTTAGCTTAGTTATCCTGATATAATTTTAACTAGAGATTTCAGAGTTTGTGCATCTAGTCGTGAGCCAATGTCTTCGGGAAGAGTTTCACAGTCTTCCGGATCTTCGGTTGTGGTTGGTGTGGAAGATGGCTTAGACGTGGGTAATAGTCCAAGTTTTTTTGAAGTGGAGTTATGTTTGTTTTCATCATCTTTTCCTTTAATAATATCCGAAGCGGTTTTCGGCAATGGAATTAGACTTTTTATGCCGTTACTTGGTAGATTCTTGTTATCTTTTCCACTGCTGACTTGGGGAGGGTTTGAAGGGCTGGTGGATTTTAGAGTTGGTAGAGGTATCAGCTTCCTTTCCTTAGTCTTAGATGCTATATTGCCATCTGGTAAGCTAGATGTGACATTGGGAGTAACGATCCCTTTTGTGGTGACCTCTTCACGAGTAACTTTACTAGAAGGCAATTCTGTAGTCTCCGAACTCGTACTCTCAACAGCCTTGCATAGTTTTATATTCCTTAAAACTTCCTGAGAAACAGGACTATCATTTAAAACCTTAGATAAACTCTCTTTCGATGTCGTTAACAACCTTTGGCGAAGGTCAATCGAATTTGCTACAGCAATCCAGCCGAGAAGCACGAATATAATCTATGTAATAACAAATTTTTAGTACTATTTCACATTTCAGTCCGCCTTAATTGGATACTTACACCTAGTTGCATATTTGAATTGATACTAAAACTCAGATTCTCTGGCAGTGGGTTTTATATTGAGTGCACTATACGGCTAAGTGAATTTCCCAACTAGATGGGAAGGTAATTAAAACTGGTTTAGTCTGTTCAATCCACTAAGACACTTAATTGTAAAAAACCCATAAAAAGTCCATATAGGTTTGTTTTTCTTGATATTTATATACAGTTATTCTTGTTAATCAATGAAAAGTATTTTGTTTTAAACAAATTTATTGTTCATATCTGTTTATAGGATATTCTTTTGTAACGAGAGTCCTTAGAGTTTGGGCATCTAGACGTGATCCAATGCCTTCGGGAACGGGTTCGCAATCATCTGGGGTAGCACCTCCTTTTTTCGAAATGCCTTCAGTGGTGCTTGAAGTAGCAGTAGAGCTTGTAGTTTTGATGGGTTTGCATGGTTTAGGATTTGGTTTCACCTCCTGGGGCAGAGACTGATCAATTTTGTCATTTTGTGATGGTTTTATTGTTGAGAGTTGGCCAATGCCAGCAGAGTTTTCAACGGCGACTAAGCCAAGAATCACAAATATAATCTATATGAAATAAAATTATTAACACTTCACAATGTAATCCGGTTGACTTTGATACTTACACTCAGTTGCATTTTTGCTTTGATACTGAAAATGAAGTGCTCTGGCACTGGGTTTTTATATAGGAGTCCCTGTTAGTAAATTCCTCGATTTAATTGGAATTAAATTAAGAACTGGTTTGGATGTGGTTTCCGATAAATACTTCTAGGCGTTTGAAAAAAATCAATAAAACCAATTAAAAGAAAAGTTGTTAAGCTTTATTCTTATGGCTTTAGAAAGTAACTATTTTTAAGAAATTTCCTCTAAGACTTGATTTCACTTCTTCAGGCTTTCTACATTGATCTTCTTATCCTGTCTATCGTCCTTAACATCAATGGTAGAAATTGTACAAATCGTTGATGATTTTACGGATTCGGTAGTGAAAGTCCCTTTAAAGAGATTTCTTTCCCTAAAACACCGAGCAATCGATTTCATTTCATTTCAACTTTTTTACTGATAGATAAATAAATAATTCAGAAATGAACCCATTCCGATAGGTCGATTATAGAAACGTGTTTGGATTTGTAGATTATTTTTAATGCGTACTTTGAGGCATTTTAAAAAATTTAACGGAAGTATTCTACACTTTTTGTAACTTTTACAAATCAAGTTTGTAAGACTTAAGAATTCTTTTGAGCGAGGGTTTTCAGCACGGGAACACTGAGCATTATATGAAACTGGAAAGGATCCATGGGTTCATTTTGATTATCCTTTGAATGGAAATCCCTTAAATAAGTCAACAACTTCAATTTTTCTGCACTAGTCTGGCGGTTTTCCAAGTCTGGCAAATGAGTTTTGAAGTTAAAATCATCTTTAAGGCCATAAGTTTGGTGAATGATGAACAGCAGAAGTAGCAGGATAACATTCTAAAGGAAAAATTTAAGTTTTCTTTATATTTGATTTTCTAACTTAGAACTTTATTAACACTCACAATCAATCCCATTTTTACTATGATACTAATGATTTAGCTTGCTTGAAGTTCATTTTATAAAGATTTCGTTCTAGATGTCAGATTATAAAACCCAATCTAATGCTCTTTATGAAAACTGGTTTTTGAGAACATTGATTGAATTTTAGATGGCGTGTGAAAACGAGGCACTAAGTGCTATCAAATCACTAAGGGATTAAAACAAATCAAGTCGAAATGGTGTTACTATGCCTTTAATAAATTATTAGAATTAAATTCATTTCTTTCTAGTTTGGTTCGGATTAATGTTTATAAATCAGTCAACTTAAGCGAGAATCTTCAATAAAGTAGCACTTAGTCTTGTTCCAATGGAGTCTGGGTTGCAATCCTCTTCAGAATTTTCGTTACAATAGATTGTTGTATATTCGACATTGGCTGGCTCATCGGTGGCTTCAAATACGGTTGGTGAATCTTTGGAATAGTAATCCTTTGTTGGTTGTCTTCCCAGAATAGCCAAAAGCTTTTTGAATCTGGCTTTTGATTTAAGGAGATCTTGATCAGTGATGGTATTCAAATCATTGTCCTTTGATCTGTGCTTGATGGCATCTTTAAACCATTCAGTTGAGGAAGAAGAGGCCTTGTGGAAAACTATCTCAGGACTTGAAGTGGTAGAGTTCTGGGTATCCAAACTTCCACCGCCCCAACTTAATCGCAACAAGACAACAATGCATACAAGGAGTGTACACAATAGAAACTGCAAAAGAAAATGGATTTTTATTAATATCCTCTGGGCTTACAGGGTTTATAATCTTCTATACTTACAATCGCTTGCATGTTCAGTTCTGTTCTGTTATGAAAGGGGAATCGGTAGTGAGTTTTATATCGACGTGGCGCTACTTAGTTAGCAATGCATAAAATTACCCAGCTAGACAGATCATTCATATAGCTAACAGTTTTTATAGTGGGGATAGGTCTAATGATTCTGTATGGGCGTTGTTTGAATTGGGAAAATCTATTTAAGATTGTTACTACTAGAGGGCTTTGAGCATCACTGATCTGTTCTAAAAATATAACTGTGAATGAGATTTTCTCACGGGGTTAGGAATATATCAGTCTATAACCCAGTTTTAAAGCTGATTCATTCGTTAAGAATTATTCATAAATTTGAATATTAAGTTAGTTAGATGTATCATAATATTGAGTACAATGATAAGTACGACCAACGTTACTTCTTGGTAATTGCCACCCTCGGATGGCACGCGTCGTGACTCATGAGACCGACTATGACTAGTCATTACTAAAGCGTTAAAGCCTGTTCTAAAGGTAAACAAACCAAGCACGTTTTATATACTCTTGCAAGGGGTATTATAAAATTAGTCTTACGTTAGCTTGATAAATGGACTCAATATTAAAATCTACTTTAATAATATCTAATTCGATAACGATATCTATTGATTGATAATATTATTAAGAGATATTACCCTATTATTAGTGTTCTTAAAGGGTTTGCTAGACCCTAGACTTATAATAACACCAGGCAAACTTAGCCTCTGGGATAGTAATTACTAAATGAGCTTGATAGCTTTAGCCACACTTTATAATTGCAGTATTCCTCGAACATAATCCTTATGTAAGAAAACTGGATTTATTATCAATGGTCTAGATCGAGCCGGTTTAGGTTAGAAAATCAATAAAACGAATGTAATGATTAATATTACTATAATATTGGCTACACGAGTTTCCTATTAAATAAATGTCTTCCAAGACCTATCCCAAGTTTAGTTTCTTTAATAATTACAATCGTGTGTAATATTTTCTTCCTAAAACTAACAATTTAAGTTAACTAGTATTCCATTTAAGGATTTCCCTATTGCTGTGATTTAACATACTGTAAGTTATATCATTTCTCAGTACTTTTTATTGGTTCTTGGAAGTATTCTATTATATAACCCAAACTTAATTGACGAAATTACCTTAAGACGCATAAGGGACTTCCAGCAACTGCGTAGTTAGGTTAAGTAACCAAATTGGATCATTAATTTCAATAGGAACTCCCTATGATTATCATATTTTTGCAATACATAATCCAAATATAACTATTTGAATACGAAAATAAGTCGCAGAAAGCTAATCTATTCGAATAATCGATGTATCCAGTCAAATTCTAAGGAACTCACAGTTGATTACCATAGTTAGTGGGCCAGAGAAATGTACACTATGTGATAGTTTCTGTTGCAAAACCAGTTGTGATCCCCATCGGTATTTAACCGAAGTAAGAATTATTAAAATTGACTAGAAAAATCCCCTCGAAACTGGGGCAAAATCAATAACTTAACACGTAAGACAATTAAAAATCATACACTTTATTTTAACTTGAAATTTTTTATTACCGCAAGTTCATTAATATTGGTAAGGTAACAATAGGTTTTTAAATTGTATAACAGTTTTAAATAATCTTAGGTGTAAGAGCTATTAAGCTTTTAACAATTATCACAGGTATTACCAAGCATTTTGATATATTAATCACTTAAGGCTAGTCAGTCGAGAAACTTAGTTAAAAGAACTTTGCTTAAAGGACACTTAAGCTAAAATCTTCAGCAACTTGGCTGATAGATTGTTTACTGGTTCCGTGGTTAATCCGTTGCCGGCATTGATGTTTTTAGACGGGATTAGATACGAATACTCCAACGCGACTGTTCCTTTGAACAAGCTGTAGAATTCCTTTCCAAGTGCACCGGTTTCCTGATGTTTCGGTGCTCCTCGAAAAGCTTTTCCTTAGTTGGGATTTGTTTAGCCACAGTTGAGGGGGCTTGGCTGGTTGTATGTATAGCTGACTTGTGCTCTCTTGCTGACTTGTTAGTTGATGTTTCTTCTGCTGTCTGCTTATCGTAACTGTAAGTTTGCAGCGTCTAGCGCTTTGGCTTTTATACGATTCTCGAGAGCGAGCGTGGAGCGGGTGCATCGCCCGTGGCACACGACCGGCACTCGCCGGGCCGGCCGTTGCGTGGCATGCGGAATTTTCCCATCTCAACTGCCATCTATCGGTTCACAGAAAAATCACCGAACTCTCCAATTACGGTCTATAAAATTGACACTATATTTAGCCCTTACCGTCATCTCAATGTCTAGACATCGATCCAATTCAGCATGTAAGCCAAGCTTGGCTAAAACGAAATCAAAACCAGCTGCTGCTCTTGGCTGATTCACACTCAATGTTTGCATATGTTTCGGGTTAAATTACATGAGAATTCTCTGCATATTTGAATTTGATTCACACTTTTGGACTTTGGTCTTCATATATAAAATGCTTTTATGGTTATTAATTTAACAAAATTTTGCTTTATCATCGTGAGTTTAGCCACGCAAAAAGTATTGTTGGAAATTTCCAAGTCGACCATGAAACCTAATATAGAAAATTTAAACAAATTTAAGTAAAAAGTTTGGTTCTCTATTAAAAGTCATGGCCATCTTGGCTTGGATATTGCAGTATCTGTCTCTGAACTCGAAACACTGAGGAAAAAATCTAATAAAGTTGATATCAAAATTCTTTGTTAAAAAATGTTAATGGGTAGCTCTAATACAAGTAACTTATTTTTAAAATAATTATTTGTTTAGTATAATATAAAATTTTCTTCAAAAATGAATATTTTACTGTGGCTGTTAATCTAATATAAGTTTTTTATGGTAAACTAAGTAATTGGACTTAATCTGTGAAACTTTGAAATATTGATTTTAAAAATGATTTTTCCTCAGTGAACTCCCAAGGCAAAACACTAAAGATTTTAAATAATTTTCAAGAGGGGATATGAGAGTTGAATCTTTGAAGATCTTCATTTGCTTTTCCTTACGCATTTTAGTTTTACAATTATTTGCTTAGTTTTTAGTGTCGCAAAATTAAAAAAATTCAAAAAAAGAAAGAAAAGAAAAAACCGATAAAGTAACAAAAATCGAAAAGAATAATTTTTACACTAAAAATGAAAGCAAAGTAAATATAAAAAATATTTTTAATTTCTGTTGTTTGTGTTATGCGAAGCAAACTCACGTGTATCCCCTCTTCAAAATTATTTATTTTCAGACAGAAATAAAAGTGTTTTGCGCCCACTGCCCCCCAAATTAAATATTGAAAGCGTTAGCTCTGTAGGCCAGAACTTAAATGCTCTAATCTAATCCTGACGAAAGACCGAAAAATTCAAAAACAAAAAAACAAAGACGATTGATTCAAAGCAACCACGGTGTGGTCATTTCTGTATCGGTGTGCCGCTGCAGCTCCTGGTGCCGGCATGGGCGCCAACGTCTCGCAGCTGGAGCGGGAGATTGGCTCCGACCTGTTCCCTCCCAACGAGCACTACTTCGGGCTGGTGAACTTTGGTAATACCTGCTATAGTAACTCTGTACTGCAGGCTCTCTACTTCTGTAAGCCGTTCCGTGAGAAGGTTCTCGAGTACAAGGCCAAGAATAAGAGGCCCAAGGAGACATTGCTCTCCTGCCTGGCAGATCTCTTCTATAGCATTGCCACGCAAAAGAAGAAGGTGGGCTCCATAGCGCCCAAGAAGTTCATCACGCGGCTGCGCAAGGAGAAGGAAGAGTTCGATAACTATATGCAACAGGATGCTCATGAGTTCCTCAATTTCCTAATCAATCACATCAATGAGATCATTTTGGCTGAGAGAAATGCAGGACCAAGCAATGGAAATACCAAAACTACTCCAGGCGGAGGAGCCACAAGTGCCATGGCTAGCAGCACGGCTAGCAAGTCCAGCTCAACGTCCAATTCGAATTCCAATTCCAATTCGACCACAAATTCCAATGGGAATAGTAGCAACTCTACGGGTTCTCTGAATGCCACCACAAGTGTTTTGGATGCCAGTGGCAGTCTTACGGCCACCACAACACCCATAATCTCGGGAAATGGAACAGGAACCAATGGGGCCAATTCGGAGCCTACCTGGGTGCATGAGATCTTCCAAGGAATACTCACTTCGGAGACCAGGTGCCTCAACTGTGAGACGGTGAGCAGCAAGGATGAGAACTTCTTTGATCTGCAAGTGGATGTGGACCAGAACACCTCGATAACGCACTGTCTGCGGTGCTTTAGCAACACGGAAACCCTCTGCTCGGACAACAAGTTTAAGTGCGATAATTGTTGCAGCTACCAGGAGGCGCAGAAAAGGATGAGAGTTAAGAAGCTACCCATGATCCTGGCCCTTCATCTCAAGCGTTTCAAGTACATGGAGCAGTTCAATAGGCACATCAAGGTATCTCACAGGGTGGTCTTTCCTTTGGAATTGAGACTCTTCAACACCTCCGATGATGCAGTGAATCCGGATAGACTCTATGATCTAACTGCTGTGGTTATCCATTGCGGTTCTGGACCAAATCGTGGCCATTATATATCGATTGTGAAGAGCCATGGGCTGTGGCTACTATTCGATGATGATATGGTGGACAAAATTGAGGCTTCCACCATTGAGGATTTCTATGGTCTGACCTCGGACATACACAAGTCCTCGGAGACGGGCTATATACTGTTCTATCAGTCGCGTGACTGCACCTAAAAGTTTTATGTTTTTGCCTAATAGAAGTTAAGTTGAAAGTTTCCAATCTCCTGAGACAGAAAGTTAGAGCTAAGACCGAAATTTTATGTCATTTACTATCTACCCAAGCATATACACTATACTACACACGAAAATCAATAAAGATGATTAATAAAGAACAACAATAATAACAAAGCTATAGCCTAGGTCAGGGAGCCTTGGAGATGACTGTCAGGGTTAGAATCTCTATGTGGCGGTTCAGTCAACCCACTCGAATCACCTGGGGGCTTGCCAAACGCGGTGCCGGTGTGCACGTAAACATATGGGCGATTTCCCCGTGCCAAAGCGGCTTCATTGTGGGTCCAAGCTGGTAATTTACGAGTCGCCTCAGAGCTCTTAGATAACCGGCTCGATCGTTTGAATTTCATCAGAAATCCCCTTAACAAAATCGTCGTTCGGTCGCGAGCCGATGAGGGAACTCACCATCGGTCACACAGGTGTTGGTTTGCCGATAATAATTGGCCTATCTCTAGCTGGAGGGGATCGGCAGGGAGGAGAGCAGCATCGTCGGTCACTTAGTCACATGGTCGCCAAGCACGTGAGGTATATATGCAATATGGGTAATATGCTAATTCCGATAGATCCATAGCATAAATCAAGTTCTACAATTGTCTAGAGTTTTGAGAAGTCTTACTTAACCGATTAGGTCTAAGGTGACACATCAGAGGCAATGGAATCCGGTTAGAACAATAAGTTTCGTACGAAATTCGTAGGGCTATTGTAATGTTATGAGATATAAGTTTATTCCAGAAACTTAGTATTATAACACACTTAGGTAGACAGATGAAATTTTGCAATACGAACTGAAAGACTTTCTAAATTTTTGGTTAGTTTTAAAGTAATCAAAAAAACAATTATTTTCTTTATATAATTTTCTAATAAATCCGATTGGTTAATAACCATTTGCTGATTGAATTTTCAAAAATATCTTTAAACTTACGAGTTTATCTGCATAACAAATCTTTTCATCCATAGATAATGGTAAAAGCTTTCACATGAACATATTTCCTTTTACTGTATAGAGAAAACCTGACATTGACAGTTTTCAATGGTTATGCAAGAGAGAAACAACTTAGCGATGCAACAGAGATTCAATTTTGATGTTTTTGTTTATTTATTATTGTTGTAATTTTCAAGGCTCTTCACATGCAATTGGTAATATTGTTGTTGGTTGTCTTGGCCAGTTATCTATGCATTGGCAAATGACATCGTTAGGCAATGCCAAAACCCACGGAAAGATAGTGGGCAAAGCTGAACAGGTTCAACGGAAAGTGGAGCCTCGAGGCATATTTATGGGATTTCTTAATGACGTGTGTGTTCAACGTGGAGTATAGTGTATTTAACCTGACTTTAATTAATGGATTAGGTGTGGTTAGAAACCAATATATATATTTGAATTGATTAACTTACGACCTTTAATACATTTTTGTAACCATTAAGCCATTAATATTAATTATTGGTTTTAGAGTTTTTTATTAAGGTTTTTAATCATATTTAAATCAATTATATTACATTATCGGTTGTTATTTGAACCTCGGGGTTGTTGATAGATTTATTTATTTACTAAAACAAACAATAACCCTAACGAATCTTAAATTATTTCCATTATCAGTTATCTCCACAAAAGTTGATGAAAATTGTGGCCTAAATTATGCAATTTTGAGATTTATTTATCGAAATATTTTGTTAGTAAACCCAAAATTACATTTTTAACTTAGTTAAACATCCAATAAAGAGCATTAAAAGTTCGATAACACCTCTTTTGGTAAAAATTTTCTTGATTTTCCTTTACCTTGTCATTGGAAAGACTTAACAATTTGTACATGGACAAGCGTTAAACGCCATTGACAAGCGAGGAGAGGAGGCATATGGATACAGATAGTTGCACGCACCGAGTGGCTGCGTAGGTTTTTCATTTTTTTCGTTTTTTGTCGCCTGTCATTTAAAAACTCCGGATCGTGGATCGTGGATCGCGGGGCACTTGATCGATCGGTTTTATCTTATGGCGCGAGTAGACTATTCCGCATTTTATGGAGCGGTAATTACGCATGATTTCGACTTTCACTTTATGACAAGAAAAACCACACTTGACGCAATTTCTTTTAGTATCTGAAATATGTGTATAGTAAATGTGGCATGCTGTTTCGGTTTTGGTTTTTGTCTGTGGCATCTGACCGAAATTGACATTTGACATATTGCTGTTGTCAAGGTCTTTGCAAACAGCAGAAAAGACCAACAGGAACACATCTATGTGGTTGTCAGGCCATGTTGCAACATTTCTCCCGGTCTTTACAGCCCATCTGTTTCATTTTCATTTCAGGCGATTGTGAAATTGTCAATATGTTTTTATAGTTCCCGCTGGTTTGTTGTCAAACGAGGAAGCGATTCGCCTGCTGGTTTCTGTAATCGAATCAGTTCTCTAGCAAAACTTAAGTAAATCTAAATTTTGTGACGGTTCCCCCTGGTTGGCTTCTGAATCTCTTTGAAAACTGAGCCTCTTTCGAGTCTGTTCTTCGGGGATGAGTAAACAAAGAGTCCTCCATTTTCCGTAGCAAGTCTTTAATTAGCTCGTTGGCCACATGTGACGCTCAACAGCGACACCCTTTTCGTGGCGATCGTTCCAGATTTGTCATCGGGGGACTGACATAATTACGGCCTGTTAGGATATTAAATATGTCATTAAATACGCTTCTATAATATTTGCCTGAGTTGTTGTTGGCAGAATGATTAATGACCAGGGGCATTGGGGCATCTATCAGGGAAAGCAATTGGTAATAGGAAACCGTTGAGGTTTTTTGTTTGCTGAAATAAATGGAAAATTTTGAATTTTCGCTGAAAATTGCAAGGTTAAATGTTATGGTTTTCTAGTAGAAAAATCTGAATTATAAAGTTAATTTCTCTCTATCGAGTTTTATGTTAAATATAGTTCTTGATTATCTGACATGTATCATCTTTTAGTTACTAAGCCATCCTAATCCCCTGCCTAATAGCTTAGACCGATGATCACATATCAACTACTAACAATCTGTGACACATTTTAACCATATGCCAATCAAGTTAATCGGATTACTATAATTTGCTGACATAACAGCGATCAAAGGCAGAGCAAATCTTGACAGAAAACTGATTATTACGCTTGTCTCAAACCTCAAACCTGAGACATGTTCTATTAACAGACGTGACACTTTTTTACTATAATTAAAACAGTCTAATTATTACTAAACGGTTAGTTTTATAGGTGTTTAGTAGTAGTTTGGGTAATCAAAATATAAACATTTTTGGGTAATAATTTAACTTCCAGTTTGTTAAGCATTTAAGAACCAGAAAATGGCTATTATCATCATTTATTATTCATGGCATTTAAATTTCATGGCTTCCTTATCCTGGTCTCGCGAAATTTTCTCTTTTTTGCGTCTCAGGTTGTGCGCAGAATTTATCGCGCAGCATGGGATGGGATGATGACCCTTAGCCGGGAGCAAAGTGCAGCCCCGTGTTGGCGTGTTGGGGAGCGGCATCCATCCTATCATCTCATCCAGTCTTCGAGGTGATGGACCCACCGCATGGACAGAGCAGAGCTGCACTTTTGTTTACTTTGGCAACTTATTTTTGTGCAAGACCATTAAAACGAGCTCATGCGGGAGGTCAAGCAATGCATAAAAGATATATATAGGAGTATATATTCTATATCCGAGGGTGGATTATTTCATGCTAATTTGGCGAGGGCCACAATTGGATCAGCAGTTGGGGGCAAATGGATTTGTCATACTTGACTTTGGAAATCAGCGGATGAGTCATGGCTGCACTTGTGTGGAAAAACAGCTAAATTCAATTAGAACTGGAAAACAGAGAGAGAGCCAGCGAGTAAGGAAGGAAAATTCTGAAAGGCACCCAAAAGTATGCAATGAAATGTGGAATTTAGTCGTCAGTTGGGTTTTCATTATAAATTTCCTCTCTCATTGCGATCAGCAGCGGGCTGCTGTGTCTGGTATTTTAATTTATGGATTATGATCACGACCTCCTCGACTTTCCATTTACCCCCCTTGCAACACCCACAAGTTTGGCATCCGCTGGGCTTTTGAAGCCGACAATAATTAATTGACAAATAAAAGTAGCTGGAAATACAAAGCGACATGTTTTGTTTTATATATTATACACTCTTTTCTTTCTGTATCCACACATGTAAACAAGGCAATTGTTGTTCATTGAAAGCGATATTTGTGTATATCTTTTTGAGCATTCCCCGACTGTTTGAGGTTGATTTAATCAGCCCACACTAATACACAGTTGGGTTGGCTTTCCAAACCAGCTGATAATAGAGATAGGGGGGTCGTATCGTATATATGCATATTTATATTCATTTACAGGGTGTCTGTGCTGGGAATGCCGATGATTACTTAATGTATTCAACTCATTCATGCCTTTGCTTTTGTCTCCGTTTCATGGGTGAAAATTTATGCGCATTTATAATAGTTTTATTGGAAAATGTAGTTCGCTTGAGTGACTGATCGTCTGTTTGTAATTGTTAATGAGCACTTGTGCTCGTCCCCTCGCTCTTTAACCCCCCTCGAACTCTGGCAATCTATGATATAATTTTATGTTCGGTGTTGAGTTTCAAGAGGGGCCCAGATTTGTTTGCTTTAGTTGCAGCACGTGCACATGCCTGGCATATCGAGCGGGGAACTCGATCTTCATCCTGCCGGAAGCCGAGTCTTCAGACTCTTCGGGGTTCTCTTTGCCACCCTCGTAGCATTGGAGGGTTGTTTGTTTGACCGAGAAAAGTAGGCACTTGGTTTGCCACTTGAACAGCTTCATTAGTTCGAGAGATAAATCAAAATCTGCAGTTGATTTACTTTCCAGATGGTCGGTGCTTATCTTTGTGATTTATTCGGTGAAGATACAAATATTACAAATAGTGTTTAAACAATTTTCAAATTGTTTCATATCAAAGGGGATCTTATCTATGATAGATGAGTTTCTAAAAATAAACGAATTCGGAAATAATTTTATTATTTACTTAAGTTTATTAAATGGGCAAACACAATCGCTTTCATCAATCAATAACAATGACTGGCTACTTATTTATTGTTGGTTTTTATAATTAGGTTAGATTAAATTATAGATTAAATTTATTTATAACATGAAATTTTAGATGGGGAAGAAATGCATGTTAGTGGGCTTTGTATACAGTTTTTTTACATATAAATTAACATCAGGGATTTGCATGATGTTTTGTAATCTTAAAACTTCGTACACTCGAAAAATTCTTAATTTTAACTTTCTGTTTTTTGAGTTTTCTAGTCTTATAAGTAAGATTATTATAGATAAATCTATTAAAAAGAAGTTTATAAGATTTATATTTACTGAAATAAGTTCCAACTTCTATGAAGTCCCAACTTCATATCCAAGGGATTGCACTTGCTGCGCCACAGATGGTGCTATTACCCGTATCCGTATCCATGAAGTTTGTCGCTCTCGTTTTCACTTTTGGCCCGAGCCCCTTCTTTCTTTCTTTCTGATTTTTTTGGGGTTAACTCTGCGTTGCACATTGTATAATGTTCGAAGAGCTGGTACTTCGTGCGTTTTCGGGCGCTTTTCATTCTTTTCACTCGGATACACCCCGAAGATACACTGGGAGGTGCCCTCTCACACACACGCTCACTCAGATACTCTCGCCTCGTCGCTTTGTAGTCGGTCGCTTCGCCTCTTTTTTTTCGGATTGTCGTGGAACGCTGGCGTATTTTCATTTTCAGTCAGTCTCCTTGGGCTAGTGCAACTGTGAAAATGTGCGGAGCGTGTCGGTTGTGAAAGCCTTGATTATTTCTACTTTTTTTCTATATATATTTTATTTTTCGTTTCACATTTCGCTTAATTTGTTTACGCGTTTCGTCGTTCAACGTTCGTCTGGTGTGTGAATAACTCGTAGATACTTTGTGTGACTAATAAGTGGAAATCACTTTAAACGGCATTAATTGTGCGTGGGCCAAGCCCCACAGAATTTATCTCAAAGATACTCGTTAGATTGGCCATCTTAAGTGCATCACAGTAGCCGACGAAAGTGACTGTGTGTGTGTGAGTGCCTGTGTGAAAGTGTCTGATACGAACAAAGGAACAAAAGTTCTCTTTGACAACGAATTTGTTTGGGATTATCTAATACGCAATCGGTTCTTATTTGGGTAAAGTAAAACGCCAGCATTTAACCATCATTTATGAGTTTTCTGCAGTTGAGAATGAGATCATCAGAAAGTCATTGCAAGAATATCTAATCACGGGTGTTTTCCGCCTGTCAGTTGCATTTCAAGCTTATCTTATCATCTGAAAATAGTTAGGTATGCCAAAACCTGTTTACTTATGCCAAAATCAAAGTGTTTAACTGTGCTGATTAGCTGATTTCGTCCAGTTGGTAGCAACTGTATCTTTGTATCTCTGCATCTCTGAGGTTTGTTTTTAGACAGTTTCGCAAATAGCTTTGACATTTTCGTCAGCGGCAAAAGACTTCCGCGTCGATATGCACACATGCGTTTGATGATTTCGTAATTACAATTGCCACAAAATAGAAAGAACATTCGACAATGTGGCTATATCTGCAACTGCAACTGCAACTGTGCATCTACAGATGCATTTTCTTGGGCTGCCTCATTTAATTGGCGGGCATTGGCGTACTCCACAGAAAGAGTTTTTCCTTTGGCATTTTCTACAAAGCAATGTAGGCCAGCAAGTACGTTGAACTAAACTAAAATGTTTTCATTCCTCAGAACTATGGGGAAGGGAGGAGTTCTATATGTACTAGCCAAGTCAGAAGAAGGGCGTGACTTCACACAATCTTTAGTAAACAAATGCTGATAAGAAACTAATATTTTTTAAAGAATTTTATTTAAAAAGTAAAATTATAGATATTTTTTAATAGAAGATATCAACAGCCTTTGGTAGACTACAATTTGCGTCATCAGCCTGGCAAATAATGTGTCATTTTCCATGGAATTTTCATTTTATTTGCGATCCCAGCACCTAAATAAACATTTTGGTAAAGTTCAAAATGTGATTGAACCTGCAACATGGTACACCTTGCCCCAACTGTACTTTCCCAGTGCGGCAACATGCGCTGTTTATTTTTGCCCCCTCCCGACCGTAATTGCAAGGTGCAAAGAGAAATCCAAATGAGTAGTTGCGTGCGAAATCGAAACGCATCTGCAATTTTCACGATATTTTCACAGTGCGTCGGCTTCTTTGCATTATGTTTATGATTTCAAGAACTTCATGGCTGATGGCAAATACAAGGCAGCTGGAGCGTGGCCATGGACAAGTTGCCGCCGTGTTTATCGGAGCTGCTTAAATGCCGCTTCGATGCTAGAGAGCACTTTTCTTGCCATACATATATATATATACCTCCTTGTGGTAGAGTGTTGGTTTATATATCTATATATATTTTGGCCGCTTGCCAGATGTGGGAAGCCAAGCCGTTTGGCATTTTCCGAGGCAGGTCCTTGGTGCGCCTGAGCAATCCTTGGTGGCAGTCTTTTACCCTTTCCTGCAACTTTCCCTTTTTCGATATTAGTCCATGCGGTCCTGAGGGTTTCTTTTTGCGCTTTCCCCGGTGGGTGGTTGCCATTTTTGCGATTCTTTGTCTGCAATAAAACACTGTAAGAAGTGAAGAAAAAGATTACCAAGTTCTAGAATATTGTTGCTTGATTTTAGACTGATATAGTCTACCAACTTAGTAACAATCTTTGGGTGTGTCATTGCCGAATTTATGTTGCATTTCCCCAAAAGATAAATCTAATCTCTTTTGCTGATGTCAGCTATTAAGTATGCCAGATATATACCCGATATAATCTCATTATGTCAAGCACCTGGTGGATCTTTAGTCTTTTTGGCAAGCTCATGTGCGCTCTAGATAGATTTCAATAGCAAAAATATTATGACACATGCTAGCCAAGAGTCGTACGACAAGTAAATAATAATGAACTTGGCTAAGTTTTCTTTTCGGCCAGCGATTTAAATTTAGACACCTGCGAACCTGGCCAAAGCTTCAAGGCAAAAGCCCTGTTCAGCAAGGAGAAGCATTTCCGTTTTATTCGGCGGAAATGTATGCCCATAAATTAGACTCCTTGAGGGGTTTACCAGCTGCCGTTCCTAATGTTTTTGCTAACGAGCAGCGACTGCAGTTAATTTGCCCGCTAACAAGGCAAAGGAGGTTTGCACTTCGAGGTTGCCCCAAAAAGAGCCGCAGGGGCATAAATCGCCGTTGGCAAGCCCAAACTAACTAAATGCTGCTTTTGTTTATGCCATATTGTTATTTTTTTGGGGAGGATAATTTTAGCTGTTTTTCGTTGAAACTCCGCATTAAAGTTTAGGATAACATAAAAGTCCCAAAAGCCGACTGCAGAAAACTCGTAAATTATTTTTATATGCTTCATTCTACACACAACGAAATTATATCAACAGACACAGAAACTTTTTGTGAGCTGTACAGTGTAGAAGGCATACAGGCACACACACTCTGGGTTATTTTTATATATAAAACTTGGTCCATGTGTCGTTTAGCGAGAGAGAAAACTTACGCATCAAGCATAACAACATTTATAAATAGACATAAAAACTACAAAGAAATCAAAATGAAAAGTGCAGCATAGAAAACAAAAACCAAAATCCAAACAAAATGTGCAACCAATCAATGGAGTTGAAACCCCTTAAAAAAAGAGCCAATAACTAAAAATAAAGGAGAGCATAGAAACAGCAGCAGCAGTAAAGCCAAAGAGACTCTGCCAAGAACTTGGCAACATCGCAGCGTTGGTCCGAAGCGGACTGGCCAAAAATAAACGACAGCAACGGCAGCAACATTTGCTTGCAACTAGATGTTGTTGCTGCTGCTCGCCTTCATCATGCGATTCGTAGACATTTCCAAACGCTGTACCGCCTGCTCCAGGGCCGGCATCGATTGCCAGCACAACGGCAACAGCAACAACAACACCAGCGATCCCAACGGCAACACGCCTTGTTGGCAACATGTTGCTGGTGTCACCAGTAACAGCAGCAGCACCAGCAGCGGCTGCGACAGCAATAGCTCCTCCAAGGAGAACTTCTATGTGCCGCAGCATCGTCAAAGGGCCAAGCCCAATGGCACCAGCATTGGCGTGACCCCGCAGCAGCTTGAGCAAATACGCTTCTACCAGCGCATGCAACAGCAGCAGTTGCAATTGTTGCAACACCAATTAATGCAGCGACGACGCCTGCAACAACAATTGCTCGAACAGGGCGTGCCTTCGGCACCGGCAAAGACAACAACAACAGCAGGTCTCACCTGCAATCAACAGTATTTGCGACAGCAGCGACTGCAACAGCAACATCTACAGCAGCAGCAGCAGCGATATATGGACCACAACAGCAACAATGACAATGACTATCTGAACAACTATCTAAACAACAACATTAACCATCAAAACAATGGCAAACTTGTGGGCCAAGGTGGGCTGTTGTTAAGTCTTAGCTTTTAACTTTGAAGAAAACCTTTAAAATGATAACTTAAAAATTTGCCATAATTAACTTAATCAATATATTTTAAGTATGGAGTAACTTTCCTCAGATCACCTTAACTTCCATTTTAGGTTTTAGTTTTATTTACTCAGATTATGATTTATCAGAGATTTATAATTATTATTGTTATTTCCCCAGTAAGAAAAGTTATTCGCTTAATTTTCATTCTTACATTAAACATTTTTCTTCTTTTATGAAACATCTTCAACATTATTTCTTTCATGACTCCACCCTGACGCAACCTCTTGAGCATCTCGAGACGGGCTTTTGTAATTTCAATTAACTTTAATTGCGCTTTGAGAGGCCAGCACTTGGCACTGGGATTGGTCATTGCTCCGAAGCTAAATCGGAATATTGGAAAGCTGAATCAGATTAAACAGAAGTTTATTAAGCTTTTTAAAAACTTAAACCCAAAAATAATTTATAGTTTCTTGCTTAGTTACTATATATTTTTGTCAAATTTCTTTAACAATTAATGTTATGTCTTTCCATATTTCGAGTATGGTATAGAGTATCCAGAGCACTGACCAATCTGAAAACTTTACCGGCTCACCACTCCCCCCAAATATGACTTTTCTATGCCTTCCATATCTACACACAAAATGCATTAAAAAATATATTTTTATTTGTCTGTAATCTTGCGCTGGCCCAAATATGAAATGACTTTCCATTTCATATTTCTGGCTTTCGGGAGTGGGAGAGGATGAAAGATAGCCGGGGCGGGAAAGACATGTGCTTTGCCACTTGTCGGCTGGAGTAAAAGTTCCCTCAGACGATGGAAAATCTTTTGAGAAAATTTAATCTCTTGTGTCTGCACTTTCTGGGAGGTTCCCAGCCTATGCCAGGCAGCTATCCCCCTTTTCTAACATTTTCTTGATTTGTTTATGCCGCGCGGAGTTAATTTTAAATTTAAATTCTGTTCCCGATACCACAATGAATTGCATAAGAAAAAGTGGAAAGTCGGAAAGTCGACTGGGCTACTGCAATCGATAACAATGCGGCAAACGGAGGAGGTTTTCCTAGGCACTGAATTACCGCCTTGAGACATGCAATACCATCAAGTTTAACCTTTAATTGCCGCCAGCGGACAGGCATTGCATGTTGCATGAATCGCTTTGGATTGGAAGATGGGAAAATGTCACATTTTCCAATTGAACTTTTTCGGGGACGCGCGATGTGTGGCACAGACCGATCCGAACGTTGGGTGTTGACTCGTAAAAATCTCTCAGACGTATAAAAATAATTTTTACAACTTTTTTTTCCGAAGGGCTGGAGGAGGCTGTCACCCACATAGTGTCATCCTTATTTGCTAGACCAGAGACCAGGGACCGGGGACCGGGGATCGTAAAAATTAATTGAAACATGCCAACAATAGATGGGCGCCTCCGTCAGGTTTTTACGTTTTCCGAAATGTGTGGCACGCTAATGTCCATTAGGGGAAGGAAAGTGCAAATGAGAATGGGGATAGATCATTAGCTGGAGTTAGTTTCGGGCCCCCGGTGCCGGTGTGGCATCTTAATTGAGCCAAGTTCAGTGTCAATGCTGATTAGACAATTAACATTGAGGAGAGACTCCTAGGGGAGGATTATCTTTAAGGTAGTTTAATCAGTGAAACTAATCTTTTAGAGACTAACAGTTAAAGTCAGATATTTAAGCTTTAAATATATATAGAACCCAATTTTAATATTTACCATTCATTTTTCTCATTCTAGGAACCAAACTTCGACGTGGCATGACAGAATTCTCAACAAACAACGATCACAGCAAACCGCATTTCACCGCATCTCAGCAGAAACCTCTTCAGAACTCACCAATTCACCAGCAAGCATTCACTTCATCCAATCCAAATTCTCATCCACATCTGCTTCAACGCTTAGCCCAACAGCAACAACAGCAACAGCAGCAGCAACATCAACGACCACATAAATTTCAGCAGACCCTGCCCTTTAGCCAGCTTAACAACGGCAACACCACGGCTGCCCACATTCTACCCGGATCATCGCCACATTCCCCGCTCTGCTATCGCAATCCGCTGAACAGTCCCAGCAATTCACCATTCAGCAACAACACGGCGCAGACGACGATTGGTAAGCGGTATCAGCAGCAACAGCTGACCGATCGCCTGTTGCAGCAGCAACATCTGCAACAGTGCCAGCAACAGCAATTGCAATCGCTGGGCAGTGGAAGCGATGTGGAAGAGGATGCCGCCGGCGAGGAACTGAGCGAGGAGAGTCTCAAGCAGAATGTGGCCATTGTGCTGAGCAACTTGGATCGGTATAACAACGCGTTGCGCAGCATTATCCTGAATGAGCAGGTGAGCAGCAGCCTGATCACTCCCAGCGACAGTCTACTGTTTGGTGAGGATACGAGCGGTCTGCTCTACTGTGACAACGACAACACCAGGAAGGTGCTCCAAGGCAATAATAACTTTGTCCTGGGTAAGATGGCAGCCACACCGGAATCGGATTACAATAGTAATGCCACCACGCCAGGAGGTCGCAGCAACGAGCAACAGTTGCAGCAGCAGCAACAACAACAGCAGCAGCAGCAGCAGCAACTTGGGGTAGGTGGGATGCTTTGTGGTGGTGGCGGGATGCGGGAAACTACTAATGGTAGCGGTGGCAACAATCTCAACTGCTCGTTGGCCTCGTCACACGATTTTACTCACGACAATTCCGATTACCAGTGGTTCCTGGACTATGGCTATCGAGATGGCTGCGGTGGTATGCAGCGAAGCGTTTTGAGTTCTCTTTCGGCCTCGTACAATGCTATGGGGGATCTCATCTACTATGAAGATATGGCCAAGAATCTGGATGCCAATCTGGCCGAGGTGGACATGGAGAGCTTTCGGGCGGAGGACATACATTCCCTGCTCTCGCAGCTTCCTGCCTATTGTAAGAGTTTGGGCGGTGCCAACAGTCGACTTCAGCAATCGCTGCTCCTTCAGCAGCAGCAGCAACAACAACAGCAGCAGCAACAATTGCAACAACAAAAGATGCAGCACCTCAGCAACATGTTGCCCCACAACATGTCCCAGACGTCGACAACCTCCACCAACGAACTGATCGACAACTCCTTCTGCAAGTCGGAGTTGCTCTTTTCGCCGGTGAGGGAATCGCACATCTCGGTGGATTCACTGGATATGGATGCCTATCCGGATGACGGGGAGATCATACTCACCTGCAATAAGGATAACTACACGATCGCCTTCGAGGGCAGTGTGCTCTACTCGGACGATAGTTTCTATGGTGAGTAGTTGGAGTATTTGATTGGGAATCCTAACTTATATATCTTCGATTTATAGCGGAACCAAGTGACATTGCCGCCAGGAACAAACAGAACTGCATTAACTTGCATAGCAATCTGGAGGACATTGTGAAGCGCAACAAGGCCCTGGAGGTATCCATGTCGCGTTCGGCCCAGGCCTTCCAGCCACTTTGTCCCATGTCGCCCAAGGGACAGGCGGCCACAGCGGCAGCAGCCAAGTTACAGCGGTAGGTCCACAGATACAGCAACACAAGCCGCACAAGATTCGCACATTATCCTGAGGATTGGTTGTTGCCCAGGAGGGGTTTTTGCTATATAAGAACTAAGGAAATATTACGCCATGGCTTCTCTAAGATTTATCGAAGATAAACAAACCTAAATATGAGATAACTAGTAGATCGCCTGTTCTGTCCCGCTTCTGAATGCCAAACGTCATCATTAAGACCGGCGGATGTTACACATTTTCCCCTTCCTTGCAGTCCGCTCTCATTGCAATCTCGCGTGCGGGGTCATTTCAATTGAATTCAATTTAGTTCCATTTGCCTGCCGGCTGGAATATTAACGTATGCTTAGCAGCGTTCAAGGGGGGAATTTCAAATGGGAACTGGGTCTTTTTCACGTATATTCCACGAGGGCATATGCTAGACCTTCAAGGGCTTTGGGTTTGCCAAACCATTGCCAGGCAAGTTAATCCCTTGAAAGAAAACCAATTACGGGTTTAGCCCGCATAATTCATTCACAAAACGATTAGCGAGGAAAACATAAAACCCAAAATATTATGCAAATAAACCCAAGAGACGCCATCAGGTAAAATAAGTCATAAAACCTGGCAGCAACCAATCCGAAAACCTAACACCGCTTCCTACCTAAAAAAGAAAAACCTTCCGCCAACAAAAATTGTAATCCCAAAACGCCCGACGTGTCTGTTGTGGTAAAGACGCTCGTTATTTCTTGTTTCGCCCGGCCGCAGGTATCCCTCGGGGAACAATAACACGGAGACCATCACCTTAACCAGACACCTACCACAGTGCTCCGTGAGGAAGAGCAGCAGCTTGCCCAATCTGCAGAGTGAGGAATCCATGACGGGCAGTTGCCTCAAGGAGCAGGGAACAGAGGAGTGTGGCCAACAGGCGTTGCCCTTGAATGTCTCTCAGGCGATCAGTACTTCGACAATGGAGTCATGCAAGTCGAGATCCAAGAATCTGCTGCCCATGTGCCAGATGCCCATATCCATTAGTGTGTCCATTTCGGAGCGACTGCAGCAGCAGGCTGATCAGCAGCTGCCTAACCAACAGATAACACCCACATCACAGCAGTCACAGCAGCAGCAGCACCATCACTCGCACCATCATCGCCACAAGCATCGCTGCAGTTGCTCGCAGGAAAGCCAGAACTTCCATATTTCCGGATCAGCCTCTTCGGGCAACTCCTCCAATCCGCCGGCCTTCAATCTAGTCAAGTTGTTCATCAAGCAGAAGAGCAGCAACAGCAACAGTGGCGGTCAGGACGATTTGGGAGCCCAGGCGAGTGCACACACCTGCATGGACGTCTCCTCTGGCTGCTGGCCATCCAGTGATGCGGCTAGCTCCAGTAGTGGCTCCTTGGAACAGCGTCTGCGTAAGAAGAGCATGAATGACTCGGGCAAAGGATCGGCAGTGAGTCGACATGACGAAGAGGAACACTATCCGGAAACGGAGACACCCAGACGACAGTTAAGAGCCCGATCCGAGGCAGTGTTCTACGATGATGTGGCAACCTCTAGTTCCACGGGTTCGCTAACGGCGACCAATTCACCAGCTCATCGTCGCCGCAGTATGCCACTAAGGAATCCCCAACTCTACCAACTGGCAGCTCAGGTTTCCACTGGCAGTCAGATGTCCTCGGAGGCCAGTTCGGAGCAGTTAACGCAGGTGCCCAGGCGAGCGGAAACGGGATGCGGGACCAGTACACGTCCGTTGTCGTGTGCCTCCAGCTCTGAAATGATAACACGTTCCATGCAGACATCCTGCGGATCACTTAGCACCACCAGGAGCAGCCTGAGCGATCGGTATCGCTGTGTGCCGCCCTCATTCCTCGAGAAACTCAATAACCTGGGTGAGCAGCGACAGGCGCCCATTTACGTGATCTATCCAAATTATGCTCTGCCCGATTTGGGATTCGTTAAGACTAACGCCAGCACGGATGTGATCTTCTCGCCCTTCAACTACAAGATGACATTGGATGGGGCAGCTGGTAGTACCAGTAGCTCTGGATCTCTGAGGAAACAGCGCAGCAATAGCCAGAGCGCTAGCGAAGATGAAATCTTGAAGACGTTGGACTATAAGCACATTGCCGACTGGCAGTCGTTGGCCACTTTGTTGCCGACGGAATACCGCCGGCGGTTGCAGCACATTCCGGAGGTGAAGCATCTGGTGCGACAGCTGGATGCGGAGCTATCACAGCGTCCGCTTTTCTGTATGTCGCCACCGCTTCGCCGAAATCGCACTCACATCTGCGACTGTGCCAAGTACTTCCAGGGACAGCAAACGCAAATGGACGAGGCCTCCAGCTCGGGATCCAGTCAGCAGCCCAGCTCTGGCTATCGTGGTTCATCCACGCTGCTCACCGACTCAGAGTTGGATGTGGATCCACTGAAGCAAATGTATGTCTATCAATACGATCAGCAGCGCATGGATTCGGGTGTGGAAACCAGTCCTGGTAGTCAGTTAACTCAAACCCCGCCGCAACCCATGCCAAGGAGTATTCTGCGCAAGGCTCACTCTGCGCAGTCGCGCTCCAAGCGCAATTCCATGATCGAGGCACAGCAGACACAGAAGCTGACAAAGCTGGAGAAGCGGCGCAGTTTGCAGGAGCCACCACACAACTACGGATTGGGTTCCAATGACGAATTGGCGGATGTCTTTGAGGAGGAGGAGAACAGCCAGCAGGCGCAACCGGTGAAGCAGAGGTTGTCCCGCAAGGATCTGGATGCCAGGGCAAGGGCAGAGAACTTCTTGGCCTCGTTGCCACGCTCTGAGCTCAAGTACTATGCCGAGATCGCATCCATCCTAGAGTCTTCCGGCGAGCAGGTTACCTATGATGCTGCCGCCCTGAAAAAGGAGGTTAGCCGGGTGCTTAGCCAACAGAAGAAGGTATCGTTTAATGACGAGGGCGTGGCGGCCGGACTGCAGCAGCACGCAAAACGCTTTGCCACGCCACCTAACTCCCCCAACATCTCCGTGGCGGCACTAAAACGTGAGACAGTGGATGTAATAGAGCAGCGCAAGATCGAAAGTAATCGCTTTAAACGTCTGCAAATCCAATGGGAACTGATGAGCAAGGACTCGAGTATGCTTAAGGAACTGGCCAGCGAGGCGGCCACCAAGAGCGGCGGCTCCACACCCACCTCGGCCAATTCGACGGGCTCCAACTCGGCGCCAAGGTCAAGGATTCCAAGGCCAGTGAGCTACCCAGCGGGCAGGTCAGTATTTTTTAAGAAAGAATCTTAAAAATGAAAAATTCGAAATTATTTATTTTGAACTTGTTATGTTTACAAAATTTTATTTCTTTTCGTTTTTGGTAAACCGAAACCCAAATCCTTGCGTGAAATTATTATTTGCATGATGTTGATTTTTTTTGTGGGGTGTCCGATGTTCAGATGTTCCACGCCCACATCGTCACGTACTGCCCCCGTTTTAGCCACGCCTTCACCGGCACGGCCTGCCAAACCCAAGACTGTCACTAAAAGCCACAACAAACCTGGTTCTTTTACCTCCCCCCGCCCAAATAGACTCACCAGCGCCCAGGAAGCAGCCGGAGGTTCCAAGGTCAGCACTCGATCGCCTAGTAGGATGGTGCAACCGAAGCGTTATAGCCTGGCTGGCACAACCACGCCCACGTCGGCAACACCAGCTACGGTTAGAGCACGTACGCCCACTAATCGAGCAGCGGTTACGGCGCCAAATACGCCCAAACGCCAGGCGGTTGCCCAATCGCCCAGGTAAGTAATCTTGATTATTATCACCAAATTGAATTTATAATAAGATCTTTATTCTCTTTCAGACCCACCTCGCGAGTGCGTTGAGCGTCCAAACGAGTCCAAGCGTCCAAGTCATCCCAATTAGTCAACGGCAGACAACAGACAGCAAATTCCCCCAACAAACAAACCCCAAGAAACAAAAACAAACAAACAAACAAAACATATTCAACATGAAAAACAATGCAACATTGTAAAATTCTAGACTAAGGCTTTGTGTGCGGCTCGATTGCTTAGTTACTGTTGGCCCGGAAAGTGATATTTAGATGGGAGAAGGGAGATGGGAGAGCATTGATCCAGGGATCACGGAGCGAGAACTGATAGCGAGATGTGCTGGTATCTTTTGATTGATTATGATTTCATCATCCTTAAGTTGCGGTAGAGCAGATGTCTACGAGAAGTAGCTAAATTTTCTTTTTTTACAAAGTATACATAATGAAATCTATACATATGCCAAGTACGCGTAAATTAAACAAAAATATTTTGATGTATATACACAAACAAAAATATATATATAAATATATATATATATATATATACGCGTAGACTCGCTTTTCCACTAGCTACTCAAAAATGAAATGACAACAAAGATAACTTTGCTACCCACTGGAAAAATTGATAAAGTGTATAAAATATTTTCTATACCCTATGAGAAAAGAAAAAGGAATATACTCGATACACAAATTACTTGAATCATACCAAGCTGGGCCAGACATTAAAGATATATGTTGGATATCCCCCTAAAAAACAATAAATGAAAAGCTCAAGAGTGGATCCAATCGATATTACGCCCCGGGTGCATTAGAATAAATCTAATTTGTTGCTTTTTCCATGCTCACGCTGATCCTCTCTCCTTGAAGAGAAAAACATAACAAAAATGAAGAAAATCTGGGAAAGAAGAATTTTCCATATGGCCTTTAAATTCATTAGCAATTGGTTATTGAATGCTTTGCAGTTTTTTATTTATTGTTTTACGCTGAGATTTTCATTTCGTTTTTAACGAGCTTAATGCTGATGAGCCTCCAGGCTCGAAAGTGATTTCAAATTGTACGATATATGTTTACAGCTGCTATATAATCTACTATTAATCTTACTATATCATTTGTATCTATTTAATATCCTATCACTCTGTCTATGACATAACTTTAATTTGGTTATTTAACTGCTGGAAGACATCGTCTAATTTGTAAGCCTTAAGTCAAAAAACACTTTTCTATCTTAAATTGTATAGCTACTATTCTTATTGTATTATGTACAAGCGGATGGAACACATATTATAGATTGGCGGGAGAATTTATCACCAAATGGATATGCGGGAGTATATTATGTATTAAACCGAAAATAAAACAAAATGTATAAAAATACAAAATCAATAAAAATATTAATAAACAAGCAAAAAGTATTACGAAAATAAAATTAAAAGAGTTTGTTTTTGGTTTGGAAATATGATTTATTGGTGCTTTTAAAACTGTGTTGCTGGAAGTATAAAAAAAATATGAAAAAGTTTATTAAACAAATATTTCATTTTTCACTTTTTAAATATTAAATAATTCATTTAATATTTGAGATTATTTTTGAAATTATTTTACATTCAAAGTGTTATACAGCTATGAACAGTTAATCTCAAACTGTTGATAAGAATTTTTGACACAAACCACAAAACTGTCTATACAGTTTTAAGGCACCTATTAGCAGCAGGTAACAATTGCTCTAAAACTTTATGAATGTGTTATACTCAAATGTGGAAATTTTTCTTACTTTTAATTTTTGGGTTTAGAGGACTTTATGTTTTCAAATATTTTCTTTAGAAAAAAAAGTGAAAGAATAATAATAATATTTTTATTTAAATCATAAAAAGATGAAAAATACTTATGACAGATAGTTATTCTCTAAATAAGATCTACAAATTACAAAAAACTGTGGCTTAGTTACCAATAATTATAACCAAAAAAAAACTGCCTTAGAATAGGCTAATATTCCTTATAAATATTAATATTCCGTCTTAATTTACATCCGTTTAGACAAGAAAATTCCCAATTACTCAACCTTATTAATCCGGATAATGATTTTCTGATTTATCCTCTAGCTAAATCCGTTTAAATTCCTTGCGAGGCTGTAAAGTTAATTTCTCTGCTTAGCTTTTTGAGAGAACAAGGAGCTAAACCTGAACCCTTTTGGCCCATTTAAAGCAACATTATTAAAAGTAATTGTAATTACCGAGGCACATGTTGCGCTATGTGTGTGATGGTGTGCGTGAGTGTGTGTGGGTTGGCACACATACATATGCATGGGCTGGATGCCTTTGCATACATTTACCTAATTAAATAAAATAATGAAAACGCAAAAGTTGCAAAAGGCGCGAAAGTATGGAAAGCTGGAAAAGTTACATAAGGAAACCGAAATTTTCATGCCCAACGAAAAATCCAGCACATACGCAACTGTTCACACATTTGCCTTGAAATTGGGAAATAAAATTACGCAGAAATATTTTCAAATATTTATTATGGAGAACGAAGCATTTGTGTGTGAGTGCGGTGTTAGCTTGATAATTATCATTAGCCATGTGGCAGTCTTGCCACTTTTTCTGCAGTTGTTCTTATGATTATGCACTTAGAAAAATTATACAGATAAATCCATACGAAAATTTTAGGAAAAATGATTTTGAAAAATACATGTTTCTAACAAATCGTGAAGTTTATTGAAATCTTAATGCCTTTTTGTTACCGTTTTCAAACTGATTTTTGAAGATTTAACGAAATTTTAAAGATTTTTAAAATTGTTATAGCCAGGACGTGAACCTCATCTTTATATAAAAGTTATGGTTTTTTAGTTCTACATCTAAAAGACACAAAAATCATCTCCAACAAAGTAAATCCCCTTCTCTCAGTGCCTCTAAAAACTGTGCCATGGCAGAGGAAAAACACTTCTCGGGAAAGCAGCAAAAGGAGCTCGAATGTTTTGTTAAGCAAATATTTTCACTTTTCTTTTCCCTGCGTCTTCGATTGAAATTTGTTGGCCATTAAGTTGGCTCATTTGGGCCGCGGGTGCTGCCAACAATTTGCATATGAGATTTTATTCCAACTCGTTCGTTGCCTTCCTCCGTGGCTTAAAATGTAATTAAAAGTTTTTTGTTTAAACTGCGAAAATATAACTGTAATTCTCAAGAGCAATGTCGCTGTTATTGTCAACGCTGTTATGGTTGCTATATGTGCCACGCCCCCTGTCCAAAAAATACAACAAACAAACAAACAAAAAAAAAAGGGGGAACACGAAAAATAAGTCGGTCAAATAAATTTTGCTGTCAAGCGAAAAGCAAAAGTGCATAAAATATGCACATTGCACTGAGAATGAGGCCTACAGTATTTGCATTCACATATTTTTACTAAAATAATTACATGCACATGACCCGCCAACAACAACAACAACAACACTAACAAACAACAACAACAAGTTATGACTAAAGACAGGGCTCGACAAAAGGACATGAGATAGGCGGTCGCAGCATGAGCTGTTGTCCTTTTTTTGAAACTCGCTCAAGGGGTTGTGTGGTTTTAGCATTCACTTTGATATGGTTTAGTTTTAATGATTTTATTGGAAATTTAAAAGGAAAATATTCAACGTTTTTTATTGCTTTTCAATGGAAAAAAGTATTTAAATTATAGTTTACCAGTTTACCATAAACTTAAGAATTTTTAAGAGTTTAGGAACCCAAAATGTTTATTTTTAATTGATGTACAATTTTCTGCTCCAAAAATATATCTGTAGTGCTAATAAAGTTATAATTACATTTATGAAAATTTACCTTAAATAAGACTTACAATTTTATAATCTAATATATTAGAGAATTTCGTTAGCTCTGCTTAGGTAAAGTTACTTAGATTCATCTTTTTAGTTGACATAAAACTACCAATAAGATTATCTTAATTTATAGTTTCTGGGCAATTTTCTTGTAAATGTCATTTAAATTTGTAAGTGTTCATTATAATAAATAGATTATGTATATAGGTTAGTAATGATCGTTATTTTGTATAGAATATTTAGTAAGTCAAAAAGTTTTTTAAGAAAATTAAGAAACTTGTTGAAATTGAAAATTTTTAAATATAGGCAAGCAATTTTAAAGTTTAATATAAACTTTCAATAATTGATAATCTATTGAACAAAAACTTTGCCCACCTAAATAGATTTATGACATTTAGGGAGGGGGGCAAAGGGTATTTAAAGTTTCGACACATGAATGAGGATCAATTTGGCTGTCCTTTCTTTGTGGTTTTTGGCAGTGCCAGGACACGCCACATCGAATGCCAGGAGCGGGAAGCCAAACTTTAGCCAGCGCCTTTGTTTGTCGCTTCTGCTACCGCCGGCAAGTGGCATCATTAGCCCGTAGTCGCACAGTCCCATGAATATGGGTGAATACCCATAACCCCCCACGGAATCGGCATATCCAACTTGCCTCCGTGGGCCATGGACACGCGATGCACAGGGCGCCGCTTGGTAAACACACCAAAAATTCCAAAATGAAGCAATAAAAGGCCATAAAACGGAATGCAATTGATATACAAAAAGGGAAATTGTAGACAACAACGGTGCCCGATTGTGTGTTGTGTGTGTGTTTGTGTTTTGTTTTGTGTCAGAGTGCCAAAGTGAAAGGCTTTTGGCCAATTCGCCGCAGGGGAATCCCCCGAAAAACAGCGCATGCTCGACAGTTGGCACCACTTCAGTTGGATGGATGACGGGTTGCACTGATGGGTGGTGGCACGGTGGCATGGTGTGCTGTTGCAACCGCAGCGAAATCGTCGACCGCGATTTGGCCGGTGGGTATGACCTAGTTTATAGTAGTGCCAGGCACTACTACTGGACACCAGGTTGTCCACCACCCACTGCATTGTTGATGCACCCCCTCCGCAGACACTCGCGTTTTGTTTTGCTTGCTCTGCGGATGTTTGATTTAAAATTTTAATAAACTCTAACTCATCGGGAACGGGTGGCGCGGAGAGGGCAATTCAATTTCCTGTTGTCTGGCCCTTTTAAGCAGATCGAATGGAGAATGATCGACGACAGGAGAGGGTTTGTAAGTAGCTCATATAATTTCCTTTCCTACAGTGGTCTTGATTTTGTTGATTAGAAGTTTTCCTTCAACATTTGATTTATCTTTTAAACAAATAAAGAAGTTTTCTTGCTATTTCTTGTTATGTTTTATTACTTTTTAGTAAATAAAGTATATTTTTAAAGTTGCACATGCAAAAAGAGAAGTCTAAACATTTTTTGTTTGTCTCCAAATGGAAAAAATACATTTTTAGGTTAAAGCAATTTACATTTTTCTTATAAACATGCATCTATTTTTCCAATTTATTCATATTTTTAAAAGAAATTTGTTTTTTTTTTATATAGCCATTGTCGTATGAACAAAGTTTGTTTAGAACAAAAATATTGAACCCCATTTTTAGGGTGAAAATATAAAGCAATTAGAAAAAATATGAATGAAAAATATTTAAAATATGGGAAAACTCTTTTGATTATGGGAAAGTTGTGCATAGGGAAAGTTATACATAAAAATATAAATTTTAAAGTTCCTTTTAGATTATTTTTATTCCATTTTTATCGATATTTTACACTAAAAGGCAGACGATTTACAACCAAAAACTTTCATCTGTCCAGTGACCACTGTTTGAGTGCCTTTCGTCTGAAGTTCTTTGCTCTTTTTTCACTTGAGGTCAAGGGGGATTTTTCAAATTTCATTTTTATTTTTGTGTTTTTGCATTTTGCTTGCAAAATTCTCACATGCACTTTGGCTCACTTTCACCAGGTAAAAAGGGGCTGCTTGGTCGTACACAAAATATGCAAACAATTTCCAATTAAGAATCAATTTTATGCTTCAACTGCGACTAAGTGCAAAATAGTTGTTGGTATTCGTCGTCGAAGTTGCACGCTTCTGTAGCAGGTTCATAAAATGCGCAAACATTAAGCCAAAGTTTTCCAAAAACCACCTTCACTTCTCTCCTCTCTCTCCAGGCTATTACCATCTCCTACACTCTGTGGCTACTTTCGAGTTGCAGCCGCAAAAGTATGGAAAAATCTATTGGGAAAATTAAGAAAAATACTTGAAATTGGTGCAGCTGTCAAAAGGCTTAACGCACGAAATTTGCCATAAAGTTTCAGGCAGTTATTGCTGGGGTAGGAGGGGGAGCCAAAGTGGCGGTCAGGGTTAAGAGTAACAGCAGCTGTTGGCGGAAGCCATCTGACGAACTTGACATGCTGCCAAAGTTGAAGCGGAAAACCAGCAAGTGACTGTCAATGTTTCCACTGGCACTCGCTGGCGATTCAGCTACACTGGGAGAAAAAATTGTTTTGACTTCAATTTGTTGGTAATAAGTCTTTTATTTCGTCTGTCAAAGAGGTTTTCCTCTTATTAAAGTTGT